TTGGGTTTTCTTTTTTAATCTTATGGAGAGTGTGTGTAGATTGGGAATGAAGGAGGGGAAAAAAGAGGAATTCGTTAGCTCTACACCATGAGCGTGTTTCTTCTTGTTCTTCCTTCGCCTTCAATGATTTGATGAAGCAAAAAAAAGGGTATTGGGAAAATTTGGGAAATTGGGTCACTATTGCATTGCATGGCAACGGAGCGAAAAACAAAAACAAAAAGCATATGCACGCGACTTTGTGTGTCAAGATTGAGCTGGGGGATTTGAGAATTGGAGGCGTGACTCCGAGTCAAGCATCATGGGAAATTGGTTTCTACCTATAATAGCTCCGTACTGAATGGTTACCTATTACTTGGTATCTTTATATCCTGCATCAATTCTAAACTGTAAGGATGGATTGACTGTGTATTTAATGCTACTCAGGTACGGGAAGAAGGTAGCGATGGGAGTAGCGACGACGAGAGATCGGTTCCTATACCATCACCAGTAGCAACAAACAGCAAATTACGGCTCTAACACTACCTGGCGATGACTACTTCTATATCTTGGCCTTGATGGTGAATAAATACTATTGTAATTATAATCTTGGGTTAAAGTCTCTAATTTACATCAGGTTCGAGCATACCAATTGACTGTTGCCGTGCTGGATTTGCACTCACTCTTGTTACAGCACTACCTCAGAAAGTATAATCATGTCACAAGGCATTCCAAGATTTGATGTTCAACTGGGAGATTTCAATTCAAGCCGACCTGATCCGGAAACTGCTACCTAATGTACACAGCTCATCAGAAAAAAGAGAGGAAAAATGAAATAAAATAGGAAAAAAAGACCTTCTCAATGCAATCATTCGCGACATGTCGCTCCCAGACGCATTCGCGATCGATGGGGGTATTTCAGACTTGATCCCATGGTAAAGAAGACAAAAGGAAAAAAAGAGAAAAGGAAAGAAGAAAAAAAGAAAAGGAGACAAAAGGAAGCAAAACTCCTACTCCCGGGCCCATGCACATATCGTCGTGGGAGCGTCATATCCTTATGCTACCAATGCCGAGGAAAAAGAAAAAGAGAAAACACAAGGAAAAAAGAAAAAGAAAACTACCAAATCAACAGCATTCATTTGCCAGCAGCAGAGAGGTGCTCCGCCAGAGCTCCAACCGCATACGCCGCTCCGCCCACCCAGACGGTGCCCATCACCACCTTCTTGCCAAAGCTTCTCTTCTTCTTTGGAGCAACTGATCCGTCGCGCTCAGCCTCGTCTCTCTGTGTTTGCTTGCTGCTGCGAAGAGGCGGTGCCGGCTTCCTGTGGCCATCCTCAATGCCGTCGTAGTTAACGAATCCAGTGGGGCTGGCAAAGTTGCCCGTCACAGACTGTCCCATCATGTCGACGGGGTTGATACGAGCCGGGTTGCTGGGAAGCTCCAAAGGGAGGTCGCTGGCATTGGGCGAGGCAGGGCGGTTCTTGCGGAAAATGAGCACGTCGCCGCCGCCCGACACAATGTCGTAGCCGTGTTCCTGCAGGGGCTTAAAGTAAGGGAGAAACTTGGACGCGTGTGATAGCCGGAGCAGCACGTCCGTCAGTTTGGGGGGAGAAGAAACGTCATGGTCGTCGGATGTGGTCTCGGCAACGCTAACAGATTTGGTGGTCGAGTCGTAGGCGAGGATCTTGTATGTGACTGGCTCATCTGTTACCGTTGTCGCGGCGGGCTCGTAGTGCTTGACTACAGCCTCCACCGTTTCGGCACCACATTCCTCAGAGTAGCTGGTTTCTAGTCCCTTTGGATCGTTAGAGTACGGGTCCTTCTCGGCGCGCATTTGGGCCAGCTCGCTGGTGGTGCGTTCGATCGGTTCGGGTTCGGGCTTCGACAACTCACTGGGAAAACTTTCATCCATAGAACTTAATTCCATCTCTGCCTCCTCCTTTTCAGCAGCCATCTCTTCACCTATATTGGCCCTCCTCAGCACCTGGCTTCGGATAATATCCGCTGTTAGTGACTCGAGAGAGTTTTCAGCTTCCTCAATGCTGCTCCCGCCACGTCTACCGGCCGAGGCTGCCATGTCCGCCTGAAGCCTCTCCTTTGCGTCGTACGACTCAAGGCTGGCAGCGACAACATCGTGAAACTTCACCTCGCTCTCTACATCTCGAGGGGCCGCATTGTAACCATGGAGATCCTTGTATGCCTTGGACGCCTCCTCGGGGTGGATAGGATAAGGCTTGTCGGGAGAGTCAAAGGTCTGCGGCTCATACTTGCCCAAGTCGTTGTAAGTTTTGGTCAGCTCCTCGGGGTGGATGTGGCGTGTCTTCTCCGGCTCTTCGTAACCATCGATGGCATAGGCGGGAAGGTCCTTGTATTGCTTGGAGGCTTCTTCTGGGTGAATTCTTTCCACCGCTGGCCCGCCATTGGGGAACGCAGAGTACTGGGGCAAGTCCTGGTACGCTTTGGATGCCTCCTCGGGGTGGATTCGAGGAGTCTTGGGGCCACCGTTGGGATATTGCGCATACAGGTGGAGGTCTTCGTAATCCTTGGAGAGCTCTTCAGGGGTCAATGGGCGAAGGCCATCTGGCTCGTGCCAGCGGACAGGTCCATACTTGTCCAGGTCGTCGTACTGGGGCGTAGTGTTGCCTCGTACTTCGACTTTGGCGGGGATGGGCTCTGCCTTGGGCGTGGGGTCGTTTTGCAGAGCCTCATAGTCCTTGAGGACGGATTCCCTGCAAGTAAAAGGGCCGCCGTAGGCATGTAGGTCTGTATAATCCTTGGACTTTTCCTCCGGAGTCAGGCGGCGGAGACCGTCAGGCTCGTCATAGGTGGCGGGGCCATATTTGTGCAAGTCCTTGTAATCCTTGGACTTTTCTTCCTGAGACCTCTCCTGCAGGCCATCCGGCTCGTGCCACCTGACGGGACCGTATTTGTCTAGATCGTCGTAGATTTTGGACTGCTCTTCGGGAGTGAGCTGTGGAAGCCCGTCGGGTTCGTTCCACGTCACGGGCTTATACTTGTCCAAGTCTTCGTAGTTCTTGGACTCTTCCTCGGGCGTCAGTTTTCGGGGCGCGTTCGGGTCATCAATCTTCATTTTTGAATACTCGGGCAAGTCCTCGTAGATCTTGGAACGTTCCTCAGGAGTCAGATGAGGCAGTCCATCTGGCTCGTTCCACTTGGCGGGCTTGTAGTCGCCCAGGTCTGTGTATTGCTTCGACTCCTCTTCCGGGGTCAGCCTTCGAGGTGCGTTGGGATCGTCAAACTGTGTTGCTGAGTATTTGGTGTGTTCTACGCGAGACACCTTGCGATTGGTGATGGGATCAATAAAGTTGAGGGCGTCGCCCGCAGTGGCTCGTAGAACGCTCTCAGCAGTGACTTTGTTGGATCGGTGGGTCGAGTGCAGGTAGTTTCGGATGTTTTGCAATGGGTGCCATTCGCCGCCTTCCTTGTGGTGGAAGAGACGGTTGATGGCGTCTCGCTCGACGTCCTCGATGTTGCGGCCAGGGCGAGCTCCCGACAAGTCGTCCGACCATGATTTGATGTCCTTTGGATCGGTGTATTTCCCAGAAGAGGCAGTGGCCTTGAACTTGGGGTTCTCCCACGAGAGTCGTCGGTTGAGGGAGACGATGTATTTCAAGGCAGAGATGCGGTTGCGTCGACGTCCCAGGTCGAAACCGCAGAATTGCCGGCACTGCTGACTGGCCTGGGACTGCGCAGAGGCCAGCGGGCTCGAGTTGAGGGCAGTGCGTGCTAGGAGAAGCCTTGCACGGGGCGAGGCAAGTTGCGAGGTCGGAAGCATGTTGGTGGGAAATGTCGAGCCAATGGCTGAGCGAGAGCACTACCGAGTCTGGCAACAAATCAACAGTCAGCACCGATTTTCAATTGACAACGCCACAATGATGATATATGAGGAAGCCAGAGATCATACCAGACAAACGTCAAGCTGAATCACCCCAGGAGCAGCAATTGCATGTGACATGGAACTCGGGCAGAACCGGGTCGTGCGGGGAAGGACAGCTGAATCAAATGGCGTTTTCACGATGATCCGGGTTGACGACACGGAAGCCGACGACTGAGAGGCTGCGTGTGATGGCGACGAGAAGAGCAATTCCGTGGAAGGCGGAGAGTAGAAAAGCGAAGAAGAGTAAAATGGGGGAAAAATGGGAGAATGTGGTGAGAGGTGGGAAAATAGAGGAGTGGAAAAGAGAGAAGAAACGAGACCGAGGAGGACAAGTAAGAGTAAGGAATGAGTAGCATCAGCGGCTTATCTGAAGGTGAGCCAACTCGGTTCACCGCGCTGGGGAAGACGCTTGCGGGGTAGCCCACAGGAACCCACCAAGCCCACTAGGGGAGTCCACTAAGGAGCCCGCTAGAGAGCCCGCTAAGGCCACTGTGAGGTGCCACTCGTCCACTGAAGCTCGCAATGTTGCGCTGGCACGGGGGCGGTTGGTTGAGGGAATTGGGACAGATGTCCGTAGATTGGATTGATATCCAGATGTATCGAGACGGGACTCCACAGGAGAGTCTGGAGATATGTGGCCAGATGCCGGAACTTCCTCTTTTGGGGGATGGGGAACTTGGGGAAGTGTTGACACTGGTTGATGCTTATTATTAACATTTCGATGCTGTGAAATGGGCACCTCAGTCTGTTTTTAATAGCATTGATCGGATTGAACAGAGATACTGGCAGTACGTCAAGTACCTACACATGCAGTGATCACGAGATACTTTCATCTTACCAACGTAAACAAAGTCTCGACTTCACAACACCGACTTTCAAGGGAGACACGATCAAATCATGTATTGACAACATGGTCCCTACTTGCAGCATCACCGGCTCAAATGGCTGTAGCCTGACGCTCTATGCAGGGGCCCCAGACTTCGCTCTTCACTGGCTGTTAGAGGTTCCAGATACCGCCTGGGGTAGAGCCATGCCGACGTCACTGTGGAGCCAGTTCCCGAATTGACCGAGCCAAGCCGCCGCCCTGGGCCAATCAGAGACCGTCTGTCGAATGCATCTGGGGTCTCATGCAGGTTTCTTTGTACCGGTACCTGGTACTTGGTCTGGGGACAATCCAGACGTCGATCTTGGGGATGGCATCTCACGAGTTTGGGGTAATTCAACTTCCAATGCGGAGTTGTAAGGCATTGTCATTATTCATCATCGTCTTTTCTTTCCCATATATGACACATACGGAAGAGCCATGGCCACGGATCAGCGTCGCAGAGAGGCGGAGGTACGGTGTACGAATACAGTGTGATTACTCGCGATGATCTCTTGCCGGTCTCGAGATTGTTGTTGGTGTGGGAGCGCAACAGGCAAACGCGGCTTGGGCGGGCCAGTGGCGAGTTGGCGGATGCACGGAGCAACACACTCGCATAGTGCCCATCACAGAACGGTCAGAGTTTGGGAGAAAATTCCCTCATTGCTACCTCCGTGTTGTAACTTAGTGCTCTGCGTCTGTACAAGTACAAGGCGATGTGAATCACGCCGCTGCCTCTGGATCATAGAACTGCCTGGATTAGTGCGTACGTTCGGGTCAATGCAATATACGGAGTAGAGCGTCGGAAGATGAGTGGCGCTCTGGTCAAGCGTTATGCAAGGGGCCGCGGGTCGAGCATGCAGCTTGGTCATCGGGTTTTTTTTTCTCCTCACTCGAATTCTAGATGGCACTTTTCTAGCTGGTGAGATGAAGCCGATGGGGATGCTTCTGCCGGCGTGTCGTGATATAACTGGAAAAGAGATCGATGAGTACATGCATGCGAGTCATTCGTGTAAGACGAAATGGCGGTGCTTCACCCGTATTATGCGCTGACGGCTTTGACGAGATAGCAGCATAATGTAGACCGCCTGATGATACATGTAGATATATGCAGTTGTATAGGCATGTCGGGTAAGATGATCGGATCTCGAGCATTTTGGAAACGGCGGAAACGGCGTATGAGTGATGCTTCCTGTGTTGTTTCTTTACTCCTCGCCGCCATCATGTGCTGCGAGCTCGTGTTGCCTAAATGGGTAAACAAGATCGTGCAAGCATCCAATCTACTCCAGACATCCTGGCGGCGTGTTAGTCATCCGTGAGCACGGTGAGCTCCACAGCTTGATTTGGGGTTAGGTAATCGCTGGCAAGTTGAAATTCAACACCTATTAACATACGGAGCAAATGGTAATACTAGCTTCTTGGTCACCTCTCAAGCTTTGCTAAGGCTTTTTTACGCCTCTGAGCTCTATACGTATATATATAGTATATGGTTTCTGCATCACCGTAGTTTGATCGGTCGAGAGAGGAAATAAGATTCCAGCCAAGCCTGGCGAGGAATGCTTTTTTTCTCTTGCTTGATTCTTGATTTCAAATGCTAACAAACTCAAGGTGCGGGCGGGTGTTCTCCAGCTTACATAACGAGGCAGAAAACCCCGCTGTAGCCGGCGTGACTCTTTAGCTCTTTAGCTAACCGCGCGCTGAAAGCCCCAGCTGCAGGCGCTCCCGCAGGCGAAGCTGACATCACAGGCGCCTTTTTCCAGCGGCCACAGCCCCAGGGCCATTACTAAGTAATTTTTCGGTCCCTCTTCCGACTCCTTCAGATCTTCATCACCACCTTCGCCAGAGCTTTGCGCAACGCAGCTCGTCCGCCGCCTCTCCTCTCCTCCTCTCTCCTCTCGCCCTCAGCTCACCAGACCGACCATGAAGCGCGCCGCCGCCGCCAGCCGCGCTCCGGGCGCAAAGTTCGGCGGCTTCGGTGCTCCGGGCGGGACGGGCACCCTGTCGTACCTCGCCGAACCCCCGTCCTTTAGCGCCGTCTCGGACCCGAATGTCGTTGTGTCTCTCAAGAACCTGCTGAAGAAGGACAGCACCACCAAGACAAAGGCCCTGGAGGATCTGCTGGCGCATGTCCAGGCGCGGCCCTTTGAGAAGGATGGCGGCGTCGAGGATGCCATCCTGGATGTCTGGACCGGCATGTATCCGCGCATCAGCATCGACAACGCCCGCCGCGTCCGCGAGCTGGCGCATAACCTCCAGTTCGAGCTCATCAAGTCGGCGCGGAGGCGAGCCGAGAGACACATTCCCAAGATTGTGGGCGCGTGGCTGGCTGGGCTCTACGATAGGGACCGGGCCGTTGCGCGCGCCGCCAGCGACGGGCTGTCGTCCTTTATCAACACTCCGGAAAAGGTCATGGCGTTCTGGAGGAAGTGCCAGACGCAGATCCTCGACTACGCCATCGATGCGATCCGAGAAACACAGGATACACTCAGCGACGAGAGATCTACGACCAAGGATGATGCCGAGGCCAAGTACATCAGAGTTGTGGGCAGCAGCCTGTCGCTCGTGCTCAGTCTTCTTCAGAGGCTCAGCGACGAAGAAGTCGCCAACCAGAGCGACAAACTCGACGAGTTCTTCTCCGAGGAGACTGTATGGCGTACCATCACCTTCAACGACAGCGCCGTGAGAAAGACTGTATGCCACCTTGTCATCACTTGCCTTAACCGCAAGCTCCCCTATGCCGAGTCCACCCAGGCCAAGCAAGCCATGGTCACGGGCGGCCTCAAGACCAGCCAGAGTGGTTCTGCGCTCGACTATGTCCGGGCCTTGACGAGGCTGTCGCAAGCTGTCCCCGACCTCTGGACACCCTCTCCCAAAGAAAAGAAGCCCGCGCTCTCACGATTACGACAGTTTATCGAAAAGGGTTCGCAAGGCTGTCCCGCAAAGTACTGGGAACATCTTGACGAGCTCATATCCGTTCTCCCAGAAGAACAGATGAAGAAACTCGAGACTGCCTCTGACTTTCTGGGGGCCGTCAAATCCGGCGTTACCAATCGCGAAGAGCCTCGAACAAACACATCCATGGCCTGGAAGTGCTACATTGATACTCTCAAGCGCCTCATCAGAAACCTTTCCGACGACGAGAAGCTCGTCTTCGCCCGCGAGCAGATCTTCCCCCTCTTCGAACACTCGCTCCTTACTGTATCTGACAAGCCAGTGGCCATTCCTCTGGGCCCCAATGCCATGTTCATTCTGGTCGAAGCTCATCTTACTATTCTTCGGAGCCCCTCAGCCGTCATCGCGGCATCGGCAGAGGAGTGGGCACGCTTGGCTGATTTGCTGTGTACGAGAATCGCTGGTTCTCTGCCAGAGGTGTCCAAAGAGTACCAGTCATCTCAGGAGAAGATTGCCGAGGAAGGTCGCCGGTGGTTTGGCCTTGTTGGAGAAATTCACAGGAAGCTGGTTGTCATCGGTGAATCTCTGCCAGATCAGACCGCAGCTCCATCCAAGACCGTCATCGACCAGTGCCTCACCATCTTACAGAACCGCAACATGAAACCTTTTGGGGCCGCGGGCGCCCTCGAATACGCGCTTAGCACCGCACAGCATCTTTTCGATGGCGAGACTGGAGACAAGGTATCGGAATTCTTGGCTGCGGCGGCGCGAGACTCGGCGGAAAAGGTTATTCAATCTGCTTCGAGCAGGCCGCTGCTGTCCTGCCTTAACCTCCTAGGAGCAATCCCGTCTAGATACCAAGCTTACGGCGCCATCTGGGGATCCTGGGTCGAGGCGGTCTTGGAATTTCCCGATCGTGCTACTCGCAATTCAGCTCTCATATCCCTTATTTCCGAAGAAAAGGCTTCTGAACTCACCCGAGGGAATGCCAAATTGCAGGCTTACATCATAACGGAAGCAATCGACTCTGTCAAGAACCAGGCACCCGGATGGGAGCTTCTAGAGGCCAGCATGAGCGAGAAAGGCCTCTCCGACGAGAGCTGCAAAGAGCTATCTGAAAAGCTATTGGAAATTCTTGACAAGGAGCAAGAATCTGCGGAGCCGGCACTAAGAGCGTTAGAAGTCCTTGCCAAGGGCAGGCCACAGCTTTTCACCGAAAATGATTCGCTTCATACAGCCTTGGTTGCTCAGTTATTGGGCCTGTCTGAGATCAGCAGCAATGTCGTTTCATCAAAGGCCATCGCAATTCGCGCCCTTTTGCAGGGAGACGGAGCCGGTACTCAGCCGGTGATTGAGATCATACAAGACAACCTCGAACGAGCAGGCCCTCAGTCGTTGGATATCGAAACTCTATCCAAGCAGGCTCAACAAGCGCACGCTGCCGGCATTGCCGTTGAGGAAATCTTTCCGAGCACGAATGTCTGGATGCAGAAGTTGGCGCCTTTCTTGGAACAACCCATCAACCCTTCTCTGTCCATCACCAACAGCCTGGGCGGTGCCGTCACGCTGGCCAACTTGACTGCTCAGCCGACTGAGGTTCGCGTGCACAGAGACAGAAAAGGTCGTTCAGTACCATTAAGAATGTCTCTTTACTCTGCACTCCTTTTGAAGGAAGGGATTGACATTACCAAGCTGCCGCGTCAGTTTCAGATAGAGTTGCTGTGTATCCAGTGCCTCACCATAGAGCTTGCTACGGATCAGATTACCTCGAGGGACGACAACTCTCTTTGGCGAACCTTGGATACTGCTGACGCCCTGTCAGAAGCAGAATCTCTGGTGACGACGCTGAGGAACTATGTTGTCAACAAGAGCTCCTTGGCGTCCCAGTGGTGGGACAATTCGGTGGACGAAGAGCAGGCTCATGTTTTCCGAGGACTTGTTGAGCTCCTCAAAGAGGAGTCGAGAGAATTGACGCCCAGAGGCGTTTACAGTGCTAGGGCTCTCAGTGAGATCATCCAGGTCTTGTCAGAAGCACATGGACTGCCGCCTAGTCTGGAGGAAAGCCTTCTCAAGCCAGTGCTGGCAAAGGCTACCCCGGAGACTGCACTCCTCGCCGCTGCCTCGATATCGGGGCTGGGCGAGACGATAAAGTCGTCCAAGCTGGTGAGCAACTTTTGCAATCGGCTTGTCAGTGACGTCGCGGGGGCTTCTGCAGGTGATAGCAAAACCATGATGATCCTCGTCCTGCTTTCCCTGTCTGCGCAGGTGTACGCTGGCGGAGAGCTGCCCGTGGCTAATAACCGTATTGTGTTTGCCGTCAGACAGATCACATCGTGGCTTGAAGAGGAAGAGCCATTGAGCGCTCCTCTCTCTGCCGAGATCTGCCGCGTGCTGAATCTACTGCTACCTTGCATGAGTGATGTGTTTGGCTCGTATTGGGAAAAGGCCATTGAGTTCAGCCTTGACCTGTGGGAGAAGGCAGCTAGCCACCCCCTCCCAGACGCTCTACCCTTTATCCATTCCTCGCTCAAGCTCATGAAGACGCTCGAGAACCTTGAGGATGCAAATGATGACCTACAAGACGCCCTCCGAGAATCAGCAAGCAAGAAATCCAAGTCGCTGATTGAGCTGCTGAAGCTTCCCCGTGGCGCCAGCAGCCAACCTCTAGAGATTGCGGATGCTCTGCTATGCCGAGAGGTGGAAAAGGTGTCTATCAAGAACATAAGAGACATTCCAGAAATTTATGAGCTTGTTGCTTCGGAGTCTCAGAACATTCAGACTGCAGCTTTCGATTTGCTACACAGGGCGCTACCGGCCATTCAGGCGCAAAAGTCAATTGACATTCTTTTGGATAAGACTGGTAAGATTTACCATTTTCTTTATCTTCACATTAGGTAATCTATCACTTTGAACTTGGATCCAATGGCTGACTGTGTGCAATAGATGCTCGTTTGCCCGATGAGCTGCTGTCGTTGCTTCTCGACGCACCAACTCTGGAGCGCTACTCGGACGAAATGCTCGCGCAATTCCCGTCACCGATTCGAAGCTACTTGCTATCATGGAAGCTTGTTTTTGATGGCTATTCAGCATCCTCATTCAAGATGAGAAGCGATTTCACGGAAAACCTCAAGACGGGTGACTACATATCTCCCTTTTTGGATTTCATGTTTGACGTCTTGGGCCACTCGGCCGCACACCCGTTGAACCTCGAAAAGGAACAGCTTACGACGGAGAACATTCAAAACTACGACGTCAAGGTTGCTCAGTCAGAGCCTGAAGAAAGGAACATGCAGTGGCTGCTGGTGCACCTGTTCTACCTCACGCTCAAGTACATCCCAGGCCTCTTCAAGGCGTGGTATCTCGCCTGTCGCTCCAAGCAGACGCGCATCGCTGTGGAAGCATGGACGACAAAATACTTTTCGCCCCTCATCATCTCCGAGACACTTGATGATGTGCAAGAATGGGTGGACCAGCAGGATGCTCCAGGGGTTGATGAGCAGGAAGTGCTGGTCAAGATCTCAAAGAATGCTCGGGAGGTGATTGTAGGCTACGAAGTCGACGATACACAGGCCTCAATCGTGATCAAGGTGTCGCCAAACTACCCGATCGAAGCCGTGACGGTCACGGGCCAGGAATCCGTGGCCGTCAAAGAGCGCACATGGAACAGCTGGATCATGACGACTCAAGGTGTCATTACATTTTCCGGAGGTAGCGTCATCGACGGCGTGCAAATCTTGAAGCGCAACATTGTCGGCGCGCTCAAGGGCCAGACGGAGTGCGCCATTTGCTACAGCGTGATTGCGGCAGACAAGCGCATGCCGGACAAGAGGTGCACGACGTGCAAGAACTTGTTCCACCGGACGTGCTTGTACAAGTGGTTCCAGAGCAGCAGCCAGAATACTTGTCCTTTGTGCAGAAACCCGATTGATTATCTGGGTGCTGATACACAGAAGAGGAGACGCGGTTAGAGAGAAGGGGAGGAAGATGGTTTTTGATTTGAATAAGACGATTATAAAGAGTTATCTTAATGTGTACATGTATGATGATATTATTGTGAAGAAGGCGTGTTGAATATTTGGGGGGGGGGGGCTATCCTGGATTTGTGTTACTCATCATTTGCAAAGCACTTGTATGTTAGAACCTGGTGAAGATGAAGATGCACGTTAGCTATTATGCAATGCACATATATCGCATGAAATTTCCTTTCGGATCGAAAGCCTGACTCACCTCGTCGGCCGTAGCCCTGCTCCCATCGTAGCGGACCAATCTCGCTACGGCATCTCTGAACCCTGCATCGACACCCGGTAATATCACATCCCATTCCCTCTGCGGAAACACCGTCCACAGCTCAAACGGCGTGACCCGAAAGGCCTTTGCCTCGGGCCACGTTTTGGGCGTGGGTGTGCCGAGAGTCTTGAAGATGCTGAGGATGAGGCCGAGCTGGTTCCCGTCTTCGTGGACGGGTCGGGACTCGAATGGTGGTGATGGCGGAGAGCGGATTGCCTCGGCTAGCATGACGCCGAAAGCCCACATGTCGATGGCTGGGCCGTAGGACTTGTCGCCGAAGAGGACCTCGGGAGCGCGGTACGGGCCGGTGCCGATGTCGAGGATCTTGGACGCCGGCGGCTCGGAGGAGGAAGAGAAGGTAGGGTGCCAAGCGGTGCCGAAGTCGGATAGATAAGCCGGGCCGAAAGGCGACGCGAGAAGGATCGCTGAAGGCTTGATGTCGCGATGAACGATGCCCTGGCTGTGGATATCCGCAAGAGCCCGGAGGACATCCCCAAAGATAGAACGGATCAGGGCATTGTCCAGCGCAGAGGAAGACTTGTCGAGGACGTCGGCGAGGGTCAGCGGCATGTACGGAAAGGCGAGGACGAGGCGCTGCTCCTGGTCACGGAAGGACTCGAGCAGGGGGATGCATGGCGGACGGAGGGCCTGCAGGATCTTGATTTCGCGGAGGGGATTGTGCGGCTCGACGGAGTGGACGATGACTTTGAGGGCGGTGGTGCCGGAGCGGAAGACTTCGGATGTGACGCCGTCTGAGATGGGGGAGCAGTTGGTGTATGAGCCGATGGTGATGCCGGATTGGGGGGCTGGTTGTGGTGAGGATGGGGATGAGGGTGAGGGTGAGGGTGAAGTTGGGGAGTTTTGGTGTTTGCTTGGGTGGCAGGCGGAGGTGTATTCGTCCTGGGTGTGTGTGTGTGTTAGTGGATTGAGGGTGTATGAGTGAAGGGATATAGGATATATACCAAGGAGGATGAATTGTCGTATGCTGCTTGTTCGATGGCGACGGCTTCACTCATGTCCTGCGAGGGGAGGGCCTCGAGACTTGTACGATGCGGTCAGCATTATGTGTATGCAATCGGTGAGAAGAGACTTATGAAGCTTACATTTTGGATATTGTCTCATATCGGTCTACTGATGAGACGGATGACTTCCATGCGGAGGAGACCATTCTGTATAAGTGATGAGATAGTTTACTTGAATGGAAGCTCAAGACGTCCCAAGCTTCAAAAATTCACCTATAAATAGCAACGTAAAGGTTGAAATGCACAACCCGGCGATTGATTAATTAATTATGCAGCAAATCGTTTATTCTTCCCCCCTCTCGATCATGCCAGCCAAGCATCCCCGTTGCCAATGCGACACGTCATTTGACCGATTGGGCTCCATTTGATTGAAACCGACCAGGATCTCCCGCTGCATATTATTGATGTTTTGAAGCACCAGACTGCATTTGCATTGGTCCGAGGCTTCTCCGACGACATCAATGTTCGCCGCCCCAGCGCAGTTGGCTGCTGACGAGGCTGGGGGCCACAGCGCATCCACAGCGCATAATTGGCCCGCCAGGCCCCCCGTAATTGGGTTCCCGGCTAATGTCACAGCGAGGCTGGCCCACTGCGAGTACCTGCAAGGGAACCTGAGCCTGAACCCGAGAAAAAATTACAGCGGGCTCGAGCTTAGCACCCGAGCCGGATTCTGGCACCACTCCAATGCTGCTGTGAGGTTCCAATTCTTCTTCCGTCACCATCTCCACCAGACTCGACTGGACTCTTTCTCCCTCCACCAAACCCTCGACCAAAACACCACCCAAGCGGCATCGCCATGCGCGCATCCGACTAGGAACGGAGCCCCGATTCCAGTCCGTCATCCGCCGTCCCCCGATTCCGCCCTTTTCAGCTTCATTTAGCTTCTTCTTCTTCTTGCCGCTCTGCACGCAACCCCCGGTCTCCGTTAGACGCCACACATCATGGACGAAACGCCGAGGACAGAGTATCCGGCCATGCTGGTAAGCCGAGGGCCTGCTCCCTGTGTTTTTGAGCATCCGCGATGCCTGGAGGGCTCTGCGGGTGCTTTTGCGAGGCGCAATGGACTGACGAACCGCCCTTGGTGGCGCCATTGGTGACAGGCTCATCTGCAGCCCGGCCAGGCCGTGCAGACGCTCAACGACCGCATGAAGCGCATCAACAAGATCAATCTCGAGATTGCCGACTGGCTTCAGGTACGCACCGCCCGCGCGGAACAACCGGCCGAGGTGCCGTTGGGGTTCTGATCCGGTAGGGAAGCAAAGCTGACCCTGGTGTAGGAGCGCCGTCGCGTCGAGGAGCAGTATGTCTTGGGAATGCGCAAGCTGGCCCAGTTCAAATCTCCCAATGCGCAGTCGGAACTGGGGTGAGTCGCCAATCCTCTGCGCCAATGCCCTCTGCCCGAGCTTGGGCTCCGATTTGCCTGCTGCTAACGACTGTTGCCGCAGTGTTTTCCAGCTTCCGTGGTCCCGAATCATTGAGTCCGTCGAACGCATCGCCCAGTCGCACCAGCTCTTCGCCGATCGCCTCGGCAATGATGTCGAGCAGCCCCTCCGAGGCTTCCCCCAGCGCCAGGACGTCCAGAACATGACAAACATCTCCAACAACCTGACCGTCATGGCCAGGGAGCTCGACGACGCGCGAGACAAGTCCGACAAGCTCACCAAGAAGGGCGGCAAGGCTAGCACGCAAAAGGTCGACGCCGCGTCATCCAAGCTCGAGTCGGCCACCCAGCAGTGGGAATCGCAGTCGCCCTTCATCTTTGAGACCCTCCAAGTCCTCGACGAGTCGCGCGTCAACCTGCTCCGCGACTTGCTGACGCAATTCCAAACCCACGAGTCCGACCGGGCCCAGCGAGACTCCGATATATCCGTCGAGACGCTGGCAATGATGCTTGAGATTAGCACCGAGAGGGAGGTACAGAGCTTTGTGCAAAAAGTGACAGCCGGCAAGGCCCAGCTGCCGCCATCTAGGACAGCTACAAGACGCTCAACAACCCATATGTCGCAGAATTCCGCTGCTAGCCAGCCGAGCGTTCCATCGACTCCGAATACCTCCCAGCCGCCACAAGAAGACGACGCTAGCGAGCACAATTCGGTGCCCAACAGTGAAGCCAAGCCTGGTAAGTCTGCGGACCATAAATAGCATGAGATAAATGTGGTGCTTGCTAACCAATGACTTTGCGATTCGCCAGAATCCAAGCTGCGAAGGTTGGGCACCATGTTTGGTGGCCGGCGACGCCAGAGCGTCCACGCGGGATTCGGCTCTCTCTCTCCCCAGAAGACGCCCGGGCCTACCTTTGGGCGACTCGGTAGCAGCCATGGCCGCGGCGTCTCTCCAATGACGTCCTCGAGCAACCTTCACGAAAACAACCGGCTATCTATCCTGCCCGAGATGCCAGACCAGGCTCGCAGGCCACAGTCTTCCTCGGACGCCATGCACAGGGATAGGGGAGAGGAGGGTGGACCGTCGACCAACGGGAACATGAATGGTTTTGGAACTGGAGAAAGTCTTTTGGATACCCAGGCGCCAGATATGCCATCTTCAAGCGCCACCAATGGTAATGTTAATGTAGAGCAGCAGCAACAACAATTCCAACAGCAGCAGCAACAACCAGAAGCAGCCGCTGTCAACCCGCCACCGTCCCAGCAGAGCCAGCAAGAGCCTGTATCTCCAACCTCCAAGGACGAAGAGGGCTTCACGATTCGAGCACCCATGAACGACCCCATCTCAGAAGCCCAGAGGGAGGCCGCAAACGATGAGAATGACCAGCTCTTCAAGCTCAATATCCAGAACAAGCCAATTGAAGAGGAGGATCCCGAGGCAGCACAGGCCGCTCTCTCCAGCGTGGCCAACACGCTCAAGATGGGCTCGATCAACCGACGCTCCATGACGGTTCGAGGACGCCGCGACGTTCGCAACACCATTTATGCGCCGGTGTTGCACTTCCCGGAAAGCTACTCGGACAACGCCATTCCCGCCATGCCGGCCATCCCTTCATCTCCCCCTCGACCCCCATCTTCTAGGCCGGCCGCCGTTGCTGCGCTTGCTTCCGAGGCCAGCGCTGCCTCTGACACGCAGTCAGTGCGATCTGGAAACTCGCTCGGCAGCGCGCATACAAAGCACCCTGAGCTGACGGCGCCGGGACTAAACGCATCCATTATTGAGACCGTCTCGGTTCTCTTTGAGGGCGGCGTGTTGAAGAGCACATCGGTTGCGGGCGAGATTGCCTTTGCCAACAATCCCACAGCAGATGCCGATTCTGCCAAGAGTAAGTCACCTCTCTCGCCATTCCCTTCTTCTTTTCCCTTTGTAGCAGGTCAGTGATGATAACGTCAAACAGCACATGAAACCATTCGCATCAACAATTTTGCCAACCTGGAACGCATCGGCCCCAACCGCATCTTTGTTCACAACGCATCTCCCGACCAGCCTGACCAATTCGCTCTCGACCTCTCCCACATCTCCAAGACGGCGACTGCCTTTTCATACCGCGTCTTCGCGGACGAATCCGAGACCCCCTCTCTGGGCCAACACGCCCCTCTCCTGATCAACCCCGCGTGGAAGCCCCAAGGCGACAAGCTCGGCCTCCTTTTGCAGTATCAGCTCAACCCCGAGTGCAAGTGGACGGCCCCCGTGACTCTGCACAACGTCGTCTTTGTGGTGTCGTACGAGGGCCGGGCGACTGGCGCCCAGACGAAGCCCAGCGGCACCCACCTGAAGGATAAGCACCTTGTGTACTGGCGACTGGGAGACGTGACCCTGACCGAGGTGACGCAAAAGATTGTCTGCCGCATTGTCGGCGCAGACGGCGTGGAGCCGCAGCCGGGCCACGTCGAAGCCCGGTGGGAGTATGCCGTGTCGGGCGAGGACGTCGTGGGCAGCGGCATCTCCATCTCTAGGCTGGAGGCGGTGCCGAGCAAGGATGCCGTGGAGAGCGATCCGTTTGCAGATGAGAACCCTGCCAGCTCGAACCCGTCGCTCGTGGAGCCGACATGGGTCGATGTGCCTGTGACGAGGAAGCTTGTGAGCGGCAAATACGAGGGGAAATAATGGCTTTTTGACATTGAGCAGTCAGTGCTTCTTTGTCTGGGGGGAAGGGGGGGTTGAGATTTATATTATATATTATGCAAAGTTCTATTGCTAATGATGTTTGAACTCAACGGGGGGGCTATCATCACCAGCCTCTACCGTTTGGAGCGATGAAAAACACACACAAACTTGAAGCGACTTTATTTTTTTACTCTTATTGAAACTCTTTTCTTTTTTTTTGTGTTTGTTGGGGGGACAAGAAAAAAGAAAAGTATCGCACGACCGTTACACCGACCTATTTTTTTTTTCTTTTTGGCAGTTTTATCTATCTATTCACTCGTGATATCAAGGGGTTCTTTTGTTTTTTGAGGGAGAGCATTTGCTGGGTGCTGCTGATGTGTACACACGTTCGTTCTTTTTTTTTTTACTAAGATTTACTTTTTTGTCTGACGCTGTTACTCTCGTTTTACTCTCGTTTTTGGCCTTTCTTTGCGTTTTAATTTCCTGTGTTTTGTCGCTGTGTTGGAGAGAGAGATTTCCTGTGTCGTCGTTGTTGTACTGGAGAGAGAGGGGGGGGAGGAGGAGGATGGAAGGAGGAAGAAGGGTTTAGTTTGTATGAGAAGGTTGTAGTAATAGTCTTTTTTTGGAGGAAGAAGGGATGAAATATGTTTTTGATTGCTGATGCCTTCTTTTACTTACTTGCTTTGTTCGCTCTGTTTTATTTTGGCAGAGGGTGAACTGAACTTTGTGAGAGTGAACTGGCCCTTTGATGGGGAGAAGAAACTAATATTATCGTGTGGTTGCATTGACAGCTTAGAGTTGCAGCTGAAGTGGATTTATGGAGTAAGTACATAGAACGGGCGATTTCATCAGCTTATTTTGTGTGTCGATCTTCTGTTTAAGTCGCGGCTTTATAGATGCTGCTGAGGCGATGAGAGCTTGATGTAGAAGGTGGTGAGTAATCGATTTAGAAAAAAAAAAAAAAAGATGTTCCGTCAATCATGTTTTGCGGAAATGGGAATATGGGGGAGCTGAAAGGAGAATTGATTGGCGTAGATTGAAATAGGGATGGAAATAACCTTGTGTTGATACCCCTGTTTTGGTTTTGGTGGGATGGATGGATTTATAGGATCGGAGTTAGTAGGACCGATCCTTGTTGTTTGGAGAGAAGTAGAAAGGGAACAGCACTGTGTTATATCTACAGAGTATATAGATTCTCAGTATTATAGAGGCTATCGTGTAAAGGATTTGGCTGTATAGTTGAGATTATTTGAATAGATGAAGAGTATAATATAACTGATACCGTCGTCTGGTAAATGTCAGATGCTAGGCAATCTGCCGAGATTCTATGGAGTCGCAGCCTATTTTCCTGAAACAAGCCAAGTACTGTCTATCCTTTACTAGTATTCGCATTGAACGGAACAAAGACACATAGTTCAATGGCAAATAGTGCTCACTCAACTTGGGCCTCTAGTCGGGCTCGGCATCTTGGATTGTCCGTCTCGATGCATTCAATGCAACGCTACAAGGACAGCTACACAAGATGTCAAGTATGTACATGTACTATTCTTCACTTATTCCACTGCATCTACATCTATATACATACCCGTCGCTTATATACACCTACCAGATCTCCTCGCAATTCCTCCATTGACTGACTATTCTTCTACAGTATTCACCTGCTTCATCATAGCTTGTTTGATGTCCCACTTATTCTGTCTAAACCGCCGAGAGTTGCGGCGTCGCCAAGATGATCATTTCCCACTTGGAACAGCCCTCGGATTCGCAGATTCTTAGCACGCAGATGATCACTTCCAGATGAAGCAGCCCGCAAAAACCAATTCATCTGCCCCAAGGAGGACGTGACGTGAGAAAAAAGGATGAAAATGAAACGGAAGTGTAAACGAAACAAAACATGGTCAGGGGGCGGAGAGACGGGGATTTTGGAAGAATATAGGGGAGAAATACTGTTGAGCTGAGTCCTTGCTGAATATAAATAAGATGAAAGACCTCTCACTCATGATGTCTAGCTAGCATTGGACTCTGTATCCATCTGCAATTCTTGAGTTGAGACTTGTAAAACAGCCTTCATCTCAAATCACCATGCATATCCAAAGCTTGATCAAGCTTTATGCCACGGCGGCACTCGCTGCTTCATCATCTGCTCTCTCCGTGCCTCGGTCCAGCTCAAGCTCTCTTGAATCTCGCCAGAATGGAGGACCACTCGTCTTTTGCCACTTCATGGTGCGTTTATACAATACAAATACAAGAAAAAATAACAGTCAACTAACATAAAATCATCCAGATTGGCATCGTCGGCAACAGAGGCAGCGCCGCCGACTTCGACGCCGACATGAAAAACGCAAAAGCCGCCGGCATCGACGCCTTTGCGCTCAACATCGGCGTAGACTCGTACACCGACCAGCAGCTCGAGTACGCCTACGAGTCCGCGGCCAACAACGGCATGAAGGTCTTCATCAGCTTCGACTTCAACTGGTACCACACCGACCAGGGCACGCAAGTCGGCCAGATGATTCAAAAGTACGGCTCCAAGCCCGCGCAGCTGCTCGTCGACGGCAAGATCTTCGCCTCGAGTTTCTCTGGTGATGGTGTTGATTCGAATGCTGTTCGTTCTGCGGCGGGGGGAAACATCTTTTGGGCGCCAAACTTTCATCCTCAGCAGGGAACGAACTTGGGTGATGTCGATAGCGCCTTTAACTGGATGGCCTGGCCCAGCGACGGCAACAACAAAGCCCCCAAGCCAGGATCCAATGTTACTGTCCAAGACGGTGATAACACTTACACCAGCGCCCTCGCCGGCAAACCATATCTCGCCCCTGTATCCCCCTGGTTCTCTACTCACTTTGGAGCCGAAGTGCCCTACTCCAAGAACTGGGTGTTCCCCGGAGACTTCCTCTGGTTCGACCGCTGGACGCAGATCCTGCAGCTCAAGCCGCGCTTCGTCGAAATCATCACCTGGAACGACTACGGCGAGAGTCACTACGTCGGCCGCCTCGACAGCCCGCACGGCGACGACGGGAACTCCAAGTGGACGTATGGAATGCCGCACAACGGCTGGCTGGACATGGCCGAGCCCTTCATCGCCGCGTATAAACAAGGTTCAAGTGATCCGGCACCGCATATCGCCGAGGATAAGATTGTGTATTGGTTCCGTCCTACATTGTCGAGCATCAACTGCGATGCTACAGATACTACTATGGGTGACGCCGACAATTCTACGGGCAATTACTTTAAAGGTCGACCCGACGGATACCAAACTTTGCAGGATAAAGTCTTCATCGTCACGCTGCTCAAGGAAGCTGGTACTCTCGAGGTCACCGTCGGGGGCAACACGCAGACCTTCCAGGCTGCTGCCGGCGCAAACAAGTTCTCCGTCGACATGGCACCTGGTCCGATCTCGTTCAAGGTCAACGGCTTGTCTGGCGATGCGGGGATGCAAATTCTTGATCATTGTCCCTGTGGAATTTACAACTTTAATGCGTATGTGGGCACGATTCCTGCTGGGGTGCCGGATCAGCTGCAGCCTGCGGGTTATTCGAATATTATGAATGGCCTCAAGGTGTCGACGTGTGGTCCTACTGGGAATTAATAAAGAAGAGAGTGATTAATGAGTTGATTTTGTGTATATGTTGATATATCATGTATATACTAAAACTGTGTCTATATCAGGATGTTGAATATACGAGTATAATACAAAAGGGGCTACGTTAATATTGAAGTCACCACTGTGAGATATCAAACGCCACCAATGGAGTGATTATAATTCTTCATTCAAATACAGAGCATAATCATGGCTATCATATTCCTTAAAAGGCTGCACAAATGCTACTAAATAAGACGTTTTCCTAATATGATCAATACCTTACATGCCAACCCAATCCCGCCTATGCCCGCCTCGTGATATCAAAGAAAAGAGCAACAAGCAAAAAAAGACTCGCAATACCAGGCAGCACTTGCGCAAAATCGATATTCGCCGTCTTTCTCTTCTTCCTCAGCTCTTCTTCTATATCACCCATCACATCATTCCCCTGAAGCCGCCCTCGCATGCTCTTCGTAAAACTCCAGAGTCAGTGCCGCCAGAAACCCCGGGATGCATCCCTTCTCCCTCACCCAGAATCCAATGTGATCCCCAATCTTGCGTGCAAACGCGCTCTTAGGCCCGCCGCCCACCTTCATCGTGCCTCTCTCGCCGTCAAACACAATCGAGTTTTCGTGCTCGTCTGTTTGCGACGGGTAAAACGTGCTCTCTACTCGCATCTTGCCGTTGGGGATAAACGTCACCGTCCACCCCAGCGTCGAGAAGATGGCCTCTTTAAACTCTTGTGACTTGGAGCCCCAGACCTCCTTGAGCCGTCGCGCCGATTTTTGCGCGCTCGCCGTCTCTGCCTTGGCCGCGGCGATTTCGCGCTCCATGGCGCTCAGCACCGACGTCGGGACCAAGGGGATCGCAGGGTCTGTCTGCTTCGATCGCAGCGTCGCCAGCAGCTCCTTGTTCTCCTTTTGCAGAGCCTCCAGCGTCGCCCGCTTGATCGCCTCATAGTCCGAGGTTGGGTTGGACCTCAGCGACAGCACGCGCGTCTTGGTCTGCTCCTTGGCCGCGGCGAGCTGCTCGCGACTGGTCGAGAGGTCCTTTTCGAGCATGGCAACCTGCGTCTGCAGGCTCGTCAGATCCTCCTGAAGCTTGCGATTCTTACGCGTAAGCTGGCCCATTTGCTCCTGGGCGGCGTCGTCTTCCGCACGGCTTCGTTTGCTTCCTGCCAGCAGCAGCTGCTCCGGCGACGACGCTTGCTGTGACGAGACGTCCATGGATGAGAGCTCACCATGCAGCTTCTGCACCTCCATCTTGTAATTGTCCACCATGTCCTCCAGCTCCTGGATCCGCGCCGCCCGCTTCTCGTCATAGTCATCGGGCTGCATCGCGTGCTCCTCAGTGTCAAATGCCTTGAGCTGTGCGCGCAGGTACTCGACTTCTTTCAGGGCTAGGGCACGCTGGCGATCTAGACGCATGCGCACCTTGTCGGTGTTGGCGGCATGCGCAGACGTCGTAGCATTCTCGACTTGGCTCCGTAGCTGAGCCTTTTCTTCCTCCAAGGCTTGAATCTGCCCCTGCTGAGCTGCAATTTCAGCACGGACAGCTCCAAGCTGCTCGACGTAAGAGGCAGTAGTGAGCCGCTCTTGAACGAGCGCCCGCGCAATCTCTTCGGGAGAGTCAAACTCTGCCTGGCCTGTTTCTGACACATTCTCGAGATAGGCGGACCATGATAGACGCTCATCTTCCAGTCTCTGCCGCTGTATTCTGGCCTCTGCCAGCTCCGCCTCTAGCCTCTCCGCAGCCTCGACCTTGCGCAACAGCGTCCTCTTTTCCTCCTCGACAATCTCCACAGCCTTGTTGACGGCTCGGAGTCGTTTCAGCTCGGCAAGCTGGTCGCGATTTGTAGCTTCGAGGGCACGGATGTGCGAAACCTGTTCTGACAGCTCCCTCTTGATGACTTCCATGGTCTCTGCATCGCCGCTTTGCGCCTTGAGCCGCAACACGTCTGCCTCTAGCCTGCCAATCACGCTGTCCTTTTCCAGAATCTGCTCTTGGTACTGCTGCAGCGCCGACTCCCGTGCCTCGGCCTCTTGCCCCATCTCCTGTATTGAGCTGTTTGCCGCAGCGATTTGCATCTGCAAGTCGTTGGCTTTCTTGTCTGCTCTTCTCGCGGCTTCGTCTTTGGCGTTGGTCAGGTCCTCCACTTGCTCCTGCGCAAGACGGGCCTCGTCCTCGGCGGCTCGGATTTTGGACTCGAGCGCCCGCTTTTCGTTTTCTGCGACCTCCTTCAACTCCTCCATTTCTCGCCTAATCGACTCCGCCTTGGTGTCCGCCTTGGCCTTTTCTGCTTCGGCCGATTGGCGTTGCTGGGCCTCTTCCTGTTCTCGCCGTCGGGCTTGCTCCATCTTGTTGCTTTGCTGAGACAGCGCAATGTCCTTTTCCTGCTCGGCAGTCTGCAGGCGGTATTGCAAGGTTCCAATCTCGGCCTTAAGGGCCTCGATCTCTCTGTGAAGCTTTTCATGTCCGTCTGTGCTGGGCGGCACTAGATTTTCCTTTGATCCCGAGCTCTTAAGCGAGCCTCGAACTGATGCAGCCGCATTGCTTTGCCTTGATGCCGGTCTGGACGTGCTTGATTCTGCGGTCTGGATGGTGGGAATGGGCTGAGTTGCTCGAAAAGACGCTATCTAAGCACAAGTAACGAATCATTAGCATATCAAACATCAAAAATTGAGCATCAACAAAGACCCCCGCCGCCGTTGTCGACATACCCTTGAATCACGGAGTGACAGATTTGGCCGTGGCAGGCTGGAGCTGCTTGCAGTTCGTAATCTGCTGGTCGACCGAGAATTCGGCCGACCGGCAGAGCCTCCCGCTTCCTGCGTAGCGCGGCCGCGCATCTCGACTGGCTTTGGCCTTGAAAATGCTGATAACGGCTGTTGTTGACCTTTTTTGTTCTTTTGAGAAACGCGCAGAAGCGCGTCTGAGAGTATGCCGTATGGGTGGTCACGTGATGATGCAAGCTCCCGGGTAGCCGCTTGTTGGAGATGGGAGAGAGGTTCGAGAAAAGGTGGTAGATGGGAGAGCAAATATGACGCTGCAATTGAAAAGAAAAATGTTGAAAAAAAATTGGTAATGTGAAGAGGTTTGAAGCCAATTGGAATTTCAGCTGAATGAATGTAAATAATTCTGAGGCTGATGTACAATCGCAAACTTTGAGATCATATATAATTACAATGTTTTGACCAGTCGTCGTTACCTCGCAAAAGAGAGCATGGTCACGCAATCGCAACCAACCATGGAGGTAAATTGAACAATTTGCTCTCATTTCAATAGACACAGATAGGCCTATAGAGCTAGTGAAAATTTGGTTGACTCGTTCAAAGCGCCAGTACTGTAGATGTACCTACTTGGTTCTGTACAGAGAGAACAGGTACAACAGCTTGGCCCAGTCATCAGATAAGATCTGCGTCAGCCAATCGGCACTCGGTCCATCGTCTGGGTCGGTGCTCCGGACCAGCAGCTCGAATCATGGAACGTCCAAATATTCCCGCTCCGTCTTGTAGAAAGGTGGCAATTATTATGAGGCATATATAAATATATATAAAAGGCACAATTGCAGCAATTGGCATTGGATGCAATGGAATTTAAAGACGAGATACAAGTGCAAGTACAAGTACAAGTCCCCCTAGCTTAGAAAACCTGCTGCATCTTGTACCTGGTTCTCCCCTTGCCAATGACGCAGCTCCAGGCCTGCCCGTGACCCACCCGCAGAACAAGATCCAACCTTAGTGGGAAGCTCTGCCAGCTCCCTTCATCTTCTCATCCCACCATTCCATCCTCAGCCAAAACACCACAAAGACGCTGGATATACGGCTGTCGAATAGCTTCAACCACTTCCGTATTAATACCAATCCGATCTCGAATAACCAGTGCATGGATTGCACCACTTGAGCGTCCTCTCGTGGCCTTTGCCGCTGCTCCCGTATCCGCGAATAGCCCTCCCTCACTCAAACTCGAATCAGATCAGCCCAGCTCCAAAGATCGAATCGGCTCGCCCTTTTCCATCCGCAATGGTCGCCCTTGGACGAAGCATCGGGGTACATAGAAGACATCTACAGTGCTGATCTATGAAGAGAGTATCTTTACTGACATGAGACCCCTCGCAGGCAAGAAGCTCTCTGGTAACGACTTCGGCGCCTCGGCTATCGTCGCTATTCCTCTCGCCCAATTCCCACGCTCGATCCTGCTACAAGCGACTGTCATCCCCCTCGTCCTCCTCTTTGACTCTTCTGCCGTCAACGTCGTCACTCTCGTCTCAGCAGCGATGGTCTTCCAACTCGACATCTTCCTCGCAGAACCGGCAGGCAGATAGCCCGAGCGGCGATCAGGCATCGTCGGCACCCACGACCCAATCATCTGCACCGACATCTACATCTTCAACGTCATCGTCATCAGCGTCGTCGGCATCAAGCCGTCGCAAAGAATCCGCTGGAGGCAAATTCAACCTATATGGCGACGAGTGGGAGGATACGGTGGACTTTGCCATCCAACGCTTCGACGAGCTCCCCCATCGCCTCTTTGGTGTTAACCAACACATGATCATCAATTATGAGCTCAAAGAGGCCCTGCGTATGATGCTGCGTCAGTTCAATGCGCCAATTGTCTACTGTTTTGCCTATGGTTCGGGCGTCTTTCCCCAGGAAAAGGCCGGTCGCAGCGTTAGCGAAGCCGAGTTTCGAGCCGTCCACCCCAAGCCTCCTGAGGCCCTGGTTAAGGCCCAAAAGGGCTCACCCAAGATGATTGATTTCATTTTCGGAGTCACGCATACAGAGCACTGGCACTCCATCAACATGAAGCAACACCGAGATCACTACTCAGGAGTCGCATCACTTGGCTCGGGCTTTGTCTCAAGAGTCCAGGGCTGGGGTGCAGGCGTTTACTTCAACCCCTACATTGAGATGAACGGCATGCTAATCAAGTACGGCGTTACGAGCATCGACAACTTGGTAAGGGACCTGTCCACCTGGGATAACTTGTACTTGGCGGGGCGCCTCCAGAAGCCTGTCAAAATTCTGCGGGACCATCCCCAAGTCCGTCTGGCTAACCAGATTAACCTCATCGCCGCCGTCCGAACTGCTCTCCTCCTTTTGCCGTCCGACTTTACGGAGGCCGATCTGTACAGCACAATTGCTGGCCTCAGCTACCTTGGTGATCCAAGAATGGCTCTTCCCACCGAAAATAAGAGCAAGGTGGCCAACATAGTCTCCCACAACATGGTTCATTTCCGCCGACTCTATGCTCCGCTAATCAGGACACTTCCCAATGTGGCGTTTGTCGATCCGGTCCGGCTGGACGACGAGAACTGGATCTTGGACCCCGAAGCCAACACCAGGCTGCAACAGGACATGGATTTGGTTAAGCGAGGAAACATGGTTAGGCGCTTGCCAGGAAGCTTCAGGTCTCGGCTCTACTTCCAGTATCGCAAGAAGTTTGGCATTCCCCAAGACGAGTTCAAGGCCATGATGAAGGCAACATCTGACTCTGATGGAACTGTAAAGCGGCGCCAAGCGGGCGAATTTGAGAAACGGATTGCCGCAGACGACCCCGAACAGCTACAGCGCATCACTCGCCAGGTCATTAAGCAGACGGTCAACTGGCCGAGCACTTCGCAGAGCATCAAGGGTTTGTTGATGGGCGGCTTTAAGAGATCGTGGCGGTACTTGGGCGAAAAGATTTCCAAATGGAAAAAGGGCAAATCCGAAAAAGCCTCTGGGGCAAAACAAGAAAAATCAAATGGAAACCAAGAGGCTGAAAAGTCACGCAAGAAGGAAGAGTAAGGTCAAGACGAGGGCCATCTCCACCGTGATGATAGTCTGAATCTCGTCTAAACTCGCCATTGAGCGGTGAACGAGGGTTTTCTTATCCATCTTTGAAGCACTTTCATTAATTTCCTTGTTATGATGTATGTATCTACGCATTGAGCACATAGAACTAGAGCTGGGGGGAGAGATGAGGAGCGACGAGCGAGAAGCGCACGATTTTGTACGGATTATGAGCGAAATGGCTAGGATCACAGAACGACACGCTGTGTAAAAAAAGAGAAAGGAGGCGGAAATGGGAGAAGAAAAGAAAACGAAAAAAGGATGTGGGCATTATGGCCTAGGGATGATGACACGAGAACTTGTAGCAATAGGAACACGGACAGGATAGATGGGCAACACGAAGCGGGCGGGTTTGAAGGATTGGTACGCAGCGTTGATGATGGATGAAGCGAGAGCTATTGAGAGAAAAGTAGTTATGAGGGTTCTCTGTAGTATATAATTGATTTGACTACATACTCAAATACGGCTGCAGCTGTTTCTGTTAACAGGTTCTATCAGATGAACAAGTAATTGACGACGAAACAGCAGACAAGCTCATGAGGGAAAAGATTAAACAGCATCTATCATTCTATACCAGTCTACTCTATAGTGTATCATACATGGTCAACATTGGATGCCATATCCAAAGTCCGTCTTCACTCCAGCTTTTGGAATCCCAGAGTCTCCCAGTCCTTCAACACCTTGTCCTTAACCTCCCGCGGGTAAGAATTCTTAAAATCGGCAGCCTCCCAATCCTTACCAGTCGTATACTCCACCGGAAGCAACGCATCACTCACAACTTTACCCCCCTTGTTCGCATCCGCGTTGCCATGTCCCATATACGGAATAAGCAAAAACCCGCGAACATCCTCGAAAAACACTTCGTCAGTTCCAGGGCGGCAACGGGTCACAAAGGCCCACATGACGTCCTTGTCGTCGTACACGTCGATGTCGTCGCCCACGAGGATGAGGCGGTGGATGGTGAAGCCGGGCTTGGAGCGGTAGATGAGGTTGCCGACTTGTTGGGAGAAGGTTTTGGAGGTGGTCTTTAGGGCGCGCAGGCGGGATGTGTCGACGCGGAGGGCGACCCAGGTTGCTTGGCCGACGAAGGGGGCGAAGGCGTCGGTGATGGGGAGGCCGGCGTTTTGGCAGAGCTGGCGGATTTCGGCGGCGGCGAGGACTCCGATCATGGTTTGCTGTTTGGATAACGATGGTTAGATTTCTGTGGCAAGTTGCTGTGTGAAAAGGGGGAGGGTAAAGGGGCAGAGAGAGAAAGATAGAGAAACACTCACAGTCTCGTCTGTTAGACGACCGCAAGCAGACATGGGCAGGATCGCATTGTTGCGGTACGTAATCTTGTTGACCGTGTACCTGGGACCCGGATGGCTCTCTCCAGGATACGTGTAGCCGTGCATCTCGCCAAAGGGGCCTTCAGGCTGCCTCTCCGTGGTGGACAATGTGCCCTCAAGCACGATTTCCGCATTGGCCGGAACCATGAGGTCGTTGGTATCACACTTGACCAGCTTGATGGGCTCTCCCGCAATGGCTCCCACATAGCCAGCCTCACTCACTCCGTCAGGGATGGGCATCGAAGAAGCCATGATGGCGGTGGGAGGGACGCCGAATGCAAGGGCCCAGGGGATCTCCGTCTTGCCCTCCTTCTCCCACAAGTCGTGGATCTGCCTGATGTGCTGAGGGCTGATGACGAGGCCGGCGAGAGTTCGCTTGCCGGACACCATGGCGCGGGCAATGGACCAGTTTGTCCAGCTGCCGTCAGGAGAACGCAGAATGTGCATGCCAAAAGTCTGGATGTATTTCCCGCCGTCGGACTGGTGAACCATTGGTACGGGAAGCTTGGTCAGATCAATGTCGTCTCCCTCGATGGAATTCTCCTTGATGGGGCCGGTGGGCACGACGACTGGTTCAATGGGCTTGAGGCTGCTTGCGGAAAGCATCTTGTCGATGATTTCACGCATGCTGGCAGTGGGAGGGAGAGCCATGTGGCGAGCTAGACGGCCGTACTTCTCGCGAGGAGACTTGCGGAGGGAGGCTGGTGCTCCGAGGATGCGCCAGAGACCATCTTTGGCTCCGATGACGTTGTTGAAGAGCGGTGCCTTGTCGTCGGTTTCGCAGACGAGGCGAGTGATTGCTGCGGCCTCGAGGTTTGGGTCGATGGGGGTGTCGATGTCGACGAGATCGTTGTCTTGGCGGAGGGCATTGACAAAGGAGCGGAAGCTGAGATGAGGAGGCTCGGGGTCCGACGGCTCACGAAGAGTAGTTTGAGACATGTGGAATTTGTAAAAGGGGTTAATTGTTATTGTAGATGTGATTGATCAGACGTTGATTAGTTGGTTGGCTGGATTATTGATTAGTTGTTATTGGTTGATTGATTAATTGGTTGATCGACTGACTGACTGATTGACTGAAATTGATTGATTGATAAATTGATTGACTGATTGGATGAAGATGGTATTTGATGTTGTACTGTTTGTTGGTGGTGTATCAACTGGTCTCTTGCTGTTGCTGCCCTGGCCATATATACTCAATCATCTTGATGAACTTGTGGAAATTCCGGAAACCTTCGGAATACAGTTCTTCCAATCAGGAGATTAATGACGTCTAGTTTGTGCTAAAATTCTACTCTCGATTCCGCCGCGTATTTCGCTTCGCCCAAGTATACATCATACTGTGATGGCCGTGATGCTCTGCCGTGGTGTCTTGCCGACTAACATGGAGCTGAAATACTCCGAGGCTCCGAACTCGCCGCCACACGCTTTTACATAAGGCAACATGAACTAGCAGCTTACCTCGGATGCTCGGACCATTGCCATCATCCTCACCCTCTCAACTTCATCGCAGTTAATCAAAGCCGCAAATGGATCTCCAGCAGAAAGAAATCGACCGAGTGCTGTATCTCCGTCGCATAACGCAGGCTCGGTCCTGCTATCCGTGTCGCCAGCGCAAGGTCAAGTGCGATCACAGCCAGCCTTGCCAGACGTGCCGGAAACGAGGCCATCCCGAGATCTGCTCGTACAATGTGGGCACTCCCGAGAAGAGGCGCGGGCGGCGTGCCAAAGCAGCGGCTGCAAGCATGGCGTCTCAGAGGGCTGTTCAAAGGAGGGAATCTGAGCCTGAGCCCGAGTCAGAGTCAGAAGCCGGGCTTGAGCCACCACGACGCAATGATGATGCTGGTGCTGATGGTCATGAGTCCGAGCCTTCTCTCACTCATACGCCGTCTTCTCTTGCTACAACTCAGACGTCAAACTCGATACTATTTACGAGATCTGCAGATACTACAGCTGCCAGTTGTCATCCGCCACGTAAAGAGCTCTATCAAGGAGGCAGCTCTGTGCTCACCATGTTGCACGGCTCAACCGACTCTCCCGCAGTAGAGATGAGGCGCAAGGCCGGACCAGTCCTTGGCTTACACAATACCCTCGAGTTCTATCCTTTCATGAAACTCAAAACATGGCAGGAGAGATGGGTGGCGTTGCTGAAGGTGATTCCACAGAAACAAGAAGTGTTGAGGTACGGCTACCATGTATTGTCCAAGTCCATCGTTTCCGATATATCGGTGGCACCAGATCGTATTTACAAACATGTTGCCATATTGCTGACCATTGTACTCTCGCTGTTAGATATTTCCCCTCACATGGAGCCACGATATATCCCCTGAACCCTGTCATGCTGGATCCTGATGATCTAGAGTCTGCTTTCTGCGAGTATCTCGCCGCCCTGGAAGCTGGTGAGCTCCGTAGTCCCGACGTGCCGTCTTCGAAATGGGTCTGCAAAGCCTACATATCCAGAATTGCTTTGCTGCTGGCCGCACTTGCTACTAGCGCCCATTACTCGGTGATGCAATCTCCGAAGAAGCGGTCGGAGCATTGCCTTGACTTTGGTAAGAAACAAGGCTCGGTCTTATCACTTTCCATCGCGTTTGGAGTATAGCTAGCTAATCTGGTGTGCCTCTGATAGTACAACGCGCATTTGACGCTCTACGTCTGGCCAATTATGTCCTGCATCCATCAATCGACGGAGTCCATACCTTGCTCATTATCGGAACTGTTCTCCAGGATGTCGGACAGTCGGATGGTGCGTGGGTCATGATGGGCACCACCGTCCGGGCAGCGCAGGCTTTGGGCTTGCACACGCAAAGTGCGTCTCAACAGTCTGATGACGGGGCAAAGAAGAAACAGGCGCTTTGGTATGTCTACTGGTTCGGCCATGCATAATACAGGCCTTCCCTTGCTATCACGAGTATCAAACACAAACTGACACTTTAAAGGGACGCCATTTGCAGACAGGACTGCTTGCTCAGCTTGTGCCATGGCCGGCCAAACATTACATCCAAGCAATCCTTTGCAACAGAAAGCATTCTTGAAAACCCTAATCAACCGCTAGACTTTTCGGCGATGATGTGTAGCATCGTTTCAGTAACCTCCAGCCTTTTGGAACTAAACCAGCCAAGCTGTGAGGCATCAATGAAGCTACTGGCCGAGCTGGACGGATATCGATCACGAGCTGCACCTTATTTACAGTGCCGAGAGAAATGCACAAACATCCAGCAGCGCTACGAGAGCCTCACCATAGAGATTCAGTTGTTCTTTGTAGTCTCAGTTTTGTGCCGTCCCGCACTAACAAAATCTGCTCTTACCGAGAATGAGCCTGACATTGTTCGAGCTCTCAGGGCTCAGGCCAAGGAGAGCTTGATGAGTACGGCAAAGGCATTCATTGATTTTCAAGCGGTGAGCATTATTCCCATTCGAACTTGGTCTTTGATCCATTCAGTCCTGGGTGCCACCATTCTACTCTGTCTGTGGGAAGAAACGCGGTGTGACCAAGAGAGTCGAGACGTGATGCAGCGAGTCATGGAAATCTTCTCCCGGGCAGCTCAGGCGGATGATGAGACTGGCATGATGGTTGATGCGTCGGGAAACAACAATTGGCTGTCTATGAATCACACTAGGGCACTGGTGGCTCTGCAAAATGCCATACAGAATGCCATACAGAAAGCTCCTTGTGGTTCGTCATCTCCTGAACGACAAGAGGCAGACAACGTGGTGCAGCAGAATCACTCTTTGCCGAGAGGGCAGGATACAGCACCGATAGATCCGATGATGGAGACCGTGATGGGTTATAACTTTACCACAATGCTGGGCGAGAGGTACGTTTATTGATATTGATGTCGTAGTGAGGAGAGAGAGTTTCCTTTACTAATTTCACCGCATTTAGCGGGTCAATGGGCGAATACATGTATCCATGGGACACGTCGGGCCTGTCGCCTCTGATGTATCTCGACTCGATTATGAAAGGTGAGTATCCGTTGCAAGCCAGGGCAATTAATGCTTGAAGCTGACTCAAATGATATAGCGCCATATGAGTTTGTGGATGAATTCTGAGAAAGGTCAACGTCTTGTAAAACTGGTTACTATGGGGTATAGCCTCTCGTATAATCGTAATACTATGGAAACAATTTGCGCTGCGGACAGAATTTCTTTCAATAATCTGGGATACTCCTGTTCAAACCTGTAACTCCGATGACTTTGTAATACAACGTCCTAACATCGGAGATAAACTAATGAAAACTTAATGCTTCATGGTTTCAAAGTCTGTAAAAGTGGTGATACAATGACGCTGATCTCATAAGTTGGCCCCCCTGAGTTCGGCGGCTCGGCGGCTCGGAGCGTGATGTTCTTTCAAGCGCACAGCTTTGCTCGGTCGTATGAGGTCACTCAACTACCGGATCTGCATTAAGCTGCAGATGGTTCGGAAATTTATTGGATGACAGAATGTTCCGATTCCGAATTGAGGATGGATACGTATAAAGATGATTGATTGTAGCCCTTGGTCTGGATTGTTTATCACAGCAGCAATTCGATCCAAGTCAACTCACAAACACTTCAACTCAAGTCAACTTTAGTGTAGCACTTTAACTCAACCCAACTCGACTCAAATCAAAGGCACTCACTTCCTCCTTTTCATCCTCATCTACACAAAGTTTCAGCTTCAGTCTCATATACACTATACGGCCTTTGAATTGCAAAGTTTCCAAATACACAAACACAGCTTCCTCATCATGTCTCCATCTCTCACAGTACCCGACAATGTCAACTCCGGCATCTCCCACAACATCTCCCGCCCTCAACCTCGCCGCAAGCGCATCATCGTCGCCATGACAGGCGCCACAGGCACAATCCTCGGCATCAAGCTCCTCATCGCCCTCCGCCGGCTCAACATCGAAACACACCTCATCATGAGCAAATGGGCCGAAGCAACACTCAAATACGAAACCGACTACCACGCCTCCAATGTTCGCGCCCTCGCAGACCACACCTACAACATCAACGACATGGCAGCCCCCATCGCCAGCGGCTCGTTCCGCGTCGACGGCATGATTGTCGTGCCCTGCAGCATGAAGACACTAGCGTCTATCTCTACGGGCCTGTGCGACGACTTGATTTCGCGGGCGGCGGATGTTATTCTCAAGGAGCGCAGGAGGTTGGTTCTGGTGGCGAGGGAGACGCCGCTGAGCGAGATTCACCTGCGTAACATGCTGGATGTGACGAGGACGGGGGCAATTATCTTTCCTCCTGTGCCGGCGTATTATATTAAGCCTTCGTCGGTGGAGGATTTGGTGGACCAGAGCGTGGGGAGGATGTTGGATTTGTTTGATTTGGATACGGAGGATTTTGAGAGGTGGAATGGATGGAACAAGGAAAAGCAGTGATTCGTATTTCGGTGTTTTTAGATTCTCATGTTTTGGTCATTTTTGGATAATTTGGTGACAGAGGGATAGACATATATACATAGACAGCGATGATTTATTAACAGATGTACAACTTTGAGACATAGGGACCACCGGTGTTCAGATCGAAGAGTGTTGGGCATTAACTTTCGGTGAGCTTTGACTGTTTATTCCTCGTAGCGCAACAAATAGCAATTCGACTTGATTCTTTCAAATTCTGGTTCATAAGATGAGCAATGACCCCTTTATTACTCAAGCAATGTTATGACTCAGCCAAAGACCAGGTATGTGTCTTGGCGTATAATTGAAGCAAGTGAGATACTTGTCTTTTTTCTTTTAATCCGCCTTCACCTTCTTTTCATATTAACCAAGCATCCCAACCCACTCGCGTCAGCAATGCATCTACCTCTCAGGCTTTCAGTCGACATCTTCATGCTGGCTCTCGGCGCCGCCCTCAGCTACTGGATTGGAGCGAAAAACGGCCAGGTAATCCACCAAGCTCTTGCCATAGGTGCCGTCGTGTTTGTCAGGCTATGGGAGCGACGAAAACAGCAACGGACAGAGCAGAAAGAAGAGCGACGCGAGAAACGGCGGCGACGGCGGCTGCAGCGGGATGAGCGAGAAAGACCAGAAGCTGAGCGGCGCGCCAATGAGGAGAAGCGACGCGCTCAAGAAGAGAGGCAGCGCGTCGAGAAGGATCACGGGCATCACGAGGGGTCTGGAGCAGTGCATGCATGATCTGTGAGGAGATAAGAAGTGTGCCCTCTTTGTTGCGCTCCTGCAGCTAACAGCCTTTGCCAGTGGCTTGGATTGTGTAAACTCGTGAGATGAGGATCCCTGGCGTTTCAGTCGAGAAAGAATCGTGTGATATTGAGGTCTTTTTGCGTCTTCTAGTCGCAGATTTCGGTGAGAAGTGTTGCTGAAAATCTCTCCGCTAGCTCAAGGCAGCCTGGTGATCTTCAACGCCTGATGGATGATTGGCGATTGGCGAGGCTTTTGCATATTCTCTTTCTCGTGACCCAAGGCCAACGGGATGCGATTCGTTCGAGCTATGATTGGTAGGGCGGGCAGTGGATGGCAAGCTCCCACATATTATCACTGCTTGCATATGCCAAGTTCGACGCTCTGCTGGAGGTGATTAATGCTCGCCTATGCACGCATTGATACATGTAAACTGGATTCAACGGAGCCAGGCCGTTTGCTCATTTAAACACCCGACATCTTCACCTATTTCTGAAGCTGATACCAGGCTTATCATCTTCATCCTCAAAGTCAGGCGTCATTCCAGACCTCTTGCTCACGGGCGGCTGTGGTTTCACTCGTGGCTCAAACCGCGATACCAACTCCAGCTGAGGACCCTCGCGGTCTCCCAGAGCTTGGTTCGACATAGCAAACTTGTACGGTTTTGTTAGTAGATGGATCCGGATCCCATGGAGGTCGGTATTTCGCTCGGGTTAATGGCTCTTGGCAGCGTCATCTCTTCCATACGTGACGCAGAGAGAAAGGCGGAGCGAGAGCGCGAGCTACGGCAGCAAGCTGAGCGGCGCGCTGAGGAGGAAAGGCAACGTGCTGAAAACGAGAGACGGCGTGCTGAACAGGAGCGCGAATATCGCGAGGCCCTGGAACAGCACATGCGTGATCTGTAAGAGATGCACCCCCTCGGCTAGTCGGTTGTGCCTCAACAGCTAACACTTGAACTTGTGCTTTGCCAGTGGCATAGATCCAGCCGATCCTGAAATCTCAGCCGAGGACATTGAAGAGGCCAAACGCGACATCAACTGTGACCCTGACCCGAAGACCGCCAACATCGCCGTCGCGGGCAATGTCAACGCGGGCAAATCATCACTTCTCAACGCAATTCGAAACCTGAGCGACGACAGCCCTGACTGGGCTCCCACCAGTGGCTCAGAGGAGACGAGGCAACGACAACGTTACCCTGATCCGGCACACAAGTGCGTGTGGTATGATCTTCCAGGAGCTGGAACGCAGAGCGTGACGGCGTTTGGCTACTACTACAGCCAGAAGCTGTTTGCCTACGACAAGGTCGTTCTAGTGCATGAAACGACTCTGACCGAGGTGAGTCTCACCGTGCCGATGCTGGTGTCAGATGATAGACAGAAAAGAGTGTTTGTGATTAATGTTATGCCTGCCCAGTCCGACATCCGTCTTCTGCAGGTCTGCGAGTACTTCAAGCAGCACTGCATTGTAGTGAGTACAAAGTCCGACATGCACATCTACAACTACACACGGGAGAGACGCACTCCGCGGCGCACTCCAGAGCAGGCCAGAGAAGACTTCCTCAGCGATGTGCGCCAAGATGTTGCTCGCTTTAGGGAACAGGCTGATGCGTCACAGGCCAGGCTTGTGCCCAAGTTTGACGATTTGGTCGTCTCGACGGCGGGGGTTGAGGCTTTTGTCCAGGGACAGAGCTCGGATGATATGGTAGATGAGGCTCGTCTCTTTAAGGAATTGGAGCGACGAGATGCTCCTCTAGACAGTTAGAGTCGAGAAACTCGTCAAGTAAACGATGGTAGCCAGTGTTTCAGTAATAATGGGTATATAGCATCAATGTTTCAGACTTAATAAGCGACTGACAGCATGAATATGAATAGAAAAAAAAAAAGACATACCGACTTAATAACAACATGAAAACGATGATATGCAGAAACAGCAAAAAAAGAAGAGCGACAAGAACAGGATTCGAACCTGTGCGGCCGAAGCCATATGATTTCGAGTCATACCCATTAACCACTCTGGCACCTTGCCTTGTTTGTTGAAAGCGTATGTGTTAGTCTAGTCTATATTACCAGCTCGGACAACATGGTATGCTGCATCATTACGTAACACTGCTAGCTCCCATTACCCTCTTGAGCTATTATCCGTCAAGCGCTTTCACTTCCATCTTCTCGAAAACGCATGCCCAATATCTGGAGGTACCTTGTTGAAGTCCAATTTGGGCTGTATACCTAAATAGACAAGTCAATCGTTTTGGTAGCAATACATCTTTTTGAACTTTTAATATGTTACATATGCATCATGATCGAATCAGAACGGATGCAATTTACCGACTCAGTCTCGTGAGTTCAATATAGACTATCCATGTGCCCAATCAAAGCCTGATGAAGCAAGGGAGCCAATAGTCTGTGCCCGATCAGATGCATGCATTCTGTACGACTCTAAATGGATCAATATTGTTCCCTGTTCGCAGGCCTGTAACAAGGTTGTGTTATGCTCTAGGCATCCACTTGTGCCATGATATTACAGGCGGTTAACCGTTTCACTCATGGCACCTCGTATAAGCTTCACAGGCCTCAGCCTCAACATGATACGAAGCACACAAGATGCACAGACTACGGCAAACGACTTTCGCGACCAGTGGACAAATCCCAGCGATATCTTCTCGCTGCTGCTTCTCGTCGGCGGCGATGTGATTCAGAAGGCACTCGCGCAGTTCACCTTGAACCGCTTCCGGCCCATGGCCTTTTCTTTTGGCTGGGTTGCATATGCCTTTAGCCATCTGCTATTTGCTGTTGGGAACCTCAAAGCTCTCCCGGACCCAGATTGTCCTTGCACAATCACCAGAGCTAGTTCAATGCCCACTACCAGCGCCAATCAATCATGGCTTCTGGGGAGGCTGGTTCGAAACCACGCGTACTGGAGCCTTCCATTAATCAAGGATGCCCTAAAATCGGGCAGAATTTCAGACCAAGACGCCTCAATGTATCAACTCATGGAACCCCCTACTCGTCTAAAGGGCCTTCAAATCTTTGTATACAAATTCGTTCAAAGCTCTCCAATTAACCGATCTCTGAGCAAGGATTGGCCATGGTTTTCCGGCCTCATCACCACTCTCATCCAACTAGGTATTGCTGCAATTCCGGCAGGCCTTTATGGCCAATGGGAAATATTACTTATTACTGCTGGAGGCACCGCATTGGCCTACGCGACGGCCCATTTCTCGGGATATAGCACGTTCCGTGGCGATCGTACTCGTGCCAGCCGCAAAGTCTTCACCCTGACCGAAGGGAACGGATCTAGAACTGCAATTGTTTTCATCAAAGACTCGGATATCGGTGTTGACCTAGAATATCTTACTCGGGTGGAGTTTACAGAAGGCAGTCAAATTTTGAGGATAACGATGGCTTCTGTGCAACTAGTCTTCTGGGTTGCTCTTCTCATCACTGTATCTGGCCTCAAGACTCACACCTGGTTCATGGTCGCCGTCGGTGCGTTAGGAATGATGCAGAACCTCGTCCTAGCTGGAGCTCCTCGCACGCCTGAAGCTTTAGGTATACCCGTCCAACTTGAAGAAGTTGTGGGATTGCATAAGGTTATGGATACTCGGCTTGAACTTGAGGCCAAGGTTCCTTATGCAGGCAAGGCCTTGCTACCCATATATTTCCCTGGTAGACTACGGGAACATGAGATAGAGAGGTGGGAAGCATTAGAGAGGGAGCATGAAAGAGCCGCTTTCATCTCATGACCGCGATTAGATGGGCCTTAAAATCTGCACCATGGGATAAACACATATTAATATAGTAATCAGAAGAAAAAGGCGATCATGAAACTATTGGGGAGCACTTACACGCTCGCTGAATTAACCCCAGCGATCACAAATTATTTGCAGGCACTTACCGACCTTCATTACCATAGAAGCGAGTCAACTATGGCAATTTACTTCTTTGCGCTCGCTAGGTTAGTTAGATGACCGATGGTCAATACACCATAGTGTTTGCAATACATCAAGATAGAATCCAAATATCTCTCTATTGCCTTGGTCTGGTTTAGTAAAGGAATGCCGATTTACCGATTTAAACTCTTGTCTTTGTATTAGCTAGCTAGAACTAGTTACGGCGATAGATGGCTACAGTGTACGGAGTGCCCGGACTGTATATGGTTGTTCCCGATGCTTCCGCTCAACTACACATGTAAGCTCTTTTAGTCCCGCTCTTTTTCAATACAACAAAGATAAAAGGGACATGAAAACCACTCTTTATCCCAGTCTGTATTTTTATCCTTTTACTTAATTTTACACCATGAAGAACCCAAAGTCACCCCAAGGCAAAGTACATCAATTTCTGCCCGTTGATCAATGGGACGATGACGGACAATTCCTTCCCATACCACGCTCAGTTCGATCTCGTCCGGCCGTTGTTCTTATGAAATCTAAGAAATATGACGACTGTGTATACGTCGCAAGTGTAAGGCCGCAAATACCTGTACCAAGGGAGCATCATTCGAGACATCTAACATCATAGCAATAGGTAACAGAGGATATACACCCCAGTGTTTCCCAGGGGTGGTATGTTCCAATTGCGCCAGTGCCCAAAGACTACTTCACAGACATGCAGCTGCACATGTGCAATCATCTACAGATGGAATCAACTCTACTATCTCAGTCATACTTACGTACGGATACGGTCTACGAAGTCCCGCTACGGGCTTTGGAAAGAAAATACGACGATTACGGCATGCCTTTGGAGCTTGAGCAAGAGTCTTATGATCAGCTGCGCACATTTTTGGTTGAACCAGACCGGGGCTTGAATGTGAGAACCATTGTACCCCCGGATGTAATGAAAGAGAGACCCGAGAGCATTGCAAAGAGGCAATCAATAAGTTGAACAACTATCGCACAAAGTTACGTTAATGATTAGATGAAATGACAAATTGTTAAAGCACCACAGTGTTTGCAATACATTGAAGTAGAATCTAGATACATGTCTATGACTTACAATACCCGGTTGAAATCAAACTCAACCTGTCTTTCTAGCCACTATCTAGAACTAGTTACAAACTATGTAAGTAGTTGACCAGTTACATTAAACGGGGGTTCTATGCAGTCTATGTTAACATTTGCTCCCGATGCTTCCGCTCACTGATGCTCCCGCTTCCAAAGTTTATTATAATTCACATCTCGATAAGAATCCAACCATCTCCGAATCATGAGGGATCATAACTCCTACCAAGGCAAAGTATATCGCATTTTGCCCGATCAATGGGATGAAGACACATCTGCAACTCCCCTTCAACTGCCCAAAGCCGTCAAAGAGCACATGGTTATCGTTGTTGGACGATCCAAAACGAAACCCCACTGGCTAGAAGTCGTAACTGTAGGACTACAATTATTCACAGGTCGCAAAGGAAAATGATTCTAAAACTAATATCTTGATACTAGATAACCAAAACTTTCAGCTCCAAGGTTAACAAAGACTGGTACATTCCAATTGCGCCATTACCCAAGAACCGTGAGACAAACATGCAGCTGCACTTTTGTGATGATCCATATGGAGACAGAGGTCTACCATTTTACTCTTACGCGCGAGTTGACGAGGTTTATCAAGTTCCACAACATGTTCTACAAGAAGTAATAAGCTGGCATAGGCATTTGGAACTTAAACAGAGCTCTTATAATGCACTCATCAATTTTATACCTACCTTAACCTGAGCTTTCTATGTAATATACACGGAGTCAATATCTCCTGTTGAACGGAAAATAGAAGGATACCTATCATGTTTAATAGTATTGAGCAAAGCTATGCCAATGAGTACATGACATGAGCATGACACGAAACTTCATCAACACCCATCTCAGCTCCAGTTATCCAACCTCTACCCAGACTCAGAAGAACTCAACAGCAAGGAGTCCAAAGCGTCTGACCTCCGTTCCATCAAAGAGCATGTCGGATGAAAAAGTATTTCTACTATCATCAGATGCACGATCGCCATTCTGATCATCACGATGCTCGCCATTGCTATTTCCGTTTTCGCTGTGGTTGCCGTCCTTAGGGCTCCCATTGTTTGAATAGTCATTCGTAGGGCTCCCACTGTTTGAATAGTTAATCGGAGGGCTTCCATTGTTGGAATGGCTATACGTAGGGCTCTCATCTTTGGAATAGCTATTCGTGGGGTTTCGGTTGTTGGAATCGCCACTCGTAGAGCTTTCTTCCTTGGAATCACTACTCGTAGAGCTTCCCTCGTTGGAATCGCCACTCGTAGGGCTTCCATCGTTGGAACCGCCATTGTTAGCTGTGCCGCAATTTCTATCAGTTAAAGCATTGGCTTCGGCTTCCCTCCGGTCCATTTCCCTTTGAGCTTTGACCCTGGCTTGGATGATATAGTGTTGGAGTGTATGAATAAACCACTCGCCGCTCCAGTGTAGCCCATCCCCATTAGGATCTAGGAGGTCTTCTTTCCATGTCCACAGGTAACCGCCAGGCCCAAAGGGATCGCTTATGGGGGGATCCGTCATGGGGAGCATCTTCTGAGGGAGCAGCTCCCACTGGTCGTGATCTAGCGGAAAGCTGTTGCCCATGACCTCCACGTACTGGCGGTCGCTGCCGTGAAAGACGCGGCGTCTGTGCTCCCTGGTTACTTGTTCTTGCGTGGGCGCAATGGTCTTTCGCTTGAATCTTTCGTCAACAAACCACAGAGTAGTGTTTGTTGAAGTCCCAGTTGTCAACTCGGCAATGTACTTGACAATAAATTGATTGGAGTTGGCCTCATGATCTGTTGGCGATAAGCCGTGACCCCAGGCCGGATCCAACTCCAGCGCAATATTGGGCAGAGCGCAGAGCATCCATAGATGACGATGACTCCCAAAAGGGAACTGCCAGTCCCAAATGGTATTCTATATCTTTGTCGACTGCAAAAAGATCAAGTCCTTGTTTGGGAAGAGGCCAAAGTAACGGTCTTTTCCCAAGTCTTTGAAATAGAGACACGCTGGTAGATCCATCAAACTTTGTTTCTTCAGCTCGTCATAGAATAAGTCAGGATGTGCTGCAAGAATGCGGTCCCAACTGTCAAAACCATATGCATCGCGCATGATGTTGCGTGACTGTTGACATGCAGTCCATAAGCCGCTGTCGATGAGGTACGTGGACGGGTTGTGAGCGTCAAACGAAGGGGTTGTTGCGTTTGCGTTTCTGAAGTACCAGCCATAACCGCCATCTCTTAGTCCCAGTCTGGGAGGCCCCAATGGCATCCATCTGCATGAAAAAGAATTCTAAACACGACCATGCGGATCTTCAAGGGAGAAAATGTGCACCCCAGGAACACGGGAATACGCAGTGCAGACACGTTTCCAGACCTCTGCCATAAGGGTTGAAGAGCGGTGGTAAAGAGATTGGATCGGGACGTGTGCATCTATTTCCATATTGGTGTTTGCGTTTGTGGCTACTTCCTCTCCTGTGTCCATGGTAATATCTTCATCTGCGTCTATATGGCCATTTCCGTTTGTTGTTGGTGTCGCCTCATACGCTGGAGTCGTCATCTTGGAGGCTGTATCGTCTTCCAAATGGAATAATGCGACGCCTGTGGAAATATTCAATAGTATGAACAGGCAGGAATGATACGAGACAAGGAGATATTGAGGCAGAATTTGAAGAGTCTTGATTCAGCTAATGTTTAGATGTAGATGTAGAGATGGAGATACCCTGGATCCAAGCTGCGTAAATAACATTAAAGACGGACAAGGTTTACCAATGCAACGCCATTTCTCTCTTGCCCGTCGCTCTTGCTACAACATCAAGTTCTATCCCCTACAAATGTATTTTTTTTTCTAATAGCACTTTTCTCATCGAACTGTTAATAGCTGGTGTCTTTCTAAGAGTCATCACTGGTGATTGAAGCTTCAAGTGCTTGTTACTGCCTCTGTATTACATCTGGGGACGACTGAAAGCAAGGATCCCATGTAATCCATGGTAATAGTGAGCATGTAAATCAAACTAGTACTGAGAAACCGTGCCTTGCATAAGGTAATAAGAGGCTGATCTGATCTATGCCAGGGAACAGCGGGAGACGGACGCGTCCGGCCAACAAGCAGCAACCGATCGCCACCGCAATCTCGCAACTTATCTTGGACCCGCGGAATAAATGATTCATACCCGTCATCCAGAGGCAAGGGAGCACGTCGCGGCCCGTCTTTTATGCAGGAGTGCAGTCGAATTAGAGGTGCGAGACAGGGGTTTGCATGTGCGGCTGAGGCCTGGACTCTTGTCTTGTCAGAGCTGAGGATGTTGGATGAGTGTAGTAGCCATTATCGAAAGGCAGGGAGAAAACAGGACGAAAGTATGGACAAAGAAAGAATTATGCTTACATTGCGATGAGGCTCTACATACTCATACAAGCACCGTCTACCTGGATTCACACATTATAACTTTGTACGTATCACAATCTCTTGCTCGGAATTGACTCTTTTTCATCAACCAATCTCAGTTTTATTATAGACATCGCCTATAATGATCATTTACGCTATATTACACGGCCCATTGCTAGACTCAACCGGCTCACAAGCATATAACTTGCGTTACTTCCATCATAGGGTAATCAAATGCCGTGACACCAACTGAAAACCTTCCCTCCATGTAATACACATATATTCACTTATACACATTATATGCAGACATTATACACACAAGTACTCCGTGGGCATCCCTCGTCTGAACCAATCCAACAGCCTGGATGGCTCTGCATCTGATGAACCACCAAGCCTCAAGAAAGCATAAACCAAGATATCCCGACCCTCGCCCACTCACTCACCCAAATAACATTAAGCCGCCATCAAATTAAACCCTGCATCAGTAAATCACCCGGATTTCCCTCATCCCGAAAACGGCTCCGCAAAAAGTGCGACATGCATGCTTTGTGGCACATGTCAATTACAACAAACCATCCCCAGCCGTGCTCCATCTCCCACACTACCCAAAACTTCGCTCAAAGCAATACAAGGGAGAGAACATGAGAAACCTCTTCTCAAGTCGATCCCAATAGCCAACAAAAGTATCACGAACAAAATTGTCCTCATCATCATAAATAAGACCGAGGGATAAGATAAAAGTTGCCAACAAGCCGGTGAGCAGGGCCAATTTCACCACTCCTGCAAGGGCAGCGCCAGAATGTCTCGCTCCGCCATTGATACATTGTCTCCCCAAAAACCTGGAGTAGTAGTATCTCGAAATGACTCCAAGACAAAGGCCCTCTCTTATTCTCCTTTTCTTTTTTTTCGCCTCACACAATGCTGTCAGAAAACAAGCCTCGACCGAAACGCAGGGAGAGCGGCTTACACGAAACTATTGCTTCTTGGTTCACGTTCCCGCCCCTTTCATGCAGGGAGAAAAAAAAAAACAAGAAAGAAGACTCCATCCACACGCAGCTCATGATACACAGAGATGCAATAGCAATATCAATTTTCCCCTTTCCAAAAAGGAGATAAATAGCAAGTCCCTTTCTCTCTCGACTTCTTCTTTCTCTCTCCTATCTCATCAGTATAAAGCCAGCTTCCATTTCCCAGCCCGCTCATTCAATTCACTCGCTAAGTTCAGCTTTGCTTCATTCCTCACTTCAAATTCACTCCTTTTATAATACTTCTTCTCGTTGTATACAACATCAACATCAGTCAAGATGCAGTTCCTCGCCGTTGCCGCTCTTCTCTTCACCGCAGCTTTCGCTGCTCCCTCCACTGAGGCTCCCGCGCTTGTCCGTCGTGCCAATGCCTATTGCCCCAACGGCCTGTATGCCGTCCCTCAGTGCTGTGACGTCGATGTTCTCGGTGTGGCTGCCCTCGACTGCCGCTCTCGTGAGTATCTCCTGTGTCTAGCCTATTTTTATTCTGGTCACTAACAAAGCGAACCAGCTCCCGTCACGCCGACCAAGTGCAACAGCTTTAACAACATCTGTGCCGCCATTGGCCTTCAGCCCAAGTGCTGTGTCCTCCCCGTTGTGAGTCTCCTCCCCAGGTATCATCAGAACAAGGATTGACCAAATCTTCCATCCAGGCTGGCCAGGCTCTTCTCTGCACCAACCCCGTCCCACAGTAAACACTAGCACATTCACCAACCCCCCGACCTGAGAGTCGGGTCAATATTGGGACAGGCTTTGTATATTGAGGTCTCTGTTCGTGACGTGTTAATAATTATGTGTCGGCTCTGGATCAACAATGGATGGGAATGGAGGGACGGGATTAATGGGATAAACGGATAAACGGGTTCACTTCGATATACACCTTTTTGACATCACATTAATGGATATAATGTTTTGTGCTCTGCACACTCTTACATCCTCAGTTATTTTCTCCTTTGTGATCTACTCACCATGAATACACGAATTCGTTTTGGCTTTGAGTTTGTAATACCCCTGCATTGTGATTAACATTCGTCTCCCTTGCATCAGACGGCAACTTCCCTGCTTCCGGCCCTGAGCTTACCTGCAATAATGCCCCCCTTCTTTCTTGTACTTGCTTTTTGCTTTTATGAGCCTGAAACTGTGTTGGACAGCAACGCCAATCGGATTCTAGCCTCAGAGGAGGGTTGTTCGTGTTGGGCGCGAAACCCGCCAACCGCTTGCCTCGGGGACCTCTTTGGTTTGTGCTTTTTCCTACTTTCCGGGAGTGGCCCCCAACAGCCCAATAATAATTCAGTATGCCTGTACATTATAGGGAACAGAGACTGGAAATAGAGTATGGATGTGGCTATTTTTGCTGCATCCTTTTGAACTTTATGGAGGTTACATTTATCATCAAGAGGGTCGGTAAAGCCGCAATAGCTAGGTCAGAGCAAGGCTACGCCCAAGCCTTTAGTTCAAAGTCCAGAATCAATCCGTAGCTCAACCTGATCGGCCACAGCCGACCAAGTCAAGCCTCGAAGATTCAGGCCACAAAGTATGACTGATGAAGGTCTTGAACTTTATATATATGTATCAGTCTTTCATCTTGGTGTAAGCTTGCAGCTTTGAATGCAAATACCCCATGTTCATTTAACGAACTTAACACACGCTCTGTTGAAGCTTCCAAAAGCCGTATTATCAATGTGTCTTGTCTATATTAACATACAGGACAACTGCCCCAAAAGCGACTAACTAGAGAATAAAAATTAACTTTACCACTTATAATCGCCGTTACAATTCATCCGACATCTGCTCTTCTTCAGTCTCCTCAAGGACAAACCACTCTCTAACCTGAGCAGTACCAGCCACGACCTTCTCCCACAGCTCAGACACACAGCTCTGAGGTGCCAAAATGTAGCACTTGGGCGTAGGCCTCTCGGGTGGTTCATGCTTGACGTGCCAGGTATCACTGGGCCCATCTGTCGACAAATCGTCCTTGACTGGCAGCAGTCCGGTCGCGATATCGCGGTTAAAAGTAGCGCGCATGAAAATGTCGTAAGCAGCTTCCGGCTGATACGATGGCACCATGTGTCCCGCTTGGAACACCCTGGAAAAGCTGTAATTACCATATTGTCGAGTCAGGCCAGACACGCCCTTCTCCGACAAGAGTGGTGCGTAACCGGCGTTCGCAAAGTCCTTGGAGTGGGAATAAGGCACTGCCAGAGAGGCCTTTTCACCACCAATCCAATTGCAAGCGTAGTCACGGTCACCGTACATCATGTGAACCTTGACGCCGTGGTCAAGCAGATACCCGACAGCATCAATGAATCCTCCATGCTGGTCGTCGTGGGAGCTAGCAAAGTTGCTGCTCACAGCAGACGAAGTGGCGGTAAAATTGACTGGGGATCCAATGGCGCCCAAGACAGCCTCCTCGGTCAAATAACCATAAGCATGGCTCGCCGGGAAGGGATCCCGGAGAGGATGGCTAATGTCGAACCAACCACTGTCGAGGCCAAAGTACGTGCCAACAGCCGCACCGTCGCACCAACTGTCCATCTCGCAGAGGTCCACAAAGTTGACTCGCTGGGCGTTGACGGTCGCAACGTCAAAGAGACTGAGGCTCTGTTGGCATCTCTTTAGCTGGTCTCTGCAGCCCTTTGGCTTTGTGAAATTGTGCTTTAATTCGTCGTAGATGGACTGGTTAAAGACTTGAATGCCGTAAGTCTGGTGGCGAGAAATGAAATAATCATTAGTAGTGCGTTTCAAAGTGACAAAGGGATAGCCTTCTTTCTTTGCTTCTTCTGCATGTCAGAACTCACATTGTTGTACGGAAAATCAATGTACGCCTCCTCTTGAATCAGAGAGTCCAGCCAACCGTTGACAATACCGAGCGTATCCAGGTGAAGGAAGTGGGCGTGCTCATCCTCAATCGTGCCATCAGCAATCTTTTCGTTTTGCTGTTGAAAGAAGCGCATGAAACCAGGGCCATAGTGACCTCCGTAGCTCTCGGCCCAGATGCTGATGCGATCGTCACTAGGCTTGTAGTGAGGGAACTCGGAGAACCAGGCCTGAGCAAAGTGCCACAAGGCGTGGGCAGCCTGAGCAGTGCTGTTGGTCGTGTGAGTGGCCTTCTGGCTACTGAAAGTGCCAACCATGGAGGTAAAGTTGAGATCGGGGACCTGGGTGGAGAAGTCGGCGGGCTCGAGCTTGAAGCCCCCGTCTGAGAGATTGGCCGTGCAGTTGGTGGGGGTATCATAGGAAAAGCCAACTTGGTTGGGCTCGTCAATGTACAGCATATTGACCTCGTTGTTCCAACTCCACGGGTTGAGCACAGTCGACTTGGAATCTTCATTCACAAAGCAAGGGCCGTTTTCCATGAGCAGACCGAGCATGGACGAGGACCCGGGCCCTCCATTGAGCCAAATGGCGAGGGGAGCAGTATCAGGGTTCTTGCGGGCCTCAAAGAACCAAAAGAAGCTGAAGATGGCATGAGAAATGGACCAACTGGGGGCTTTCTTGTAAGTCTGCACTTACGTGTTGACGGGATAGTTTTGAGGCTCGCCGTCTGCATCTTCAAGGAGCCGCGGAGGAAGATGGACGTGGCCAGCATACGACTTGACGCCTGGAGTGGTCTCACAAATGCCCGGCTGATTCATTCATTCCAGTCAGTAACAAGACAAGCAGCCGGTGAAGCTGAGAACAATGAACGGGTCACAAACCTCCTTGAAGGAAATGGTGACATTCTCGTGGAACTTGGACCTAAGCACGGTGACGCCCTCTGGCTTTGGCGGGAACTGCGCAACCGCCAGACTGGCCAGGCCACCTAGCAGCACTCCTGCCGACAACATGGTGCGATGAATTAGTTGGTACTCACTTGAGGCCGACTACCAGCACTCAAACGAAGCAAAGTTGAGTCTGGACGCCAGTCGCGGGGGTTCGGCTTGAAGCGCGATGGGGCTAAATTGCGTGTGCCAGTCTAAGCCGAAATAGACAGGCCCCGTTTATTGGCCACTGATGGAGCAGCGATGGTTGTCCGGGGGTAATAATTGGGGGCCGACAGAATAGATGGATGCTGTACCCATCCCAAGGCCTTGATAGTATGAGCGCGATGGTGTTGTCTTATCGCGAGGTGGAACTAAATTGAAGCAAAGTGTCATTATTGACGTGCATTGTCCACCCTGTCTCTTTGTCTCGTCCATGCCGTGTAAGCGAGGGAGAGGAACTGACACACACTCTCTCAGCTGATGGCACCGCTGTCTTGAACGGCAAAGCGGGATTCGTCCTCGAGGCGCCATGGATTAATAGCTCGACGACACATCACAACCCGAGACCCGATGGTTTGGTCAATGAAACATATCACAAACCTCGGGTAGCACATGATTCAGCTCCAGGGACCAGCCGGCAGATGAACCAGAGCCTGGCCGCCAAGCTCACCGTACGAGTCGAGGAGGCAGCTCGATCAACGAATTGTAGGCGACGTAGGTCTCAGTGAGAGAGGTTCGCTCTGTTATTACTCCGTACAATGAGAGAACAGAGGGCTGGACCGTCCAATCAAAGCCAAGTCCATCCCACCACCTTTGGATCGCGGTAAATGAAATGTGATGGAATACGGAGCGCACACAGAGACTATTACAGCCTCACATTCTCGTCGGGGTCTGCCACCCTGGGCTATGTCAGCCCAAGTAACACAACATCGCGCCCCTTCCAGCCGAAACCACACATCATGTCTGAATGACAAATAGTGTCGCAGAAGAGCGGAATCTCTCGCAGCGGTAGGGAGGTAACGTTTAATTGCAATGGACCACCACGCGCCAAACAAGACGACTTGATACCTGACGAATATCACCTGTGAACACGACTGTTGTGGATCTTGGAGGTTCGTGCGAACTCGCTGCAACGCCTGCGTCTCCAACTCCACCACACGAGGTAAAGCTCGTAGGGCGATATCTCTGCGGCCAGTAACGCGAGAGACGATCTTTTCCACATGACTTAGTACTAAGTGCCCACCGCAACGGTGAAGTGGGCATTCGCTTATTGCCTTGGGCAAACTGTAAATTGAATCAATATAGCACTTCAGGTTGTACAATGCATGGATACTGATTTTGCTGCGTTGAAGGGAAACCCCTGGCAAGCTCTAGCTAGCTTGACTCTTGGGGGGGTAAAGGCGTTCATCGGCTTGGCATCTCATTTCGTGAGCATCCAGCTAGAAGCTCTTGGAGAACGTCCAAGAAGCATTCACGTCCAATTGCTGCCCTGTAGCAATCCAGCAGACTTACTAGATATAGGTAGACCTAGTAAATCCTGGGAAATGAAAAAAATTCCGTACCGGGTAATTTGCAGTCCCTTGCTGGCGTACCTTTGGCAAATTTCGAATTTCGTAGTAGGGCTGTTCCGGGGGCACAATGTTATTAGCCAAATGACGCATCTAGCCTCAGATTGCAAGATCGGCCCACACTTGGCTTCTGCTGTTCAGGCTCGATCTCAACGCCAGTCCGGAGGGAATGGCGATCGCGACGAGGATCTTGGTGCAGGTAGCCCAATGACATGCTCGTCCTGGGCAACGAAAGTTGGCGCCTAATTTTTAGCGAAAGTGATAGCTCTTTTCTTCGCAGGGGCGATGGAATTAGATTCATTAGCTAGCCCAAAGAACTCCATGTGATCGTCCTGGAGGCAGGTAGACATTCATTAGAACCGTTGATGTGAGCTGAGCTGTCCGTATTCGTCCATCCCACGACTGTTTGCCGTGTCTTTGCGCACGTTGAATGGTGGTGCTGGCGGGATGATACCCCAGAGCACCTCACGATGGCGGGATCCATTCCATCTCCAGACAAAGGCTCATGTTTCGGAGCGGGATGCCACGCTTTTGCCAGGGGCAGAGCCGATAGCAGCAGTGCTTTGCAGTCATCTTTGCTTGGCAATGCTTGCTTTTCCACTGGGTTTCGTTTGTCACCGGGAGCATTTGAGATGATGCTCTGTGGGGCCTCTTCAATCGACAATCCCGGGAATTCATTTGTGCCAGCAGTTGAGTTGACTCGCCGTAAGACTTGATGACTTAGTTGTCAGTCTGTGCTCTGCCGCCGTGGAGTGAAGCCGTCCCTCCCGATGCCCTACCGGTGGATTTGGAGGTGCACGGTCGAAGTAGCAGAGACGGCTGGAGATGGGCTGATGAAGGCGTCGACTGTCGACTCAAGAAAGCGGCTGTCCGAATCGGCCACACCACCTCTACTAGTATTCACCGTCCATGGCGGGCAAACAGAGGCAGAGCTAAAAGGACATAGTAGCACCACCTGTAATGATGATGGAGTTGTCGTTTGTCATGTCAGACAAAGTGCGGAGCTGTGACTGTGTCCGTGTGATCACGGCACACTGGAATGGACCTGTCTATCCATTGTTCAATCTCACCAGTGATTTAGAGTTGATGCTGTTTTATCATCGGGGTTTATGGCTTGGACGGTGCGGCCGACAGACGATTTAATTGATGGCTGTTACCTGGGCTGAACACTGCGTTAGATGACTGCCGCACTCTCCCCACAGGCATGTCGTCTTCCCGCATGTGTCCATACCCACATGATGCGGAACATAGCAGAGATAAGCGGAGAGTGAGTGGTGGATGTTGATCATAAGCTGCCACCGTCTTCAACATCGTGAGTCGGGAATGTGTCAGCATTGCCATAGATCCATCAAAGAGCCTTCGAGTCGACTTGTCAAACTTTGTCGTTTGTCTAGGGACGCCACAGAAAGTAGCCCATGAAAGGAAGAGCAAGAAGAGGAACAAAGGCAATGACGATGCTTGCCTTAGTAGCTGTGGTGGAAGAATGGATCAAGTTTGTGACTGTGACTGGACACCTGCATTGGATGGAGCTCCAGTGTTTTCTGTTTTAGCCGGGCGGGCTCAGGCAGGTGCAGTGAGGTGAGATCGCCGGGTCCCCACTGACGCCCAGCACCGTTCGAGTGCTAAAATGCCCCAGATTCTGGCTCGTCGGCGGCGTTTTTAGGGCTTTGGGCGCTGACTTGACAGCTGAGACACAAGTGTCAAAATTGGATTGACGCAAATTCGTAATCCACCAGACATCAGGTAAACCTATAGGTAATCAAAGACGTATCCTCTTTCCCATATATTTCTGTTGCGATTAAATTGAGCACCTTTCTCATGTGACTAAGTTGCTGACGATCTGGACATGGTTGTCAAATGGAGTAGATATGAGTGAAGGGATGTTGCGGCGTTGTGGGCCAGAATTCAATTTGTACCTGCATGTCAAGTGTTGAGCCCTTGCAGATGGCTCGGGCTACCAAGAGGTACCTGACTTTGAGATACCAGAAGAACATTGAAGGCATCAAAGGGAGACAACCGGTTCAATAACCTCAGCTATCAGGGTAGTAAATTCCATTGAATCCTGTAGATGTATTGCCATTATCCTGCAACGGATGCTTTAAACTTGTTCCAAAGGATCGGTCATAAAAAAGCAATCGCCATCTCAATCTCGTACTCAAGATTGCGTAAACAGGGATGCATGTTGCTTTTTCCAGACAGAGCGTTAGTCACTGTTTTCACTACCACCTGGTACCTGATCGGCCAGCTGAGGATACGGGGCTGCAGGGCACCACCGCCCACCAGATCCTTGTACCTCTCGGTGACCCCCGCCGTACTTTGCGCTCATCTCCTCCACTGCCCAACCCTGGCCCTCGACCCAAGATTTCTCCTCTTCAACCAACCTGGTCGTTGCTTGCTTAGGCGGGCTCCATCTCACCAAACGCCTCTTACCATATCGGAGCCATCCCTGTCCGCATCGTATCGTCCATCCATCCATCGCCGTCCATGGAACTTTTCAGCTCTTCGCTCTCTCTCGGCCCGGCTCTGTTTGTCTAATCCCTACCGATCTCGGCTACCACTTGCGTCTTTCGTCCATCACGCCTTGGCCCTGCATCTGGACCTGGGCTTAGACTCGAGCTCCAAAGCTTTGTTTTCAGCGCCAGTTTGTCGTCTAAGCGGGGCCTTCAATCTGCAAGAACGGAGAATGGAGTTGCACCTAGCGGTAGTGCGGGCTGCTGGCGCTCGATGGTCGTCATTGTGGCGGCGACGGCGTCTTCACTTCTTTTCTCGACGGGTCAGGGGTATTCTGGTCTGGTCTGGTCAGGGCAGGGCGATACTGGGCTCTACAGCGGCTTCGCGCGTCAACGAGTGTAATCTCAGCGTACTGTAGTGGTATGTGCCGTCTCCCGCATCTTCATGTTTCACTGCCTTCCACCATGACGCAGCAGTGCAGAAACTTACTTGCTAGTGATAGAAACAGCACTCGTACAGAAGCAAGCCAGCGTTCAGCTCTCACAGTGTTTCCCCCGAACAAGGAATGCCTGTCCATCTCACTCAGGCCATGATCAATCACCGGCCTTCTTCTTCATCACGTCGCCGGCCAGATTACTTGGCGGGTACTCGAAGGGGCCAAGGCGCCCATCCACCATCCACCACCCACACCACCAAGCTGTGCTCATAGCTGCTGGGATCACTGCACTGCTCCGTGCAACTCTGTACAGCCCAGCTTGCACACACCCCTGCCCGCACACGCCAGTGGGGTGCCTGAGTGCCTGGGTAAGGTAGGTAAATCTTTTATACCTGGTGCTGGGCCCAGGTGCTTGTCTGTTAGTCTCCCCCAGATATCTTTAGACGGACTTGACTCTTTTCTCCTTCTCCCAGTTCCATCTTTTTCTCCTCTTCATTTATATCATCCGCATTTTCTTTTCTCTAGACTTTGTCTTGTACACCTATTAATATCCTTATTGCTCCCAATTCCTTTCTCCAGCCACCGTCACTCGCTCTGCATACTTTCAACTAAGCAACTAATTCTTTACCTCTCTCCAGAGCCGTGAAAAAGAGAGAGCGGCCGCAGCGAATTGAGTTTGCTTTACGACTACAACGGCGAAAGCGAGAAAAGAGGGAAACTTCCCTTCTGAAAAGCTGTTCTTTGCTTTTGCCGTATGGCCTAGCCAGCCAATTCTAGGGCAGCCATCATGGGTCTTCTCGATTTCTTGAGCAAACGGCCGTCTGTGGACGCAACATCTCCTCAGAAGAGCCAGGCTCCCTCTCCATATGCTCGAGGTTTGTCTTCATCTACAAGCGTCTCAGTCAATAGTCTTATGCGTAGCCTTCTAACAGCTGTTATAGGCATCATCGCCAGTCGTGAAAACGGAACGAGAACACCAGACCCATCTCAGCGACTGCTCAAGCCTCGGCTTGTAGGGGTGACTGAGGGGCGACCGAGAACAAATCCAAAAGATTCCGAGGTTCCACAACCTCAGTTTCCACTCAAGACGACCGGTCGAAGTCCCAAAGAATCCATAGCCCCCTTAGCATTGAGCAGTATCCCAAAATATGACGACCGCGAACGACCTCAAAGTCGTAGCACGATAGAACGGCTTACACCCTTGACACCGAATTTCTCACTCCCACGTCGACGCTCTTCGGCTTTTGTCGATATTCTGGATGCGCAAGGGGAGTTTAAACCTTACGACTTTAGATCAAGGCTTCAAGCATCTGGTTCCCGTGAATATGGTGAGGATGTTGCCGATAGAAATATTCAACCTGCCGTGACTGGCACGACGCTTCCATATCGCCCACGAGGTAGTGCTTCTACAGCTAGCTCCTCTAGAAACGCGCATGCGGTTCCGCCGATCCCTGATCGCTATAGAGACTTGCCTTCTCCCAGAATTGAGCCTAGCATCCGTTCATCCTCTCGACAAACTGTCCATAGCCGTCCAATGTCAAGGGGGAAACTCAGCCCTGCAAGGGCATATTTCGATGTCCATGACCACCGACTGCAGTCAAAAAGTTCATACGGTCAGATTTCCATCAGTGGCAGCCGTTCGTCCACGCCGCAGCAGGCCCCAAGGACAGCGGACGGTCGTTATATGCGAGATGAGGGCAGCGCATTCTCTCCAGAACTTCGCTCTGCCTCTCCACCCGGTGTTCCTCGCTACAAACCTAGGCAGTATAGCATGCCTAGCGGCAAGGTTCTTTCTGGGACCTTGCCAGGGTCAGTTCGCTCAGCTCGAGAACATCTAAACTCTCTTGTGCCGCCTCCTTCCGACCAATCTAAGCAGCTGTATCAACAGCGCGCCAAGACGCCGACTTCACCCAACCAGTTGCACAGCTTTCGTCATAGAGTCGAAAATGACTGGAGCCGGTTCAACAGACACGCGGGCGATCATCTCCCACCGGCCACTTCCACTTGGGACGACGCAATTGAGTCGAATTCAGAATATGCACCTTCATTTACCTTTGGTAGCTCTGGTAATCTTCAGTTGGAAAGCACTGAGAGACCACCCCCTTCTATACGCACGTTTGGCAAGCGGGGGTCAGTCTCATCATTTGTTCAATCTGACTTCTCCAGCAATCAGCTTACTGGCAGTCGCAGTATTCGCACAGCAGATACCTCGATTGACATACCCCACAACTCGCTCTTCAACGATATGACATTCTTTGGGGGTTCTTCCCACAAACTTCAATCTCGAGCCGGCGACAGCCCTGTGGCCCCCGATTTCACTGGCAAGGAGGACGACTCTGGTGCCGAATCCATCTTTATATCCCCGGCGACACCGTCGGAGGAGCAGCCCAGCTTCAATCCGCTGTCACCAACTCATCGCCATGGAGGTCTCAGCGTTAGCAGCTATGATGCTACCAGCATATCAGACTCGGATGCTGATTCCTTTCGCGGCAAGCAAAGACACCCAGCCCGGGACGGTGAAGCTCTTTTATTCAGTAACCAGGGGTTTGGTGACGATGGCAAGAGCCTTCCAGGGCTTTTCAACGAAACGGAAAGTCTCGCTACACCAAAATGGCCCGAGATGCCGATGACTCCAACAGATGTATCTGAAATGGGCGATGACGAAGCATCCGTTGTGGGAGTGCCTCCAGCTGTTCAGAAATCGCGGCAAAACACTTCAAGGCCGTTCACTCAGCGTGAGCGGCTGCTGGCCCTTGGCTACGACTACGATTCCGACTCGGACACCGAATCTTCTCTGCGATCCGATGAGTTCCCTGAAGAGCGCGCTCTAAAGCTGCTCTCAACTCTCATCAAGAACAGCACAGCCAAGGGTCCCGATGGCAGAGCAGGCCCACAGCTCGATATGAAGACAATTGCGAAGCTCCGCAAGGAGATTAAGAGAAGAAAGCTACTCGACTCATCGTCCTCTCGACGAGGAAGGTCAAGCCAGGAGAACAGCGAGGTCGATGCCGCTACAACGAAATAATGATGATTACAATAATAATACAAAATATGGGATTCGGAGCATTTTTATGGGAGGGGGATGGATTGGAAACCTGTGTGCGTTTTATCGATAGCAGCACCATTCACATGGGAAATCTTTCTTTTGTTCTTTTTTTTATCGCATTTATTGAAACATTTTTGAGCAAGGCGTTTGTTGATCTGCGACGGGATGGTTTTTTTGGGAGGGCATATTTTGGGCTGGCTGGCGGACAAGAACAGCAGCTGAGGAGCATTTGATGAGAGCGAAGATATTCTAGCCAGTAATTTCCATCTATTTATTTTTCATCTGACAAACTATTCGCCCCTTTTCATTCTGCGAGATTGACACGAAAATCTCATCAGTTGGGGCTGCAAACTGTTTACCCGATTCTGATATCTCGAGTTCGTGAGTGTTTCAACTGCCCGTCTACGCACGTGGTGCCAAGCCTACGAATACGAGTACAATTGGGACAAGGGCTTTTTAAATAGAGGCTGAGACTAAATATTTCATAGCTTGGTAGCTGACTCGAAGATATATGAGCAAAAATATTGCGTTATCTAGAGACCCGCCATAATTCATCATCGCAAGCAAGGGAAGCCCCTGAAAAAGCGGCGACTTCGAAACTGGCCAGTCTAGTAGCCCCGTTCCACTACGCAAGAGCATGGCAACAAAAAGGCCAAAGGAAGACTCCAGCTTCTATGCCTCAAAAAACACGGGAAACCCAGACCTCAGCTCAGCCCGTTCGCACCCCTCCGTCTAGTAACCGTACCTGGGCTAGTCCGTCAAACCCCGTTCAATAGATCTCGTCAGCTGTCCCTGACCCCGTAACCACGCACCCAGCAATCTCCTCCGAACCAATCACGCCCACGGTTCCTCCTCGTAGACGATCGAAGTGGGTTTTCCATCGACGCGAAGAGTGTTCCAATGCAGCTTCCATTGCAAGGTGCTGCGACAGGCCGAGGTCCAGCCATGCACGAGAAAACGTTAAATCTCTCGCGTGCTATGTGACAGCTCAGCTGTAGTGGTCATACGCACCGTCTGTATGTATCCCCCCTGAGAATGTAGTTCGCCGCCGCACACGCCCCCGACTTGACTTGCAACTGCGGGCCATGATTCTAAGAGGATTGACGCGGCCGTCGTCTAGCTCGAGACGGTTGCTGGGCCGCCGCTACAGTCACACTCCATCTCTCTTCTAAAATGGGCTGCGTCTTGGATAAGTGCGAGCTTCTCCAGCGCTAGCTTGGCAACCGTCACCTTGGCCTCCATGCCGCTCTTTGACGAGGTAGCGTGCGCAATCACCTTGCCGTGGACCATGAGGGCACAGAGAAGGTCGCTCTCAGACGCCACAGCGATGCCGGTATCTATGGACGTCGGCACATTGGCCACATGAAGCTTCCACTGGTTGCAGCAAAACTCGGCCTGTAGCTTGTGTGACAGGGCCGTAACTGGGTGGTTCGACGCAAACGACGAGTATAGCGCCATGTCTTCAAAGAAGGGCTGGATGAACTTTGTGAAAAAGCTCAGTACGACAAAGAAGGAGAATCCCGAGTCAACAAACATGGCTCCCACCAAAGCTTCAACAACGTCAGCCAGAGCTTTTGGAGGCTGTGACACCTCGATCCAGAAATCTTGGGGGATTGATTGAGCTTCAGCTTGGGAGGAGCTTCCATCAGAAGAAGATTCCTGATCACCGCCCTGTGATTTCTGCCTAGCCATGTCCTCTGCTTGCTCAAGCTGGCCTGCGTACCGCCCAATGTCGCCCAGGAGGGAATTTGTAGCCAGCAGAATATGTTTGTGAAGACCAAGCTTGACGCAGAGACAGCCGAGGAACTGGTTCGATACCATGGCCATTTTGTGTTCCGTGAGCCACTTCGGATCTGCTTCAGGGAACCGCTTAAACAGAAAGTCCACCACTGCCATGTCCAGCAGTGCATCTCCCAAGAACTCGAGCCGTTGGTAATCAGAGATGTTCCTCTCATAGACATACGATGGATGTCGGAAGGCACTGCGTACGAGGGAGGCACACTTGAAGCGGTAGCCTGTGATGTCGGCAACTTTGTCCACGGTGAGGCGCTGTGCGGCGGATGTCTGCTGGCTGTACCACTTCGGGGCAGCGAACGTTGCAAAATAATCCTTGTACTCGAGCATTGTGTGGTTGTCTGAGCAGACCATGGCTGTAACGGCCTTGACCGCCATGTCCATATTCTCGGTGGTGCTTGTCATGTAAGCTGCTCCAATGAGCGCCTCACAAACATCTGCAATCGACTTGTGCGACAGACAATGCTTTGCCTCCGTTTTAGCTGCTTTACCCCTCTTCAGCGTCATGTTACTCGGATACCATGTCCGACGGTCAAATGCTTTAGTGCGAATGTACGCAGGCATGTCCTTCTCCACAGCATGCTTAAAGAGATTCTGGTTGTTCAGCATCAACATTCGCGTGACGTGAGACTGGAATTCATCTGCACGGGGATGAAGAGTGAAGATGGAAATGGTTGTGGCCATCTTCAAGAATGTATCGCCAAGAAACTCTAGGCGCTCGTAATTCTTACCCATCCCAGGCTGAAAATCGATCTGGTGTTCGCCATGTTCTTCCGTGTTGAAACTGTCTTTTGTCACAGCCTCGAGGGCAAGATCAGACCGGATAGACAGACCGACGAGAGAACAGGCTTCAAGAGCTATCAAGACTGAGTCGATTCGATACATTACTACGGGCAAAATCAGGGCCATGGAGACGACATCTATCGGGATCTAAAGACAGGTTAGAATGCCGCTGCAACGTAATCCTACGAGGGAAGAGACTTACTGGTGACACGCACAGCGGCTCGAGAATGACATAGCAAGCGCCATCTCCCTCTTCTTCTACAAAGAACTCGTCTAGGAAGTTTCGGCGGATTGGGAGTAACTCTGCATTGACGACTGGCTGGTCATCCCTCCAGTTCATTCTCTTTCTCGACTTGATAGAAAGGCTGTTGCTGTATTCTTTGATGTTTTGCTCAACCTTTCTGTATCCCAGACTCTTGGGTTGCGGGACACCCTTTGGTGTTGGATCAGACGGCTTAAGCTCTTCATTGATACCATGCAAGATAAACTTTCGAGATCCGTCCCACGGATCCGTAGCGAGCTTGTCTTTGAAGAACTCTCTTGGAGCATCTTCCCAGTGCAGTTTTTCGTTCTCGTGGGCATATTGCACTGCTTCCCAGTCAATCTCTGCTGCTTTGTCACCAGCTGATGAGAGCTTGCTAGGAGCAAGGAAGTAAGGAATTTCGTGCGACTTGGCATCATACTCTTTGCTGAAAACGTCGGTAAAGAGTCTCAACGTAAAACTTGCCAGTGCCTCTATCTTATGAGGTAGCACTTCAAATGAAGTTTGCGCATTCGAAAGGCGTACAACCGACGTTCGACCGCCACCGAAAAATAACGGGGTGCTCGGTATGTCGGGCAACGGCTTCCTAGTTAGGAGAACTAGAGGGCGAGATGCTCTCCCAAGAGCTTCCGGCTGGTCGAGGGCTATGGTGGTCTGATACAAACTAGTCGGGGGCTCTGGAGCGAGACATGAAGACCAAAAATCTGGTTTAATTCGCATGTCATATTCGGATTTCTGATCTGATGAAATCGCCAGCCTTGCATTCCGCATGTAGGGCAGTTTCTTCGTAAACGCTGGCTGTAGATTGCCATTGATGTACTTTTTGTTGATGAGATCTACGCAGGCTTCAAACGCAGCAGAGCATCTTGCCAACTGCTTGCTCTTCTGCACTTCTCCAGAGAACATCTTGACCGGAGACCCATCTGGTAGGATGACTTGAGCAGTAAACTTTTGCCCTACGGAAGTGACAATGTACTCCAAGTGCAGCATTCCTTCTTCAGCATGGTTTGGGAACGACGAGGCAAATTTTGACAGCACTTCCAAGCTTGTGATGAACGTAAGCTGAGCGCCTGTCTCGGCGACAGTAAAACTTCTCTGAGTCACTTGTTCTTGGGCAGCCAGAATATCAGGACCAACGATAAAATCAGGAACCTTGCGATCTTCAGGCAGAGCAGAGCAAAACTGTCGCAGCGCATGAGCATCCCTGGCTGCCCGTCGTAACTTGCGTATATGGTCCAGATTGCCTACCTCGACCATGCTGACATAGAGTGACGACTTTTGTCGAGCCCGGCCTTTGGACTGGATATATTGAATCGCAGATTTGTACAAATCAAATCGGATAATCACGTCGCACTCTGGTATATCGATTCCTTCTTCTGCAACGGATGTGGCAAACAGACAGTTTGTTTCACCACGTCGAAACTTTTGTAGAGACACGATCTGGTCCCTGTAAGACATGTATGCTGCGCTGGCGGTTGAAGAGTGAGCGCCAATCTAATCGAATCGTAAGTCAGTTCCTGCATGAGAGGAGCCATGGGGTCAGTCTTACCATGTAGGCAGCCTTCACTCCAGGAATCTGCATCCCCGGCTGCTCAAATAGATCTGCCAGAAGAAAGGCAGTCGATCTTGCTTCCACAAAAACAATGCATCTCTTTGCCAGCCGCTTACAGAAAGCATCTTCAAGAACTTCATAAAGCGTCTTGGCTTTGGACGAAAGTTCTGGAGAACCGGCCTGGATGGCCCCGAAGACGTGATCCTTGATGATCCCTCTCACTTGAGCGACAGCCGCCATCGCCTTATCGCCAGCGGCGACGTCGAGCTCCAAGTTGTCACGTCCAGTTCTGGCTTCAATTTTGAGCATCTCATTGTCTGTCGTTAGGAGTTGCCAGTAGCGGTCAGCACACCATGTCCCCAAGATTGAGGATGCGTTGGACGCAAATTCCAGATGTCTTCTGAATTGAGGGTTGCTGCGGACACAGCGCGAAATGGAATCCCAAAGCCTCGTCTTCGAGACTTCGGGATCTTCAAGTCTATCATAGTATTCCTTGACCTCAACTTGTTGACGGTGTGCCTGACTTTGCATCAAAGCCTCGTCGGAGATGGTGGCAATTTTGCTGCACAGCATGCTCTCCAATTCAGAAGCGGCATGCCAAACATCCCTTGTCAAGGCGTCGACAGGAGATGCTGTCATGCCAAGAATACGAGGACGTCCGTCAGCCAAGCGCATATAGTGGTTCTTGATGATGCGAGCGTAAGGATGATTTCCCTTTGCATGGTGCGCCTCATCAAAAACAAGCAAGTTGATCTGGCTCATAGAAATGAATCCACAGGTTAGGAGGTCAAGCAAGATCTGTGCAGTGCACACAATGGCCATGTTTTCTGCAAATTGCCTGTCCCAGTATTCCTGAGAACGAACCACGCCCGTCATTTCGCCGAAAAACTTGCCAACCGGGAACTCGAGGTTGGTGGTCAGAACGGCGTGCTGCTGGAAACATAGGGCAACTTTTTCCACAAGAAAAAAAGCCGTCTTGTGCCTGTAGCCATCGGCGCGATTCTGCAGCTCTACTTGGAGAACGTGTCGCATTAGGAGGGCCGCAATCAATGTTTTGCCGGAACCTATACATCACCAGGTAAGTGACAAGAAAAAACTAGATGACGGTGAGAGCCTATACCTGTATCAAGAACAACGATTGTATTCTCGTCTCTTGCTCTCTCGAACAGGTCAATCTGATACTCGCGAGGACTTGTAATGATCTTCTGGAAAGCGTTATCTTCGTAGAGTCGCAAGATTGAGAGTTTGTCCAGGTGGCTTTCCAGGTCTGCCTTGGAGTTCTCAGTGAGTTCCGTCTGGTTCTTGACCAACCAGTCCTGAAACGCCAGATCTTGCTGCCGTTTCTTCGCTATCGGTGCCTTTTGTGCATCAGATGATTCGTCATATTGGTCGGCATCTTCGATTTCATCGGCGTCTTCAGGAGCAATTGCGATCTGTGGGTGTTCCTCGAGAGCCTCTGGGGTTGAAGGTTGAGGTCGCTCTGGTAGAACAATATCTAGAGTCCTAGCTGTAGAATCGCTCGTAGCAGTAGCGTGGGCAACGAGAGGTTTATCCGCAGGCGTCAGCATGACCGGCGACGACGCTGCCTCTAGCAGCAGGCCGCCACTACCCAACATCTTGGGCCGATGGAGTTGCTCGTGGATAGAAGAGAGATGATCACATCAAATGTCAAAAATCCAGAGAGGATGGCAAGTCAAAGAAGTCTGCTGCTGCACAAATTACTATTCGGTCGAGAGGCAAAGATGCGAATATCCGGTCCGTAATCTCACTGAAGAAGAGCAGATGAAAGAGGGGATACAAGAAAACTTCACGAGAGAAGGGAAAAGAGAAAATCCGCGGGCGGTGAATGCGTTTACAGTGGACGAGGCTGCGAGCACCAAATGGCAGGAGAGCAAAAGGGGGGCGAGGCACGTGCAGTTGCTACAGCCTGCAAATGCAAAGGACAGGCGGGCAGATGCAGCTGATATGCACTCTTCCTCAATGACACGTCGTTTGTCACTCTTGAGCACAAGTTTCTGTCATTCTGCAGTGCTTCCTCTGTAATGCCTTGCCTTGTCTCGGCGTCTCTTGAGTTCTGCCAGTTTGTTTGCTACGGTGAAAAGAAAACAGTATCATGGCATTACAAGCTGGAGAGTGCAACAGTCACTACTTTTGAACACTTCAAGTCTCACAATATGGGATTCCCATTTGGTAACAAGTCTCTTAGAATATCGGTACAAAACAACTCAAACATGAATTTCAGGTCTCTATGTCCCCCACACTGAACAGTTACCAACGCAAATCCATCCTCGTCCACGCAGCAAGTTGTCCGCCGTCAAGATCAGAACCAATAGACCAAACATACTAAAGCAGTTCCATATGCAATGACACATCTCAAACCAATGATGTCGAGATAGATCGTCTCTCAATCCCGTTCGTTAGACTAGGTATTCTGTACTCATACATACAGCCCCTTTCCGAAAGACAAGTCGACAATGTTGCTGACACGATGATGAAAACAAACCAAAAGAAAGAATGAAAGAAAATAGGGAAAGCACTCTTCGTTTAAATTTCCCCTGTCGTACAAACAAATCGAGCAAGGAAAAAGGACCATTACGGTGCTGGTGTTGGCGATTGCTGCTCGTCAGATTCGTCATCCGTCTCCCAATCTTCCGAAAAAGCAAAAGAGGCTTCAACAGCATGCATTGCAAAAGTCGCCGTGTCAGCAACACCCGCAAATTCAGCTCTCTCAGCAACTGCTCCATTCTCCGATCGATGTGCGTGTTCGATTCGCGTATACTCGACACCCGCTGAGACGATAACCGCATGAGCTGTATCTCGATCCATCTGGTGTTGCCGTGGTACCAACAGCTCGGTATTGATCCAATCCGCACTGAGAGCATAGCAAGCCTTGACAGCTTCGACAGCAAATCTAGCGTCATCTGCAACCCAAGCCCATTCAGCTGCAGAAACAGGTGGTGGGCGCGCGTTGATCTGTTCCCCCCTCAGAATTCCAAAATAATTCTCCAACTTTCGGATCTTGCAGTTCAGCCTTTTACATGGTCTCTGCCGGATATCTCGGGCAGTTGAAGTCTCTGATCCAAGTTGGCCTGGCTTTTGCACAACGCAGTGACACTCTTCCTCTTCTTCTTCTAGTCTCGGTACTTCAATCACGGCGGGCAGCGACGGACTCTGTCACAAAGTTAAGCGGGTCAGAACAAATCAGTGACTTAAAGGGAAACAAGATCCTTACCTGTGCAGCAGAATACGAATGGCCTAAGCTGCCTCGCCTTTGAACCCGAGGCGCCGTTACAGCTGATTCTGCCGTTTCTGCTCCTGTGGTTGTTCTTGTGGTTGCTCTCGTGGCTGCTCTTGTAGTTGCTCTTGTTGTTGATCTTGTTGCTCTTGTTGATCCTGTTGCTCCTGCTGTAGCTGTTGCTGTTGCTGCAGCTTCTTGGGTGTCGGCTTCTTGCGTTGGCTCGAGCCCGCCTTGGGCGTCTTGGGCACCTTCGGGGCCTTCGGGGTCTTGGGAGCCTTTGGCGTCTTGGGAGCCCTTGGCTTCGCCGGCTTGCCTTCTTTTTGGCTTGGACGGCCTCGCTTTTTTCCCTTGGAGCTTCTCGGAACTAGTTTCAGCACACTGTCCCATCTCCAAATCATATTGCAAAGATTCGCGAGCACGGGCACTAGGCCGACGCTTTCGCATGCTTCTCTCCAACACAACATTGGTATTGGCATCTGGCTCAAGGTCTTCTGCGGATGTCACATCTGGAAGGCTTTGTTCGGGTTCCTCTTCCACTGCTCTCGGCAGCACCTCAGGTTGGCTACAACATGCTAATTCAGCAAACGGTCTGGTAGAGCCAGGGTTCTGGGGGACTTCTTGTCCAGTCACTGAAGGGATGTCTGCCGCGAAGCCAACCATGAGTTGCCCCTCGTTATTGCTTGTCATGAAGCGCTCTTGAGCAGTTCCGATACGAGACCTTGGCACGTTATGGTGAAGCGGTGCAGCACTTGATTGGATAGGGGAGGATTGTTCGTACCTTTGAGCCTGCTCAGGCGATTGCTTGCCTGGGGAATTGACAGGCGTCTGAGTAGATTGGCCAGCGGCCCTGGTGGCTTGTCGCTTGGCCATCTCCTGTTGTATGGCGGCAAGACGAGAAGGGTTTTGCACACTCAATCCTTCGGGGAGAGGGTCGGACTCCATGTCGGCTGCATCTTCTGCGAGATGAAGAGGGGTGTATTCCCAGTTCTATAGAGGCACCAGCGTCAGTCAACCAAGTATTGGCTCACCCAGATTACCCAAGGAAACTCACATATCCAGAAGGATACCCATTGTCAATCTCCCACTGCGTCTTGGCCAGTCCTCCTGGGGCATACTGGGGCTGCAGCTCCGGAACCATCCGTTTCAAAGCCTTGTAGGCCTCGTCTGCCTTCTGTTCTCGCTGGTAGCGTGGGATCGGCATGGGCATGGGCTCACCAATGCGTGGGCCTCTCGATATCGTGTCTAGAACGGCTTGGGCTTCGGGGGAAAGCTCACCGTCATCATCATCAGGCTCACCTTCCTAAGGCACGACCTGTTGCAACACTCCAAGGAAAGCATCGTTTAGCATGACACCTCTTCCGCGAAAATTGCACTCATTGCGGCGTTTTTCCATCCTTTGCTGTACGATGGCATCCAAAATCACATCAGGGTCCACCAGCCTGGCGACAGCAACTCGTCGGAGAAGTCGGTAATCCATACAATCTTTCAAGGTGGGGAGGTCAATCTGAATGCGAGCAAAGTCCTTGGGCTCTTTCTCATCAACCCATGCCTGGAGATCGACATTATGGTTGACAATTCCGCGCTCGGAAAGGAAGAGCAGACCCATTTGAACATCGTCCTGCGTGATGCGGTCGTGTGGCATCAGTGGACGGTGGTCATGGATCCAGTCAGAGCACAGCATATCTTGCTGCTTGGAATGTCCTCCAAAGGCCTTGACCCTATCCGCAACGCTGTGCTCGAAAGCGTTCCACTGATCACAGAAGTTGACGTAACTGGTGACGAAATCATGAACCTGTTGCTTGGAAAGATCAAGCTGCCAGATTATGACAGCGGAAAACGGGCGCTGCTCGCTAAGTCGTAGGATGATGAGCCATCGGACGCCCAAGCTGAGGTCTTCCCATCTGAGGATCCGTTTGTCGGGGGCAGAACTCGGCGCAGTTTGATGCTGTCTCGCGCCAGAGGGATAAATCATCGGGATATCGGGAAGCAGCCCCCTTTCCGCCATGGCGTCACGGGCCTTCCACCAGTAGAATGATTCAGGGGTCAGAAGCTCCTCTGCTATCTCTCCTTCAGACCAGCCCTGATATAGGAACGGGATATCCGAGGCTGATTCCTCGACTGTCGCCGCTGCTGCTGTAGGAGGAGGCGTGGGTTGAGGCAAATGAGCAACGCGGGCTTTTCGGTTTACGGGTTGGGCTCCTGCATCAGAGCCCAAGTTTCCTACATCTTCGTTAGCTGAGTGTTGCTATGAAAAAAAAAAAGAGGCATCTCTGGTGAGTTTACCATCACACTTCAAGGGGAGTTGTGCCTCGCTCGGGCTGCCAAATAGCGAGTTGTGGTGACGCGACTCCACGTCTGAGTCCTGGAAGATGCCAGATGCCTCAGGCAAACCATCGCCTTGTGAATTGAACACCACATCAGGGGTGTCATCGTATGGCATGATGGATATTCCTTCACGAAAAGAATGATCGGTGATGCTGTTTCCGAGTCGCTGGAGATTGAACGGTAACGAATGGGCTTGGCTATTCTTCCGAGTTGATTAGCAACTGTGGGAGAAGCAGAGGCATGCCACATACCGTGATACTCAGACCTGACAGCCCAGGGAGAGTGAGATAGGTGAGAATGAACGCAAAGTGAATAATGGCTTGAGTCGGCCAATGCCTCTCACCCTCCGCACGGCTCCTGGTAACCCAGAGCAATGCGAAATTCCGAAGAAGAAAGGTTACAAAGGCTTAAAAATAGCCAGTTGAAAAGAGAATACTGGATAGAGAAATGATTCTCAATGGGCAATGATTGTGTGAGGTCAAGTCATGCAGAAACTCTGGTAACCATGTGCATCGGGGAGAACAAGGCGTCCGTCAAGATCCCCAACGCGTGCGAGATAAACAGATAGGTAAACAAACAGATCACACGGGGTGAGAAATAGATCAGACGAAACGAGAGGAGCCGCGGCTTCTTGACCAAACGGAGACAAGTCGTGGCTGGCAGTGTTTGCCAGGTGGCCAGCCAAAATGGAACATGGCACGCTTTGGCAAGACAGCGATGGGAATATCCAGAACACAAGATTGCCAGGAAAGAATTGGAAACATTGATTATTGGTTTCTGATGCAAGAATGGCTTAAATCTCCGAGGTTTCGTTGAATCTTTGAGATTTGAGCCCGGTATTGTGATCCAATGGTTGGGAATGGCTTCTCTTCGAATCACCTGTCACAGCTTATGGCTCAGACATGGACACGATGTGAAGCAATGAAGAAGGAGGGAAGTTCATATACTCAGAACTGAATAAAAGCAATCAAAGAACTACCTTGTACCTAATTTTGTGGAAAAGACTCAACTCCCAGACGCCGACGCCTTCATCTTCCTGTTGCCCAAACTCAAACCCTTGCGGCCCAAGAGCTCGATATCCGCGCCATACGCCTATTGAAGCTGTTGTGTTCCATTATTCATCGAATTATTCTATCCGAGCTCCATCCGGATTCTACCGTCTAGCCAACTGTGCAGCAAATTGGTATCTGTAGTAATAAACGCCCTCTCCTGTAACGCCAGGGTCACTATGCCAACAAACTCATGGTCGTGCCAAATGGACGATTAGTTCATTCTTTGGCGCGCGGCTCTTCCTCGTATTCCCATTATTGATCGACATCAAGAAAAGGTGCGTAACCCCCTCGGCCGTGTTCCCCATTGCTCCCTAGGTCTTCTTCAACCCCATCCATCATGTCATCGAGGCCACGCTTGGTGTTTGGCGTGCCCTCAGTCGAGGCAAGTGCGGGTGCATGGCCATTTTCTTCATTGTCTCGTTCAAGGCGACGTCGCCGGGCCACGGCGACGCTGGCCTTGTTGAGCTCCTGCCAAGTCAACAACGCTCCCTTGGCTTCGTCATCAAAGTTGGCGCAAAAGCGCTGAACACTGACGAAGTTGATTGCGTCCAGCATCTCCTGCCCAAACATGAACATGACATAAGCAGCGACGAGAGGAGGGGAGAGCATGTTGCCCGTTGTGCATGTCACCAGGACCTTGCCCTGGGTGGCTCCCCCTGTGTTGTTATGCCGACTCAGAAGATGGCTGTTGATGACGTTAACAATTTGGTTGAAGGCCGGGACCAAGTGGTTGGTATCGACGTCTACATAGCAGTAGGAAATGTTAAACGTCTCGGATGCGGTGTTGACGCTGGCGAGATTCATGGGAGCTCTCGAGTCACGGACCACGACAAGCATGGTGATGGCCTCTCGCTTCAGGAAGTCATGATCCCGGATGGTGCTTGTAGGGCCCAGAAAGAGGTAGTCGAGAATGAGCTGGGATTCTCTGCGCTGCTCATATCTCCAGCGTACGGAGCGATCTGTCGATTTTTGCATCCTGTTGCCGGTGATGATGTTGAATTCCTCGAGGGTGAGTTTGGAAGAGTCGACAAGGTTGTATGAGGGCCACATGAAGATATCCTCTGCTTTTCGGACGGGGATGTGGATTCTGGGCGGGCTTGGAGGGCGACGGCTGTATGCTCCAGAGCGGACCACAGTCCTATCCATCCCGCCCACGCCGCTCATGGTGGAAGATTTGGGGAGAGCAGCGTTGCTTGGAGAGGAGTTTGAGATGGTTTCTTTGTTCATGTCAAGAAATGCGTTGCAAGATGGCGATGGGGGTTGGATGGAGTGGCTGAGGTTGTGAGCTCTGGGGTGACGATGGAGGAAGAATAGAAAAGAGGATGGAGAAGAATAGAATAGACGTATAGAATGGGGGAACAGGGCAGCGCGAGATGGAAATAATCCGAAAAGCGCAGTATTTGGAAATGTTGATAAAGTTGAGGTTGATGAAGAGAAACAGAAGAATCTTGTGATGGAACGTGAAAGAAGAAGAAAAGGAAGAGGATGAGCAAGAATGAGTTCGACAGAGAAAGAGCAAGAGGGAGGTCCAAACTGTATTTCAGTGGCTGCGCTGTACTTGGTGCATGTACCGCCCAGTACCTTTTACAGCATTGGAACCTGCAGATAGACAGGTACAGGTACCAGTACAAAGGTGGTGTGCTGTCAAAGGAAGAAGAACAAAAAAGGAACAAATAAGGAACAGAGGAGCATTAGGCATCATCACCCCGCTAAGAGGCACTGAAGGTCCAGCTCCCGTGATTGGCAAAGACGTGCATGCTGAGGCTCTGCTATAATAATGACTGGAGTGTTTCTCCTAGAATGTGCTTTCAGTGCTTCGCTTTGTCACACAAGGCTCCCTCCCACCTACAGTAAGAAGGCGCCTGTACTAATAGGGAACCTTCCGGGGCGTAAATCGGCCAATCGGGTGCAGCCGACGGGCTTGATTAAAAGTGGCCGGACTGAACACCGACGAAGCATTCAATTGGTGAGGGTTGAGTAATTCAAATTTAAACAGGCATGCGAGTCGGTAATTATTCTGTCTTTGTTTTGTTTTAATCTTGAACTCATTTTCCGGTGAATCTACCCTTAAAAAGTGTGTTCTTTTAATCTTGTTCAACCCCTACCTCAGCGTGCCTTGTCTACCTTAAGTAAGCCAGGCATCACGAACTGCATGGACTCAACGCATGAATAGAAAGCTACCAGCATCAACCCGGAATTCCGGCTCATCAACAGTCTCCGTGCACGATTTTCGGGCTTTCTCATGCACTCTTCGTATTTTCCGATTTGAGGATGTATTGCTATATTTCACGATGTGTCTCTAATTTAGCATCGATCTAATACTAGGTACATACCTACATTTTTCCAGGGTAGCTGAGGTGCATCATGCTGTCTCAACAAGAGACAAGAGACGAGAGACAAGAGACGGCCTGTAAAGAACTCGCATTTGCATAAAGGCCGCTCCATGAAAATAATAAATAGTAAACCACGACCATTATCAATACTGATTTGACATCGCCAAAGACCCCGCATCGTATACACCCACATCCACGACATGCCACGACGAGGGGAAATACGGAAAAAAAGCTACATCAGTGCCAAAGCCAAGAATAACACATGCCGGTTTTCGATTAACCCACTATCCTGATTGGTTCAATTAATCGTACAGAAAACAAGTAACTCCGTTGGGCGATGTTAGCGAGCTTGCACTATGCTTCTAGTCCATCCCGATCCCCAACTACGACTAATCTTTTGTGTTGGCAGTTTCATGTACGTATAGTAATCTTTTATATCAACAAGCCTAATTGACCCCCTTTGATCTTCCCATTCGTTGTTATCGGAACTGCTTATCCGTCATTACGACATGTGAGGGGATACGGAAAAGCACGTTTCTCGTAATGTCAAACTACCTGCCCAGGTACCTATGTATGTAGACCATACTGTACAAGACATCTACTACTCGTTACAGACATGAACAAGCTTGAACAAATTGCAGAAGAGGACAGATTTGCTCAGCAGTTGTAATATTCAGCAGACTTTTCGCTCTCATAACAATTAAAGTTGTGTGGTGTTATAGTGTGGTTTCGCCCTATTCACAAACGCCGCGTGATGCCATGCTTGTCGGATCAACTCCGTTGACATATACATGTCTTCTCTCTATACTAATCATACATTCTTTTGTCGATTCCATCTATATCCATAATCGTACAGCTCTCCAAATTTCGCACACAACCCATGCTTTTCTCTTTCCCAGTCAAGCAAGTAGATGCTGTCTCATGTACAAAACCCCCCAAAAAGTCCATCGTCGTCCCAGTTTTACCAAACCATAATTCTTAAAACCCAAGACAGGAGAGATGCCTAGAGATAACGGGCATGGCCATGGATCCCAAGATAGGCCAAATTCATCACGCAGCCCGCACTTCCCGCTTTCCCCTCTCAGCCACCTCATCAAGAACATAGTCGTCATCCGAAAACTGCTCCACTTCGTCCGCATCCCCCTCGCCAATCGCCGTCCGGTTAGCATCGCGAGACTTTGCCAGCAAACGCTTCGTCTTTCGTTTGCGCTCCAGATGTTCGTCGCTAAAGTCAAGGCGGTCCAGAGTCTTCATGAGCTTCTCTTCCACTAGTGATCGCACGTGAAAGGCTAGGGCTTGGCTGCGGAACACGCCTGAGTAGCGGTACGAGAGCCACACGTACTGGTTCACGGCAACGTGCAGTGACTCTAGCTTTGCGAGATACTTTTCCTTTACCTGAAAGTCCTCCATCTTCAAGTCCAGGTACTCCAATGGTATCTCTTCAATGTCGAGGAGATCCCCCTTTGAGTTTGTGGCGACAACTTGCGCAAGAGCACGAAGCACATCGATAGCCCTGTCTGCTCGAAGTGCAACAGGCAAGTAGCAAAACGTGAGCCTGTCGTGGATCGTAAGCGGGATATCCTGGATAATGTCTGCAATTTCCAAAATATCGGATCCCAGCCCAATCCTGTACAAGGAGCTGACCGTTGCCGTCTCCTGGATTCTCTTGAGGATGAAAGAAAGTGGGGTGTCTGGCGGGAAGTAGGAAGCGAATCGCTCCACGATGCCCGCGGGAGGTTGGATACAGGCTGCCTCAATATCATCTACACTCTTCTGAAAGGCTCGTTGTACGCTTTTCAAATCGGCCCGGTCCATGGTAGTGACAAGACCGACCTTTTCTGTCTCGTCCACTGAGCCGTCGGGATTTTGTGCTGATCTGTATCGACCCGCTCTACCACCAATCTGCTTGATTTCGGGGAACGTCAAAAGTCGGTTTTGGCTGCCGTCGTACTTTGTAACAGACTCCATAATCACACGTCGAATCTCCAGATTCAAGCCCATACCAATCGCATCACTGGCAACGACAAAGTCGTAGTCGTTGTCTGGGTCGTTAAAGAGGGCGGCCTGCTGGGCGCGGACTTCTGGTGGCAAGGATCCGTAGATGATTGCACAGCGTCTCCCGGTCTTCTGTTCGATGCCCTGCTTCAGGGAGTGAAGATTGAGGCGGCTGAATGCAACAATGGCATCTCCTTTCTGTAGGCTATTATAGTCCCCGTTGAGCGCCTTGTCCATGGTTCTGAGAGGGCTCAGGCGTTCATATCTGTGGACGACACACTTGTCTCCAATGCTGGCGCACATGGCCTGTATGACCTTGACGGCTCGCTCCTCGCCACATACGTGAACCTCTTTGGCCTGGACTCCAAGCACGGCAGACGTCCAAGCGTTTCCACGATCGGCATCAGCAATCATCTGAATCTCGTCAATGACGGCGACGTCGAATCGGGTGTTTAGGGGAATCATCTCCACTGTGCAACTTGAAAAATACTGATCCGAGTCTTCGGGAATCCGCACCTCCTCACCCGTGATGAGAGCACATGGGATGTTCTTGGCTTTGAATCGCTGGTACACTTCGGTAGCGAGTAATCGAAGAGGGCCTGCGTAGACTCCGCACTTGGAGTTCTCCAGGGCCTTGAGTGCACGGTAGGTTTTGCCGGAATTCGTAGGCCCAACGTGAACGTGGATTGTGCGCTGCATTGCTCGAGTCGCAGGAAACCACTCGTGCGGGAATCGAAAGTCTAACAAGCGCCGGTGACTGTCCTGAATGTCCTTGGAAAACCGCTGGCCAACGATGAATGACTGGAACGAGTACTGGACTTCCTTGCTCAGGCCCTTGAGATCCTTGCTAATAAAGGCATCACGCAGATTCCAAAACATTGGATTCTTGTCACGACGGGTGATGTTCTTTTCTGCCAATAGGAAAGCATGATCGATGGCGTCCATGAAGAGCGCCGCATGTCGACTTAGCTCATCCTCAGTGACGCCAAGCTGTGCCGCCCCCAAGGAATTGAGCACAACCTGGAAGCGATGGAGGACGGTAGAGCGGAAGACTTTGTGGCGGCCAGTATACTTGCCAAAGTCGAGCCTCAGTCTGGTGTTGGGATCATGACCCTGGCTAACCTGTTGGGTGTAAATGTGAGACGGGATTCCTCATGAAAACTCATGGCGTCTGGTAGTTGGACTTACCGAATCAACTCGAGAATGAGGTACAGGCTTTACTTCACGTTTTGAGCCTGTACTCAGAGCCTCTTTCAAGGATATCAGCCTTGGTTTGAATGTCTTTGGCTTACTGGCCTTTGGCGGCTGAAGCCTTGATAAGTGAGATGTGGTTGAGAGTTGGCGCAGACATGCCGCTCTAAGCTGGCCTCTGAAAGAGCCGTTCTGGGCCAGAGCTCTCATGACAGCAGCGGACAGGACGCAGGTATCATGATAATGCCGCTGCAATGAAAGAATAAAAAAGCATCCGACAATGGACAAATTTTTGTTGTAGATTCACACCGGCCTACCCTACATGCCGAGCCATTCGTGAGAATTTCGTTTACAAACTTTTCGATCCAATGGCGCTCCTCGGAGATTTGCCGGAGGCGGATTAGCGTTTGGCCGGCGGACCTGCAGCCAATGCGGCAAACTGTGGACGCAGTTTCGTCATAGTTTCAGCGAGCTGCCTGCATCCTACAATCACCGAGTTCTGCCTTGCTTTGTTCGATTACGTCCTTTTACTCGCCCCAACATTGTCCGACAAACACCAGACTCGAAATCTCAACATCTTTACACAAGGCGACCCATCGAATACCGCCAAAATGGCGTCCTCCTCTTCTGCAACTCCGCTGCTTTAGTACGTTCAAGCTCCCTAAGCTATAGGGGCTTTTGCTCTGTAGCGCTCTTGTTCGGTATCTCCAAGCTAACAAAGGCATCACCAGCTCCTGCATTGCCCACAAGACCACAATCCTGTCTGAATGCACAACCTCCGCCTCGTCACAAACCTCGTCGCTCGCCTCCATCATCCTCCCAAAGATTGAGCACACCACCCCCCAGAAGTTGACGTACACCCACGGCCAGAACCAGATTCACTATGTCGCCGAGGCGCCGTCTGACTATCCCGAACACCCGGCCGCCGGCGGCTTGACGTTCCTCGTCATCGCAGACGGGTCGCTGGGCCGTCGCGTCCCGTTCGGCTACCTGCTAGAGATCCGCAAGCGATTCTTTGAAAAGTTCCCCGAGCACAGCGACTTTGCCGAGATGCCAAACTACGGCGCCGGGTCGTTCAACGCCGAGATGAAGAGCCTGATGGTGGAGTTTGGCACGACGAGCGGCGGGATGAACGACGCGATTGGTAATGCGAAGCGCGAGATTGACGATGTTAGAGGCATCATGACGAAGAACATTGAGAGCTTGCTCGAGCGAGGCGAGAGGATCGATTTGCTTGTGGACAAGACGGACAGGCTGGGGAGCAGCGCTCGCGACTTCCGGGTCCGGAGCCGCGGGCTGAAGCGGCAGATGTGGTGGAAGAATGTCAAGCTCATGGCGCTCCTGATCCTGGTTGTGGCTCTCATCATTATGATTATTGTCATCTCAGTCAAGGGCTAGCCAGACATGAGGATGACGCTTTCATGATTTCAATTTCCTCTCTTCTGTCTTTTTTAGTGTTTGATCAGAGCAGTGAAGCCTAGATGCTGCACACATGTATTCATAGTAGGGATTTGATGCTTTGTTTTGGGAGTCAAAGGGAGAATGCACGCCTCACGAGGAATTCTTTGTTTTATTTGCGGTCAATGGGAACCTAACGCTGAAAGTACTTTGAGTTATAATTACAACGCGACGCTATTCTTTTTCAATGTGCAAGCAGATCAATATTACTTGGTGGTAGTAGTATACTAGTATAGCCTTTTGTAAGCCAGCAAAATGCACACTCGATATGCCATCTCAACCGCCACACCGACCCAACCGACGTTCTACATACAGAAACAATACAATCAAATGCTAATACCTAGAACAACCCCGTAGAACAGGTCAGCATAACACCTTGCCCAGAATATTTACATCATCGCAACTTACCCAGGTCCAAAATGCCTTTACAACTTGGGCGCATTTACGCCACTCCGCGCCTCCTGATAGACATACCCATGCGCCACGGGACTGAATCCCGCAACTGGAGATGGAATCGCCGAGCCGACGGACGGCTTCCGCAGTCTTTCGGTGAAGAATACGGGGTGCGTTGTCGATGCGTTGTGGGCTGGCGCGGCGTGCGTGTGCTTGTTCCATATTGCCTGCAGCTGGGCGGTTGTTGGGATAGACTGGAGGGAGGGCGTCATGGTGATGGTTATGGCTGTGTTGGCTTTGTATGGAATTGATAAAACGGAACGGATTAGGGGTGTTTGGGGGGCCTTTGAAGAGGCTCAATGCAATCAATTGGGTGTTGTATTATAGGAGATAATGAGGATGATGAGGATGAAGATGAAGATGCTGTGATTAGCTGCATGAAGTCGCTATGATGGAATTGCTAGGCGCCGGCCTTACTAAGCCGAGGTTCATTCGGTAGCTCTCCACGGAGGAGTAGACACAGCTTTGGCATGAGGATCAGCGCCAGAAATCTATATGGATCTCTATTGATGGGATTGATGAAGCAATTGAACTCATGCTGCATCATTGTCTATAAGCAAACAGAAAAAGAAAAAGAAAGAAAAATAAATGAAATAAATCATTTGCCCTTTTTACCGCTCTTTGCGCCTTGCTTCTGTTGCTTTTCCTTTTCCTTTTGCTTTTCCTTCTCCTTCCCCTTCTTGATCGCGGCCACCAAGCTCTCCACCTCTTCTGCCTTTTCCTTTTCCTTCTTCTCCTCGGCCAGCTTATCCTCTTTGGCCTTTTGCTGCCCTCTCTTCTTTGCAGCGCTCTTCTCCGTCTTCTCAATGAGGGCGTCGCTCTCCTCCCACAGCTTCTTTGCTACCTCGTCGTCCTTGATTTCCCTCCGGGCAAAGTCTACCTCCATGCACTCCTTGATGAGCTTGCCGCCGCTGCCACGTCCGAGGCCTCCGTCCATGGCGGCGTAGAGAATCGACTGGGCGCCTTTGTGAGGCGACTTGAGCAAGAACCAGGGGATGGCGTAGAAACACATGTAAAGCGCGAGGCCAACGAGCGAGCCTCGGGTCAGCCATCTGCGTGTGCCGGGTGTTCGACTGAGGCCGGGGTCTACAAAGATGACCCGGGTGTTCATGGGAAGCTGATCAGGGCGCTTGTATGCGTCTAGGTGCTTCTGGAAGTATGAGCCGAAAACGTTGAGGGCGAGCTTGCTTCGGGCATATGCAGAGCCGGGAGACCAGCCCTTTTCCGCATTTCCGAGACCTTCTTTCAAGGAGGGAGATCCAATGTACGATGAACATGTGGCTATGACGACGCGGACATCTCTATCAAAGGGCTGTGCCTTGAGAGCCGGGCTGAGGATGCTTAGGAGGTGAAAGTTGGCAAGGTAGTTGACCTGCCACATCTCCTCCACGCCTTCTTCCGTAACGGTCCGTTTCCCTCCTCCCGGCGTCATGGTCGATGCGCACAGCACAATCATGTCCAGTCTTCGAGGAGGGGCATTGTCGACCCATTTCGTGGCAAACTTTCTGATGCTGTACAAACTGGCGAGATCCACCTGCTCTGCGTATATCATGTGGTTGCCCGTCCTGTCCCGAATATCCTGTATAAAGTCGACGAGAAAGGGATCTGAGGCGGGGACTTGGGTCAGCAGGACGAGCTGAGCGCCGCGAGCTGCCAGCTCGTATGTCACTTCTGCCCCTATCCCGCTCGTTCCGCCCGTGACTATGACGACTCTGCCATGGAGGTCGCGCTCGGAGGGATTCGACCTGCCCGATGCGTAGAGCTTCAGCAGGACGAGGAATGCGACGGCGGCGACGGTGTAGGCGATATTCCAGACATTGTCGTGGATAACCTGTGGAAAGCCGTTTTCCAGGAGATAGAAGATGGTTGGCACGGGCATTGTGAATGCAACGGCCTAGTCGAGGGCTGCAGAGGTGGAAGTTGTTTAGAAGAGGTTTAAGTCGGTCAATTCATCGTTTCGGGTCGTTGATAGTAGCATCTGATGCCGAATTGCTGACACGTTGAACGGAAGAAGGAGTTGTGAATTGTTTTGTCGTGGTACAAGTTCGTTGTAAGAAAGCGATTCAGGAGCCCCCACGTGACACAGCTCCAGTTTAAGGCCTCCTTCCATTGTTCCAGTAGAGCATTATCTACAACTTGCACTGATTCACAATGGACATATTCCGTCAATTCTGACAATCAATTTGCTCGTTCCCCATACATCTTGAGCAATGACGTTTCTGAAAGGTATGGAATGTGCAGACAACGCTGTAATTTCAGTGGTTGAGGTGCTAATTATTAGGCTGGTATAGAATACGAACTAACATGACGGAACCATCTCCGTCTGGGGTATGACCATTAACACAAAACACAAAACGGCATTTTCCATAGCTCATCCAAAAACAATAACAATGGCTTAATTTTGCCTTTCCCTCTTTTCATTCTCCTTCTCCTTCTCCTTGTTCTTCTTTGACTTCTTCTTCTTCTTTTTGTTAATCTCTAGCTTCACAGGGTCGCCTTTTCGCACCCAAATCTCTCCAATGGGATCGCCCTCTTCCTGCACACAAACCCATTCACCAATGCCGTACTCTTCAGGTGCATGACGCATTCCTCGGCCTCCTCCACCGACAATCAAGTTGCCTGGACGGTAGCTCTCATCCATCTGCATGCGGCGGATGACACTGCCGTGGACGCGGACGTTGTTCGGAATGTCTCGCACTTCTCCGCGCGGCAGTGGCCAGTTGATAGGCTTCCAAGTCCCGTCAGCCTGAAGATCCATTCGGCGGAATGGCATCCACTCCATCATGTTCCAGGCGGTGACGGCCATTGTGGAAAGGCCGCCGCCATAGACGAGGGAGTCGTGGATTTTCGCGATATGTGCCTTGTGCATCATCTCGAGGAACGTCTTCTTGAAATCTTGGTCGTCGTCATCGCCCATAGTGTCTGGGCTTGAAGGTGCAAATGGCTCTGCTCCCTCTTCTCCATCTCGATTAACAAGAATATCGGGCCCTCTGTCTTGACCTCTTCGGCCATTCTTGACGCCGGCACTGCCATACTCGTTGTACAGGTCAAAGCAATCCAGCTCCTGGACTTTTTCTAGATCGAATTTTAAGCCAGCACGGATGGCTTCACGAACCATCCATATCAAAGGCACATGGCTTGCATTCTTGCTGCCAACGACATCTGTTTGCCATCCACCTCCCACGTCGCCATGGCCACCGGCAAACCATACTTCGTCAATATCTTGGTCGCCGCTATCCTCATATTCAACGACAGAAAGCTGATCCGAGGCGTTGCAGCCAGTCACCGACAGGCGGCGTTCTGGGCGGGCAGCAGATCTTGACCTGGCCCTGTATGGCATATACTTGCTGGTTTGTGGATTCGCCGATGACGGCCGTCCGTCCGCTGCTGTCGACTGTTGGCTGGGCCGTCTGCCTCGGCCTTGGTTATGCATTCTTTCTCCACCGTCTACTTCTCCACTGTATTCATCATCTTGCCCATGGCCAAGCATGTGCCCCAAATCCTTCTTCCAGTGGCCGTGGGTATTGCGGCGGCGCTTGTTGTTGTGTTGCTGATACATCAAGTCCTGTCGAAACTTGGCTCGTCGCTCATCGATACTAACTGCATGCCGGATGACTCTGGCACTACTACGCGCCGTATACGGAAACTTGCTCCGCTGCATCCACGCTGTCTCAAACCGAGGCACAGAGTTGACGGTATCGAACAGACCCAGGAACCGAATCCTGCCAACTGGTCGCGAAAAAGTCTCACGGAAGCCTTTCATGAAGTGGTACATCTCATGCTTCTTCTTCTCGTCTTCTTCGGCAAGCTTCTCATCTTTGTCACCACCGCGGCGACTCTGCCAGTTGGCGAATGCCTTCCAGGCGAATGAAACCATTTCTTCGTTACCGTGAGACAAGAGACCGATGTAGTCAAGCATCTCAGCCAAAAAGCGGGCAATGTACGAGCCGCGACTGAAGCCAAACATGTAAATGTCATCCCCAGGATTGTAAAAGCGCATAAGGAAACGATAGCCCCCAACGACATGTTGGTCAAAGGACGAGCCAACTGCCGAGTCTTTGGCTTTCTGATACCATGACCGAATGCGCCCTTTCAGACCAGTGTGTGTAAGTGAAGAGGACACAACGTACGTGCCAATACCGGCTGGTGAATATAGAGTCAGTCGTGCTCATGAATTATTTGTTCATGACGACGCTGGCGCGAGCGCGCACGCGTCGCCAACACTTACGCTGGTAGTAGTGATACTGATCATCTGCAGTGCGATCAAGCATCCGGAATATCTTGAGAATGTTGCTGTCGCTGTCATCGCCGTGGAATTTGTTACCCGTGCCGTCGAAACACAGAATCAGCTTCCTCGGGGCTCTATTCTGTGGCGTCGGACTTGCTGGACGCTCCATGATTGCTGCCGTGATGTAGTCTAAGCTCGAACGGCTCTTTGGGTGTTCGGCCGAACTTGGATCTAGCATGCTCCCAGAAGCCATGGCCAGTCAGTTATATGTGGGCTCCTTTAAATCAATCTGACCAAATTGGCAATGTGGATGATGAGGCGGAGCCAGGGGATTTGCCTGTGCCTGATCAGAAAATTAACGAGAAAAGCTAGGCACTGGAAATAACCATAAGCACGAGAGGGGCGCCCGCGGCTTATTATTAGTACTTTTGCGATCATGAGCGTGGCTCATCTTGGACGGCTCATACACATGACTCTGCAGCTCTTTCTCCGTCTTGGAATCTCGTCTCGCATTAGCCTTGGACTCTCCCCGAACACAACTTCCTCTGTCCATCACGGCCGTGTGGAGCATCTGCGAGGGAGAGGCTGAACTCCAGCCGGCTGAAGGGCGCTGATCTATTCCCTGTTGAGATGGAGGAGCTGCACGTCTCTCAAATGCCGGGGACTAGCGACCAATGGGGGAGACGGCAGAAGACCCCTTTACTCAGGGATTGGCGGGACACCTTGAGATTCAAGACATTGCGCATGAGAGCGGGGAAAGGTCGCAGAAGAACACATGCATGTCTCAGTGCTGCTGTGAAGGCGAGCCAGTGAGCGACGATGACCTTTGGTGGTGATAACGCGGGTAACTCGTCCGCCGAGATTATTCGGCCAGTCACATGCGGAGGATTTGGAATAAATGCGGACATCTCTTGCTGCGGCTGAGGTCGGACCGCAGATTCAAGGAAGGTCTGTTATGTACGGTCGTCCAGCCGCACGACGCCATCGAGAGCATGTTTTTCGGGCCCGTTGTCTCGTTCATTGGTGCTACAGTGGGTGTATTTGCTGCCTGGATTCCCGTGTGGAACGGCACACTGTCTCTCTCTATCCTTGCTGCCGGCCGCCTTCCGTTGTCATTACGGGGAGATTTTATGACGTGAGCTCTTGTGCAACACATGTTCCGGATAGTGTGCTACTGTCGTCCAACGTTTTTCTCCTCTCGATAAGAAGGAGACGAAAACGAGGCTCTTGGCAGGTGATATGGAATGAATTCGTACAAGCCCAAGCACAAGCAATCCACGTTAACAGGGCGATATCGAGCTTCAAGATGCCCTTTTCTGCGGAAATGGCCCAAGTTATGCTCGGGGCTCCGCAACGGGCCGTGCCTAGAACTCTTTGGGCGCAAGAGTAATTTCAATGCAGCCAAGGTTTGTTCTCAATGGGTTAGCTGCAGATTTGACTAATTGACTCTCCACCCCCTGTTGGATCTGTCAGTTTACGCCATTCTGGTTCTGTCTGGGCTTTGATGTGCGGTGTGTTGATCGCGATTCCCTTGGCTGGGCTGTCGATCAGCCTAGCTGAATCCTTTTGGTCGGCATACAGCAGCATTACGAGAGAGATTCACCTTTGAGGAGTGCCAAAGGGAATCTAGGAGAGGTGTGTGTACGGTGTGTGTTAGTGTGTGGCGGATAATACACTCCCAACTTGTCGGATCTCAATCTAGATGGGAGAATCGGCACGGTGACCTGGGAACTTTGTATCTGTCCAAACAGCGCTGCGGCTCCCCATTACGACTGGACGGCTGAAAAGTAGCTGCATCTCCATCCCTCCCTGGTGCAGAGTTGTAAGCCATGTACGAGTACAGTAGCGTGCGTGGAGAGAATATTTGCAGGACAAAACAGAGCAGATTTTGCTTATACCGACTGCTACGCTGATAATACAACGAGTCATATGTACATCCAAGGCATGCGGCTTTGATCGATTGCATCACCAAAACGCCAAATCCAAGACATTCCCGTCCAACACTTTCCTCTCTCGTCTTGGTGTTGTTGACGGATCGGGTTCATGTTGGTTTGCACCTCTCTTCTAATATCTCACAGCTTGCTATCCTTCCAGACGGGCTTTCTCTTCTCGACAAAAGCCCGCACGCCTTCCGTCATGTTGGCTCCGCCGTCCATCTTGGTGTAGATCTCCGTCAGAATGCGGTCGGTGGCATCCTTGGGGTTCTCCGCCTCCCAGCCGCTGAGTAGGCCTTGACGGGCCACGATGATGGAGTCTGGCGAGTTGTTGGCCAGCTCAATGGCCCATTGAAGGGCCTCGCCGACGACATCACTCCCTCGGGCAATGACGTGGTTGACTAGCCCCCAGCGAAGCATCTCGTCGGCCTTGTAGATCCTGCCGAGCAGAGCCATCTCGGAAGCGCGCTGCATACCGACAGAGCGGATGAGGCGAGGCAGCGCCCCCTGGATGGGCACGACGCCGCGGGCCACCTCGGGCAGGGCGAAGCGCGCATCGACAGACGCGATGACCATGTCGACGTTGAGAATCATCTCCATGCCGCCGCCCAGGCACAGGCCGTTGACGGCGGCGATGATGGGCTTCTTGCCCTGGCGGTTGCTGAGCCCGCCGAAGCCGGCCTCGGGCGCCTTCTTGGACGGCTCGTCGGGGTTGGCGTTGCGCTCGTTCCACTCCTTGAGGTCGGCGCCCGCGCAAAAGGCCCGCCCCATGCCGGTGATGACGGCGCACCGCAGGGCCGGCTCGGCGTCGTACCACTTCCACAGGCGGTCGAGCTGGTAGTGCATGTCGTGGCGGATGCAGTTGAGCTGCTTGGGGCGGTTGATGGTGATGAGCAGGATGTGTGGCCGAGGCGCCGTGATGATGACGTCCTCGACCGCGGGCGGCGAGCTCATCATGGAGATGGCCATTGTTGCTTGCCTCAGACAATTAGACAAGGGGGCGAGCGAGGCTAACAGGGCAAAGCAAAGGCGAGTGGTGACGGCATGTGAGGAGGTGACCGGCACCTAGATTATCACCTGTTGTGTCTCTCTGTGTCTTTGCCGCTTGTGTCTGTCTGTCTGTCTCTCACTTTCTCTTCTCTGCCCCTATTTTCGCCTTGTTCCTCTTTCCCTTATCTCATTCAGCAAACAAAAATCAATGAGACAGTCCTCAAAAGGCCGCAAAGCTGGTCATGGCCGCTGCAAACACGGCTCAGGTAATTCACGTTCGAGTGTATGTTCGCCAGCGCGGTGAGTAGTTGGGCTCTCAAAGGGGGATTTTTGGCGGTAATCCGTCCGGCTAGCTCCCAGCGAGTAAGAAAGAAGAGCACGAGTAATAAGCGGCTGTTTTACGCGCCTTTGGGACAAGTCTGTGTGGGGCGCTGTTGTCCCCAGCCTCGGCTCTCGGAGGCTCTCCTCCATTTTTTTCTGGGGGAGGCTTTTGAGCTGAGCTGAGCTTTACCGTTTGTGATTACAGGTTGTGGTTGGTGAGTATGGTTGATTCGATATAGATTAATCAGTGATAATAATAATATAGTGTCATCAGTAGCAAGATGCAAAGCACACAATTCTCATCCATCGGTTCCCTGAAAAATTGACCCTTGTTTATTTACATAACAGAGAAATCCTACACGAATTTTTCAAAGCCCGGGGTCTGTCTCCCAAAACACCCTAGTTGTACATACAAGATGGATTTTTTTCCCGTTTCCTATAATCGTCTCCCATATTTGCATCTCTACTTACGAAAAAAGAAAGAAAAAAAAAAAAAAGTGACTTTGAAATGACGTCCTGCAACTTTCTCCTCAACAAGGAAATCCACAAGACGCCAAAATGAAAGCAACAGATTAAAGCAGAGTAGTAGCTCGTAAAATCCCCAATCCCATGCCGTTGTTGAGATGATGTCCCTGTTTACGCCGGCAAGCCTCGCTTCTCGCACTCGGTGAAGAAGATGAGCATACGCCAGAGCTTCTTGACCAGGTCTTCTGCTTCGTCGTCCAGGGCCTATTGTAAAAGACACACAATGATTAGTTCTCCGCAACGTCTCCAAGTAAAAACAAAAGAAACAGGAATAGGAATGGATGGCTTCAAAAAGAAAAAAAAGACTTACCCCCTCGAGCTCCTCCACCAAGGCACCCGCCGTGCCATGCTTCCGCAGATGCTCCTCCACGGCCTCGACCAGCATCTCCTCCTGCACGCCGAGATACTCGACAATCTTCTTCTCCACAAACGGCCGCAGCTTGTCCCGCACCACCGTGTCGTCCATAAAGTCCCATTTGACCTCCCACGCCCAGAGCCCGTCCTTCTCTGACGGAATCTCCTGCGCCAGCGCCCGCACCGCCTGCGAGATTTCCTCCTCCGTCATGCCCGCCGCGCCCGAGGAAGCGTCCAGCTGGATGGGGATGAGCTGGCGCTTCGTGGACTCGACTTCCTCGTCGTCCAGGAGACCCTCCACTTCGGCAATCGTGCGTCGTTGGGGTGCTGCTCGTGAGGCTTGAGCTCGCTGTGCCGCAGCACCAAGTGACAGCTTGAATGGCTGTGGTGCAGCGGCGGCGGCGGCAGCTTCGCGTTGCTCCATCTCCCGAGCCTGCTGATCCAAGAAAGAATCCGCCATGCCACGCGCCTGTTCCAGCCTGGCCTGCTCGCGATTCCGCTCCACCTTTTCAGCCTGTCGGTCGGCTTCATCTCTTGCCTCCTCCTCAGCCCGATCAGATTGTCGTTTTCTCGCCCAGCCGCCGTGATCTCGGTAGTAGTTGTGCGTTTTGCGGGTAGCCTCTCGCTCATCGTCCCACGTCTTTTCTCTCTCCAGCTGCTCTTGTTTCCTTCGTTCGAGAGATTCTATGTCGTGCTTCTCTCGCTCCCGTTCTCGCTCCAACGCTGCTTGCCGTGATCGTTCTCGGTTCACCCATTTCCTCTCTGCTTCCGCATACATCTTGTCTTCTTCAGCTTTGCGCTCGGCCTCACGTCTCCTCCAGAGCTCGTCATCACTTGCGTCGGTGTCCTCATCTTCGCGTCTCATAGATCCATCTGCGTTGTTCACTCCTCCGTTGACAAAGGCTACCCGGTTCGGTCCATTTTGGCCCTTGGGTCCGGATGGGGCGTTTGGTACTGAGACTCCACGAGGTCCCAGCGGCACATTGTTCGAGTTTCTCGGCGGCGAGGCTAGCCTTGACCGGGCTGCACCATTGCGGCGTCGTTCGTTCTCTTCCAGTTCCTCTTCTCGCTGGAGACGCTCCATATCTCGTTGGTTGCTACGCTCACGGAACGCGGCAATCTCTCCTGCAACAACTTCCCGCATCTCAGGTGGGATATCCGCCAGCTCGTCTTCTTGCGCCAGGGGAATGTTGACCACCTCGACGTTCTCCTCGGCATCCGTATTCCCCATAGCAACATCGCCATTAACGTCGGCAGTCTCGACAACAGGGGGGTAGAATAGCTCTCGGAGAACTGACTTGAGGGCTGCGCGAGCTTGCTCTATTCTCTGCTCCAGGGACGCATCGTCTCCCTTGTTCTCCTTGTATGTCTCCAGGTAGCTCAATGAGGTGGGGTCAACAACCACTTGCAGCTTGGTCTTTTCCACATCATCAAAGCTGTCGTCGGCCGGCGGGTCGCTCGAGCTGGGCTGCTTCTTGATGGGGATTTGCACCTCTTCTTCGGTCAGGAGCTTGACGGCAGTTGCCACGGAATCAATGTCTTCGAACAGAGCGAAGCCAAACTTGGTTCCCTTTCGATCCTCTGACACGCTGTCGGACGGATCCCAGCGCTTCAGCTTGCCGACAGCCCCAAGAAGCTTCTTTGTGCCCTCGTCACCACCCAGTCCCTCGGGAATCTGGTGTAGAAAGATGGTACGCAGCTTCTCCTCGCTCGTCGGTGGAAGAAGTGTCTGCATCGTCTCCCTGGCCGCATTTCGTCCTTGCTCTGACCCCCTCTCCATACCAAGCCCAGCTCTTCCTCCCGATTGTGCTGGTCGGTCGTCGGATCTGCCGCCACCGGCTGAGGCTCCTGTGCCCAGTCGAATCACGGGGGCATTGAAGTTGATGTTCGGCATGTTGGTCGGGGCTTGGAAAGCAGGCAGACCACTTGGACGATTAGCTTGAGGCACGTTGGCTTGCTGGATGCCCGGCGGGGGGGCCATTCCCGGAGCGGGAGACATGCCTGGAGGAGGTCCTGAAGAGAGAGAGAAACGGTCAGCATCTTTTCTGTCGGTGGCGAGACGAAGAGAACCTTTGAAGTAGAGAGAACATGCGTACCTAGCCCAGGAGGAGCGGCCATGCCTGGCGCCTGGCCGGGATAGCCATAGCCAGGAGGCGCGCCATAAGGATTGTGCGGTGCTGAAGCTCCGTTAGCGGATCTGTATCGTCCTCGAGACTGTCCTCGGCCTTGAGTACCTCCGTAATGGTTGTAGGCCATGCTGACAAGGCTCTGCAGTTGAGAGCAGTGTCACGCTGGCAGGTTGTAGAGGCGGATTGGGTTGTTTGCGTCAGATCAATGCTGGCACCTAGAAGGAAGAAAAAAGGGTCAAGCAGAAGACAGAGAAGAAAAAGAAAAGAAAAGAGTCCCAGCAGTCAGCAGCTCTCGCAGAAGCAAACCAAATCTCCAGATGCAGCAGCCTCAAATTGCAGGGTTCTCGGCTTGCATTGAGACGTGACGGCAGGCGCGATTGTTTCCGCAGAGCAGCAGCATGAAGGTCCTCTTCACGACAGAATTCGTAATTCGTGCTGGTCTGAATATGTCCAGCTTTTCGCAGGATTTTTTTTCGCCGTGGTTGGTATGCAGAGGTGCGAATCGCGGCTTCGCGGCTGGGATTCCTGGTCTGTGAGATGTACCCACTTTGGAGGTTGGCCCGCATCAAAGTTGATCCGCCCGCAGCTTTTTGCAGACCAGACGACTTTCAAGATGTGGGATATCGATATCTGGCATTGCATGATCCAGGCTTGAATTGCTGGAGCCATTGCGTAGGCATTGAGGATTGCAACAGCATGTAAGTTCTTGATGTCTGATTCCTTGCTGGAGAATAATGTACTAATTCCATCACAGGGCCGCAACCTCGAGATACGGCAGCATGATGCTGTCCAGAATCGCCGCCCCAGCGCAAGCCCGCGCCTTTTCCACATCACTCGCCGTCCGATTCAATGCCTCCAGACCACTCTTTGATGACCGAAGAAACCCTCTAGTCGGCAACTTCGTCCCTCCCGCACCGGCACCAAAGCCCATCATCCCCCCAAAGGCTCAATCTAAACCCGCCTCAACCGATTTCGTCCCCCCTCCCCCTCCTCCTCCTCCTCCCGCCGAGTCAGAATCGCCATCATCCTCAGCTTCTTCTGAGCAGCCCGCCGCCGAAAAATCAACCTCTTCTTCTTCATTCCCCTACACGGCAGCCGACTCCTCCGCCCCCTTCAACTTCGACATTGCCGAAATCGTCGCCGCCCGATCCGCCGCCTACGGCCAGTCCCTCAACGTCGGCGACCCTCTCCTCCGGCCCAAGATCCGCACCGAGGCCGTCACGGGCCGCACCGTCTTCATCAAGGACCGCCTGTCGCCTACTTCGGCGCCTACCCCCGCCGTGGCCATCCGCGTGCTGGAGAGGATGTGCAGGGACCAAAAGGTGCGGAACAAGTACCACTCGCAAAAGTTTCACGAGAGGAAGGGTTTGAAGAAGAAGAGGTTGAGGAGTCAGCGGTGGAGAGCGAGGTTTAAGACGGGATTCAAGGCTGCTGTCAACAAGGTTTTGGAGTTGAAGAAGCAGGGCTGGTAAATATGCCATGTATGATGAGGGATTGACATGTGATGATGAGGGATTGATATGCTGTGAAAAATGGGCGAAAAGGGGGGGCTTAAAAAGTATATTTGGAAACTTGAAAAAGTATTCATGAGATAGATATACATGTACAATACGATAGATGGGATTGGCACGCCCTGACATGCAAATATATGAGGTGCTATTATGATAACAAGGAGACTTGAAACTATATTTGTGGCCAAGTCTATTCTGTACTGTGTAATCGTTGCTTTCCATTCCCGAGATCTATTTGTAACTTCTATATACGCCCAAACGCTGAAAAGTGTAAGAAAAAAAAAAGTTCACATCACCAGAGACAACATCAATTTCACTTCATGCTCACCCCGTTGTACTCTGGAATATCGGCCCATTCCTCTCTCGTTGGACTTGGCTGTAAGCTCTGTCCAACCTTGGGTCGCGATCGAAAGACAGCCTCGACGTCCTCCTCCTCGGCTAGCTGCTCCAACAGGAGCGTTGTTTCGTTGATTTCCTCCTCGTCCACCCTTGGAAAGTAGCTGCCATCCTTTCGCGGGGGCATCTTGCCCCTCCTCAGAGACCTACGCCGCTCCATCTGCGCCTTTTGCTGCGCCTTTTCAAACCCGGCCATGCTTCGACGAGTTCGGCTGGCGAGATCCTCGGAGTAATCTGGCTCCGCAGGCTTGGTGGTGACAGGTGTTATGGGAGTGGGCGGGTCAAGCTCCTCGTCCTCAAAACAGAGAGATTTCTTACGGCTCATTGAGAGTCGAGTGCGCTCAGCCAAGGAGAGAGTGTGTCGAGGCTTGGTGCGCTTCACGGGTGACGGAGTCAAGTTGTCTTTCCCGGGAGACGTAGAGCCGTTCGCAAACTCCTTTGTGGGCGAAAGCCGGGGTGGGCTATTCGTTTTATGTTTTGCGACAGGCTTTGGTTCTTCGGGTGACCGACGGCGCGTTGGGGTGTCATATCCTGAGGGCTTTCGCTGAGGAAGGATAGATGGAGGAGTAGCAAGCGGAGAATCGTCAATCTGAGTCAAGTCGTATGTGCTTCGCCCAGGAAAGTTCTTCTGGTTCGACGACCACACGGTATCCACGCCACCAGAGAGCTGTGAAAGGCTTGGTCGAGAGATGACCGGTCTCACGGTACGAGCGGGAGCAGTAAACTTGTCCTGCAGGGATGAAAACGATGTGACGGAGCTGTCTGCGCGAAACGCGCTTTCAGCGTCTTCCAAGTCGCTAATCTCATCATCATCACCGCCCTCAAATGATGAGGTGGAAAGAAGACGGCGGTCACGGCGATCCTGCTTGACAGGGGTTCTCTTCCTGACAAGAGAGGCAATGTCGACCTCCTTGGTTGCGATTTTTCCCAGATCGTATTTCAGATCCGAAACCAATGCAGCATAGTCATCCGACATTTGAGGCGCATGCTGAAACAGCGCAACTCTGGTGGACTTGTTCCTCCTCCCGGTGTGTAGATCCAGGTGGGCAGTGAAGCCGAGATCGATGCCCTTGGCTTTGGCGGCAGTGGCTCTGGGCTTGGCCGGCATGGGCCTGGCCTCGCCAAACGTGTTCCTCCGGAAGGCATCCCACTTGCGGAGCCTGTCTCTTTGCATCTTGACCCGGTTGTCCAGCTGCTCCAAGAGGCCAACGTCATTCGTGTCGAGTTCGTCAAGCCGACCCTTCTGGGCTCTTCTCCAGACCCGGTCGAACTTTGTAGCCAGGAGGCCACCGTGCTTTGGATCTCCGGACAAGAGAGTCTCCATCCAGGCCTCGCTGCCTGACCAATTGTGGTGCACAGTCCGCCGCATCTCAGCCCTGGCATTGTCAGAGACGGCTTGGCCACCGCCGTCCATCTCCTTCATCTCAAGGACTTCTCGTCTACTAATGATATCATCTTCCTTCTCATCCATCACCACGGCAAAGTCCTTGAAGCGAACTCTAGCTAGCTCTTTGCGTTGCAGGAGCTGTCGGATGGAGGCCTTGTGGGCCATGGACAACGCAATCAGATGAGATTTCTCACTCAGGTAGCCCTTGTTCTCAAAGGCAAGCTCAATGGCGGGTGTAATGTAGCCGCGGCTTGCGGCAAGGCTACCAGAAACCACCTTTTTTAGGACAGCGGTAGAAAAGAAGGCAAGGACTTCTTCCAGCCTCTCGCCCTTGCACTCATCCAGCATCGTCTTGCGGATGATGGTGTCCCGCCCGAGGTCGCCATTTTTCTTGGCTTGCTCGAGGGCCCTGACGAGCGCGGCGCGCAGGTTCACAGACTGGAGTTGATCGACAGGTGGGTAATAAGGCTTCAGCTTCTGTTTGGGAGGGATGGAGTATTAGCATGTCAAGTTCATCATGTCACATCATCAGAGAGTGAGATCGTTTAGCAGTCAAGGAGGAAGAGGAAAAAAGTACGCACATTCGCCGCCTCGTCTGGATCCCATATGACAAACAGCTGATACAAGGCCCATTCTACGCACTGTACTCGCCTCTTCTGATCCTGCAGGGTGGTGCCGGATGCCGCGAATGTCTCAGCCGAGATTTCGGGCCAGTCAGGGAGCTGGTCGAGATCCAGAAGCTTGAGGTTGGTGAGGAACAGCGACAGAGAAGCCGGACCGGCAACATTGAGGCCTGAGCCCGCATTGGACTCTGCAGGGGCTGCGCTGGGCGGGATCTCAAGTGCTTCAGTCTTTGGTCTCGCAAGGCTTCGCACAGGCCTGGCAAAGGCTGCGGCAGCAACAGCTACGGCGGCGGCGGCTCGAAGGGGTCTGCTGTTGGCAGACGAGGGCACGCGAGAGGTACGCGTCCGAGTATGGAGCTGGGTCTGCTGGACGACAGTCGCCATATCGGCACCCTCTTGCTGCCGCAAGTATGACGATGTTGATGCAGATGGACGACGCAAGCGAGAGATGTTTTGCGTTGTCTCTGCTGGTACTTGTGCTTGAGCTTGCGCTTGCGCTTCCGCTCCTTTCGGCTTGCCTTGATCTGGGGAAGACACCACAGGGGAGAGGGAGACGGCTTGAGCAGGCACTCGGGCTATGTTTTGTTTATGGGAGAGGGAGAGAGACTGCTCAGCAGGTCGGGAATCCAGCTTAGATTAGATGTTGGATGAGAGGGCGAGAGAGACTGGGGCACCCGAGAAGCGCGCAATTGGCCGTCACAGAAGCAGAAAACGCAGCAGCAGCATCAGCAGCATCGTCGTCGGGCTCGCAGTTGGGATTTCGCAAGTATCGCAAAATACCAACGGAAGTCGGACGTGAGTGGCTGGCGGGAGAAGGTCGAGGTTGGAGGTTGTGGAGAGCTTTGGGTGTTGAAGCTGCGACAGAGGGGAGACGAACGGGCCATTCAGGTACAGCAGGGGGGCCGTGGGCGTGCCAGCAGACGCCAGCAGGCCACAGCGGGCTGGTCAGTGGGCGCTAGTGGGCTGTCAGTGGGTTGGCAGTGGATGCGGCCCGCCAACCAGCGCATCACAGGTGTCGGTGAGCGCTGCACAGTCCACTAGCTCCGGGGGGTTTGGAGGGGGCAACCGCCCTGCGAGTATAAACTGGGCAGTGAGCTGTCCCGCATTACAGCATGGCTGGCCAGTGTGTTTATGAACACTTCACCTTACATATGTGTACATCTCGTGTGCGTGCAGATGGCCAATCAATGGCGGGTTGACGTGCTTTGCCTCCATGGAGCAGGTCGTATGTATGGGGAGTGAATTGGCAGCGGGCATTGGCTTATGAAGGACACAGGTGATGTGTTTGTGGCGATGGGGGGAGAGCATTTACTGAATGAAGAAGCGTTGATGACCGTGGCAATGACATTGAATGATAATGACACAGCCGATGGATACAGTGCACTGCATGGTACATTAATCACATCAATTGATTTTCTGTCTCGATGTAGCTTTATGTACTTGGATAGGGATAGATGGGGGAATGGGGAATGAATATTGATGCCTATGTAGGTTGGTATCAAAAAGCAGCGATGGGGGTTGATTTCATTGGACAATCGATGGGAATCTTCAATAGAAATGGCTGGGGTCATCTCATAAGCACAAAAGCTAGGTATGTATTTTGTTGGCTGAATTGTTAGTGTTGGTACTTGTTCGCCTTAGTCATTCATCTCATCTTTACATGTAGATTCGATGCCTCAGCGCATCTGCTTTGCTGCCCTTGACGATCCGCCTCTCCCTCCTCCTCTTACCACTATCACCAGCATCAACACCATCATCATCACCACCAATGCCCAGCAGATCAGGATCGTCAAACACAACTCCATCACCCGGAACGTCCACAATGATACCGCCAATATCACCAACATCACCAACATCACCAATCCCTCCATCATCCCCCCCAAACAAGTTATGCGTCGAGCACATTCCCAGCCCCGCCGCCGCCCTCAGCAGCTCCCCCCCGTCGCCGTACCTGGGCCCTGTCTTGAACGTCGCATTCACCGGCCCAAACAGGAACCACGCACTCATCGGCTGCGCCGTCACCTTGAAATCCTCCTGGCCCGGCGTCTCGCTAGAGGCCACCGCTAGTCTCTGGACCCCGACGTTGCCCGCCAGCAGATACGCCATCGAGTCCGTCCCCTGACTTGGATAGTCCAGCATCTTGAGCGGCGCCTTTGCGTAGCCGACGGGCACATCGTCCAGCTCCGTCGAAAAGTACGGGATGCCGTCGAGCACAAGCATGTCGTAGTCGTCCGACGGCTGGAACTCCTGTTCGGTCTGGCGCGAGATGCGCAGGTCGCCCTCGACGGTCCAGTGCAGGAACCCGGTAATCCACCCTGAGATGCTGTAGCCCGTAGGCCCAGCGCCGCACATGAACAGCCTCTGCGACCGAACAATGTTCTTCCAGAACTCCTTGACCTCGTCGCTGTCCGGCTCGTCCCATGTGAGCACGAAGCGAGTCAAGATTGGCCGCAGCCGATCGGCATAGTCTGCCGGCTCCTCTCCCCACTCCTTGAGCCTGTCCAGCTTCCCGAGCAGCTTCACCCAGTCGTCTCTCTCTCCCAGCAGCGTCACCTCGGGAAGGCCACAGGTGATGCCCCCGCTGAACTCAAAGTAGTGTTGCATCAGGCCCATCATCAGGACGGTGGCTGTGAGGCCATCATTGTCGTCGCTCGTGGTGAAATTGGGCATGATCCAGTCGAGCAGCCAATCTGTCTTGACCCTCTGCTGGATCTCGCCTGCAAACGCCGCAATCACGTCACGCCACGAGAAGCGCCACACCTGAATCTCCTCTTTACCCTCATGATCGACAAACAGATGCCGAACATCTTCGGCATGCGCAGTCATGTAAAAGTTGAGCTGCGCCAGAATCTCGAACCATACCTCATCAGGTCGGAGGACGAGGCTCTGGTGCTGGCCCCATGCTTCGATGGCGCCCCTCACGAGACTGTCTGACGACTGAAAGATTGTGCCATTGGCAAAGGCGCTGTCGTCGTCCGAGCCGAAATCGGCAAAGGACGACATGAGCAGCTCCGGCGAGTATGGCGTGCGTGGGGGGAACTCTTCCGGGCAGCTCTGCCGAAGGAGCTCCGACGCAGATGTCACCGTGCCGGCGGTTGACAGCGGGAGTGGGTCGACATCGGGATCGACAGGGACTGTGATGGCAGCCGAGGCGAATGGCCCGTGGCCGCAGAGGCCGGAGAGGAGTAGTATTGGAAGCAGCATGGTGTTTCCAGAGGTCAAGTACCTCTACCTGTCCGTGCAAGGGGGAAGTGTGCAAAGAGCTTGAGCTCTAGAGCAGACGAGCCAAAATAGCATACAAGCTTGGCCAGAAGCAGAGAAAAGTGAGGCTGTTGATGCTGCTGCTGATGCTGCTGCTGCTGCTGCTGGCTTCATGCATGCACGTATGCAGGGCAATCCCTACGAAACTAACTTCTTCTTATGCAACTCATCACCGGTAGCAAAAGGGGGCTTATTCCAGCAGCTCGAGAGCCTCCCAGCTGGCACACCCGCGATCAACATTCCTCAGCCCCCTCAGAGTCGAATCACGAGGCCGCGATATTGAGTAAGAGCAGATCTACATGTTGCACCGTCCCGAAACAAATCTTCCCCGACTCGGTCCACGTCCCTGTAGATCCCATCCGTCACGTTGGCAGAAAATTGAGAGACAGTCTCAGAGGCATTTACCCCATCCCCAGCAACCTTGTGGCATTTACGCCCGGTCACGTAGAGCGCACCACATGATGTTCTGTGCCAGCCTCTTTTGCTCCGTACAGCCATTCAGACATAGGCATAGTCATTCACAGACATTCCCCTGCATTCGAAGTGCAGCCTCGATTGGCCAATCTCGCTGGAAGACAGATCCCATGGCCTGATGATGACTGAATTCTCGAGGTGTCCCTTGCATATAAATCCTTCCTGCCAACACTTTACGTCGAGCTTGCATCCCGTAGAATCCTCTTGAACTCAAGCCACAGCATGCCACGTAGAAGTCTAGCCCTTTTGGCATATGAAAGTAGTCGTAATTCATTACACAATCTGTGTCGACTAATATGAAAAGTAATATCCGCACACCGCCTCAAGCGAGGCGAGTCAATTAGACACCAAAAGATAAGACATGCCTCTAACAACATCCAATTGGGCCCAGAACCCCCGTCGGACGAGAATCAACTGCATGACACTATCGCCAATTCCGTAGGATTTTCTTCTTCCCAGGCAGTTCTATTGCAAAAAAAAAAAAAAAAAAAAGGGGGGGGGGGGGTTGGGTTGAAGAATCATCGGCATGCAAGTATTTTTTGCCACCTTTTACTGTCTCTGTCTCACCTCACCTCATTCTCGGAGCAGTCCGGTCCGGGGCTCTTAAAGCCGGCTCAGGCTCAGCCTTGGTCTCACCATATATGTCTCGCTATCAAAAAAAAAAAAGATAGTAAATTCCAAGACAAAAAAAAAAAAAAGAGACGAGAAAGTAAGGCTTTTGGCCCACTAAAGAAACGAGACCAATCAGCCGGCCACACATCGTGCCCTTCCTATTCCGGCAATCCCAGGGATACAAGGGCATTGAAACTTACTACTACTGAGGTGGTGTGCTGTTATGGCATGCTTTAGCGTATGTGTGTGTGACACAAGAGGGGTTTAGTTGCCGAAGGGGGGGGGGAGAGGATCTGGAAGTTTTGACGTCGGCTGGGGATTGGAGAGTTGGAGAAAGATGGACCGTTTTAGACGGGGTGGCTGCATTGCGTTTTTTTGGGTTGTGGCTGGGAAAGGTTAATGTTGAGATCATGGTGACTTCATTTTGCGCGTGTCATCTGTCAAAAAGAAATCTAGTAACTTTGGGGTGGAACATGTGAACATGAATATGGTGGAACGAAGAGAGAAGTTTGGATCAAGTCTGTTTTTTCATTGATGTTGGTATCGCATCTTGATTCGTAATGCTATCAATCAATCTATGGACTGAAGTTTCCCATGCCGAGCAGACAAAATATGCTGGCTAATGCCCAATTCCCTAGCAGACAAGACAAAAAGAAAAGTAGTAAAAAAAAGAAGAAGAATTAGATGATCATCTAATATACCGGATCCCAGCGCCTTGCAGTTCATTCATTGCATTGATAAAACAAGCTGAAGAAGTGAAGTTATAAAGCAAAAAAAGGCACGCGCGCATAATCAGATCATAAAGTAAAACCCTAAAACACCCACTCATCGCCGTGAATGAATGCCTGTGTGTATCAAGAAAGAGAGAGAAAGGAAGAAAAGCTCTATAAGCAAGTCTGCTTTTACTCCTCGCTGTCAGCCTGGACACGCTTGACAATGTCGACCAGCTGAGGGTAAATCTTCTCCGTGGCCTGAATGCCGCAGACCTTGGCGACCACGTCCTCGGGCGTGTTCTCAGACATGATGGTGCTCAGTTCCTTGGACTCGTCGTCGCCCTCGACGTCCTGGAAGCGGAACGTCATCTCGATGGCGTCGAGGAGGTACTTGATGGGCATGTTGTTCTCGGCAGCCTCGGCAGCAGGGCCGACGAAGCGCTCCTTGCGCGACAGCTTGCGCAGGGGAGCGCGACCAACTCGCTCGACGGCGTCTTCCAAGTGAGGGTTGCCGATGCGCTTGATGATCTTGTTCATGTAGGCCAGCTGGGCCTCCTCGTCGATGTTGTGCTTGGCGACGAGCAGGTTCTTGGTCTCGGTCAGGGCGCCGCGGACCTCGGCCATGATCTGCTTGTCCTGCAGGGCGTCGAAGACGGTGCGCTTGCGGCGGTTGTAGCCGTGGTAGGCGGCGGTGGCGTGGCCGGTGTTGACGGTGTACAGCTTGCGCTCGATGAAGGGCGCCAGGTTGTCGACCCAGTTGATGCCCTCGATGGAAGGAATTCCAACGTCCTCAAAGGGAGTCTTGTCGACGACCCACTCGAAGAACTTCTCCAGCGTCACGTCGAGGCCGGCGTTGGGGTCCTGGGCGGGGACGATGCGGTCAATGGCGGAGTTTGCATAGCGAGCGCGCATGTGGTGCGACTCGAGACGCTCCGGGTCGGTGTTTCGGGCGTCCTTGATGAAGCCGGCGAGAGTGTCGGTGGCTCCAATTGCGTTCTCGCAGGCAATGACGTGCAGGGGGTTCTCGTCTGCGCGGCGGTCGATGCCCTTTGCGATGACGGGGGCGATGAACTTGAGGATGTTGGGGCCGACGGAGCAGGTGACGACGTCGGCGGTGCGGATCTCCTCGATCAGGTCCTCCTCGTGGGTGCGGGAGTTGATGGCGCGGTAGTTTGTGATTGTGTTTTCTGAGGTGCCCTCGGAGCCGACTTCAATGACTCTGTAGGAGGGGGTGGCGTTGATCTTGTCAATCAGGTCGCCGTTGACATCGGCGAAGACGACTTCGTAGCCGGAGTTGTGGAGGAAGCAAGCAACAAAGCCTCGGCCTGTTGAATGTGTTAGTTGTCGAGGTATTGTATAGGTGGTGGTTGTGGTGATGACATACCAATGTTGCCGGCACCAAAGTGAACTGCCTTTTTACCCATGACAGCCATGATTGCGGTTTGTTTATAATGGAGAGTATATAGAAGAAGAGAATAAGAGAATAGAGAGTAATAGTGATAGTGGAGAGGAGAGGTGTTGTTGGAAACGGTAGACCGTTTTAGATGGAAGAAGGTTGAAGTGGATGGTTGCTGAAGCTGATGATGAGGAGAGGGGACTAAGATCTAACAAGAGGCGCGGGAATCGCAACCTTTATAATTCTTTGCAGAATCGAGTCGGCAAAACTCTCGAGTCCACGAGAAGGAGAAAAGGCAAGCATCCAACTAGAGGGAACTAGGAAGAATAGCAGGTAGCATGTAGACGTACTGTAGCATGTAGGGGGTGTGGGCGAACCGATGACGATGGCGCCTCAATCGGGGCGGAAGTGAAGCTGATCGACCATCGTCAGAGCAAGGGGGGGGGGTGGATAAGTTTAGTTAGTTGTATCCGTACATTACATTACGATTACATTGGATCAATCCATATGGATACTATCACATCAGATACAGTACAGCTCCACAACGGGGGAGGGGAGAACTTGATCCATCCATTCAATCAACCAATTCCCATGCACTCAAATGTCGAGTAGAGAGGTACTGTACATCAATACGTATCTGTTGCGTTGTTTCGTGAGAAAATATACGGGGAATGGCGCAGGTACAGATACCAGGCACCTTGCCCGTCGAATTCCATTGTCATTCACGTTACGCCAAAATTGCCTCCCGAAAGGCCTTCAGGTTCCGTTAGCTTCTACCAAGATAGGCCAGTAACACGTAGGAACCGTCTAAACCGGAGGCTCTGGCCATCCCTGGTCGGTACAGGTACTTTGTCGGGAGATATGTCGCCTTGACTGACCAATCATGTCTCACCTTGGCTGACGCCTGGCGCAGTTCAACAGCCCGTGGCGCCGAGTTAAGTGGAGACCAGTGACTCTCGTTTACGTGTTACGGTACATGTGCCTTGTTGTAACGCTGGTATCTTTCCACGATTGACGTCTTGGCCTGTAGCGGTACCTCGCTGTGGAAGCCCGTACCTTGCACGAACTGCGCTAGCTGGGCGAGGAACGCACCTGAAACTCTGCTGCATTTGCTGCACTGCCCGTACCTGTACTTTGCTCTAGAATCGTACTGTCTTCACATGTTGCCCATAGATCCGATTCATTCAACTCAGCCATATCGTCGTATGTAATTCAGCCCTTGCCTCATCTCATCTCCATTCTTTGCCTTTTCATTGCTCAACTCATTTCTTCTCTCCTGTTCACAGGGTCTTGTGAGTAATGCGTGGCATGTTTGCTCATCTCCTTTTTCCAATGCACGCCGACATCATTTTTGCAACGGTCGACTGTTGCTGTGCCACATCAGACTGCAGCAGTACAGCCAGAAAAAAAAACACACGTTGGAACCTGACAGCATCATCATGACTTGACCCCCATTTCCGTTTCCAAAATAATGCCGTCAGACCTGGGCCCCAACTTGTAAAGGAACCACAAACCGTTTCTTCCCTGCTTTTGCTTCTGCTCCCCCATCAGCAGCACCGTCTTCGCCTCAACTTGCTCTTCCATTCGACGGGCTTTAGGGGGGGCTGCCCCATCGCTCTAAAACAGTCGCCAGTGGCACGCCAAACAAGAACCAAGAATTCCTGCAGGTTTGCGCCTTTTGTGGCCCACCGCCAGACTAACGTCATCCGGCCGTCTTTTTTTCCACGATAACGGGCTGCTGGAACTGAACTCGAGGCTCCCACAGGCTGGCTGCTAGGGGGCCTAGTTGTCTAGAGGGAACCCAGGGGGCCACTGAGGCGCCTGGGGTGGTCGCTGCACTGGAGCGCCCCGCTGTGGGAAGGCGGGTTTAGTGCTGAAGCAAGTTGAGCCCAGTTAGCCCAGCCCACTGCAGTGACATCAGCGACGCTTTGCTGGTTTGGTCTTTTCACGATGCAACACGATACAAGCAGCACAAGCACGATGCGATACACGATGCGATCCAATGCGATGCGATGCAGCCGCTACGGAAGTAAGACCTGAACCCTGCGTCACGCCCGCTTGCTTGCGAAAAGGGGTTGCTGAACTGAACCCTTCAGTGTCAGCACCGCTTATCGACACCTCCTGATATCATCAACATCATCCAGCCTGACCCGCGAGCCTCGTGTCAACGGACAGCACGAGCCTTGGATGACTGACTTGACTTGTCAACCTTTCTTACTTTCGTCCATCCCGAGTGCGATTTCTAAGACAGACACTAACACTCGTCGACAATGGAATAGGTCGCAATCCATCCGGAGTCGAGTCGTGGCTTGCCTAGCCAGATGCCACACCTCCGGCATGCTGTTTGCACATGCTTCCGGCTTGACCCCTCGTCCAGCATCACATCCTTGCCATTGCCCTCGACCTATCCTGAACTTAGACTCTATCCCTATTCCCATCCTGACCCTGACCACCCCCCCTTTGCCTGCCTGTCAACGCAAAAACTCAGATGCCAGATACTCGTGCACACATCGGACATGTGTTCTTGTATCTACGATCGTCGCCCACAGGGGTCCCAGCACAATGACGTATGTTGGGGATGGCCTCCACTTTGACCCGTGCTGCCAGCAACCACCACAGCAGCTGCAACTCGACGGCTGTGTTTCACATTCACGATGTGTAATGTTGTGTTTTCTGTCATCCAGCAGAAACAGGCTCTCGGGTTGAAATTGAGTTTGCTTCCCGTGGAGCCATCAACGTCAATGGCTGCTCTGCTCTGCTCTCACCAATATAGCCCCCGAGTCACAACTATCCGCAACGGCGCTGGCAGGCTTCGTCTCCTTGTCCCCCTTGCTTCGACGTGTCGTATCGTGTCGTCCATCTTTACACCGAAGACAACGAAAAGAAAGAGGTTTGCGTCGGCACTACACCAAGCATCCATCCGAAGCCATCATCTCGTACGACTCTTCTCATGCATATTCACGCACGCTTTCCCCCGTGGGACCCCCCTCAGCAACTTGATTGTCTCCGCTCCAACTCCTCCTTCTCGCGCCAATACACGCCGGCGGGGAAGCGCTCTCGATGTCGATCTCTGCTTCTTTCTCTTTGCTGCTGGAGCACATGTCGATTCTCGTTCGCTGCACTACATGGCGCTTGTCAGCCCTTGCTCTCGCTTTGCTCCTCATGTAAGTTGACGTCGGGTTGCACTTCAACTTCAAGTTTTGCTCTCGTCAAGGCATGTCTCACCCAAAAAGACGAAGTGTTATCCGTCATGGGAAAACAGGTTATCAACCGTGCATACGCCCGTTGGCATCGAGACACATTGCAAACATGACAGAACCGTGCATGATGATGATGAGGACATTCGCTTCAAACCAGCTGTATGCCATCAACACACAGCTTTGCCCATCTAACCTCGACCGTGATGCCTGCCCAAGTGAAATCAAGTTGTAGGATGGATACGTGTACATGAAACATGGTAGCCTCAGACTCGTGTACTTTGCATGAAATCTACACAAGTATCTACACGCATTGTCAGCGCCTATCGACGATGCCCATTGAGGTTATCCCTCGCCGTGGATTTCCACATCAACCACTCACAGCCAAGCCACACACACGGCTATCGGATCCAGGCGCCAAGTCTCAGCCAGAAGACGGGCCGACACTTGGACGAGCATTTGCGCGCTTTTCCCGTCGGCACCAGCAACAGCAACAGCAGCCAAGCCAGGGGTGGCTCGGTTCGGTTCACGATGCCTCGTTTCGGCGTCGTTTTCGCCCAGCCCCTGGTAGGTAGCTGATAACTGTCCATCGTAAGATAGGGCAAATGGTGAGATTCCACTGCCAGCACTTCAACGCCGTACTTTGTACATCGTCAGAATAGCAGCCACGTTGCAGCAGAGCCCCCTGACGGCAAATGAAAACGTGGTGCAAGGAGCTCACCGCAATACGCCACGGGTATCTCTCTGCGCAGTCAAGTCGACTCTCTCTCTCTCTCCTTCGTCTCTCATGCAGATCAGCTCCCTCCGGCCTTGTTCGCCTGTCCCCGGAACGGCGGACCCAATTGGCATTGACGCTGCATTGTCGCGGGTCCACTGCGTTAGCAGGTACTTGCATCCTCCCCAACGTTACCTTGCGAATGCTTGGGACTTTTTATCAACTCCACGGCTATTCCCCCGAGCTCCCAAAAGCAGCGCCTCCGCCGGCTCCGTAGGGGCGGATCCACCGCACCGCCGTAACAAACCGGCCAACCAGTTGAGCTCCGTGAGCCATCATGGAGCCACCGTTTCGTCTTGGCGGCATAATAGTGAACATGGGGGGAGCAGGTTAGCAGGCTTGACAGGCAAAAAGGGCGCAAAAGCGGCAGAGACCGGGGGTGGTTGCTTAGGCTGAGGCTTGGCTTGGCCCTTTACATGCACTTACTGTACGAGATACGGAGTGCGAGTACAGGTACAGTACGGGCAGTTAGCCGTTTTGTTTCCATGCTTTGAAACCGTCGTGGACGGTGGCGGCTTTGGACTCAGCCCAACAAAGACGAGGCGAGACAAACGGCATGACTCGGAATCCCCGACCTCAAAGGCAAAACAGCAAACAAGTCGAGCAACGAGCACATGTCAGGTTACCTTGACGTCCCTGTCTCATTCTCTTTCATCTGCTCTGCTGAATTGTCAGTCGTCTCTCCTCTCTCATCTCGGGGAGACTCAAAACTGCCTGCATGCCCCCTATTGCTGAGCCATATACTTCGTTACGCAAGGGCACTAATATGATGTGTCAGGATATTGCCCGAGATAACGGCGAAACTTGTCATCCCGCCATCGAAAAATCCCACGATATCAGCGCGTCCGGATTATTATCGACCAAAAGCTGCGCTGTACGCCCGCCCATTTGCCACCCTTTTTTTTTGCTCCCTCTGCGGGTCTTCTTTTTTGCTGTGACATTTTCGTTTTTACTGCCACGCTGATTTGATTTGATTTGACTGGCTGCATATACCGTGCAGACATGCATGCATGCATGTTGGTGGTGGTGCTTTTGGCTGCCTCTTCCTTTGTTCCTTTTCTGGGTCTTTTGTGTTGATGCTCCTGGACGGAAGCAGAACCCATTGACTGCGCCGCTCTGCAAGATAATCACGACTAGGTCCCTTCTAATTCGTCCAAGCCATCACTGCCCGGTCAAGTAACCGCGTTATCCCTAACGAAAGAAGCACCAGACATTATATCACTCAACGCACGCCACTTTGTCCATGTCCATATCCATGTACTACTAGCAGGCAAATGCCACAGGCGTTTCACCACCATTAGCCTCTTTGTCCCTCTCAGCCCGGCTACCCCAAAGCCTCGTCCCGCGCATTGGATTGATTGAATTCCCACTCGGTGCTTGCATGCCGAGCCCGTGGCTGCTCGAATAGGAAGTATGGGAACATTGACGGCCAACCACCTCGCTCGATTAGCAAAAACGCCCTCTGTCTTTCACCCGAATGCTACATAGCACTCTTTGTTGGTTTGTTCAAAAGGCCAGATTTGAGGACTTCTCTCATTTTCAGCCGCCCGTCCATATATTCTACTGCTATTACCCATCAATCCATCCATATGCTTATTCCCGAGCCGCCTGTCAATAACCACTCAAACCACCGCAAATACAACCCTCACCCTCCCTCTTTATCAAGTCGACGACTTGCATCCGCCCATCACAATAACCCCATATGACCTTCCCCATGTGTGCATGTGCATCCATCCCTGCGCCCCGGAAAATAATCTCAAAGTGCAGTGAGTGACATGTGCTGTGCTGGGTCTCTTTTACTAGTACGCTTGTGGGGACGGTGCCGGAAGAAAACGTGGGAGCTTGAGGGCTAAATGGCAGAAACCACATGCTAGTCGGAGAAGTTGATGTAAAAGTAGAGGTACTAGAAGTAGAGGTACTAATTCGATTCCATCCTTTCGCCCAGATACGGAGAGGGTAGAGTATTATGTGCATGATATGGAGCTTAGATGAGAGCTAGAGCAACTGGTGCATGCATGTAATGTAATGTAATGTAATGGAGGCAGCCGGAATATCTCGAGGCACACATCACACATCACAAACCTCGGGCGTGAGGAATGCATCATCACCACACACAGCGTATACACTGCTTGCTTCACATGCTGCCACATGCTGATCCATATGACAGATAGAACCGAGCACAGAGCACACACACACACACACACATCATCATCATCACCAATATCACATTTCAACAAGTGACTCATGCTACCTCTCACGTCGTAGTCTCATCGTGCAAAAGGGCAAAAGGGAAAAAAAGACTCATTGCTCGAGCCCGATTTATTTTCTTTTCATTAATTTCACAAGGCTTCCCTTCCCGCTCCCCCGTCATTTTCGCCATCCCAGACCCTCCTTTTTCTCTGCATTTTCGGGGGATAATTTTTGTTTTCCTATTTCTTTTCTTACACCGTATTTAACTGTTTAGATCTTGGAGAACGACTTGAAGGCTCCAATGAGGCCGCCGGTCGAGGCGTCGTGGCCCGAGCCGTTGCCGGGCTCGTCGAGCTCCTTGAGGATCTTCTTGGCCAGGACTTTGCCCAGCTCGACACCCCACTGGTCGAAGCTGTTGATGTCCCAGACGGCGCCCTCGACAAAAGTCAGGTGCTCGTAGTAGACGATGAGGGCACCCAGCTCAGCAGGGCCGATGACGTCGCCGACGAGGATGGATGTCGTCGGGCGGTTGCCGAGGAAGCGCTTGTGGGGGATGAGCTCCTCAGGGGTGCCCTCAGCCCTCAGCTGGTCGTCCGTCTTGCCAACCATCAGAGCCTCAGCCTGAGCAAAGTAGTTGGAGGCAAGCATCTTCTGGTGCAGGTTGTCGTGGATAGGGTTGTGAGACTTGGCAGCCAGGATGAAGTCGGCGGGGATGAGCTTGGTGCCCTGGTGGACAAGCTGGAAGAAGGAGTGCTGGGCGTTGGTGCAGGGCTCACCAAACAGAATGGAGCCTGGTGCATTCATACGTTAGACTTACACGATTTCTGACTTGTGCTCCAGGGAAAAAAAGAACTTACCAGTGGTGTACTTGGCGCTGGATCCGTCAGAGGTAATGGCCTTGCCGTTGGACTCCATGGACAGCTGCTGGAGGTAGGCGGCGAACCGGTGGAGGTATTGGTCAAAGCTAAGGGGTTTCAGTCAGTGTCGAGTTCACCACAGGCTCGTGTCCAAAAAGGAACTCTTCTGTGAGATGTCAACTTACGGAGCAACCAGGCGAGTCTGGGCCTGGAAAAAGTCGCCGTACCAGACGCCAAGCAGACCACCAATGACGGGAATGTTCTCCCTCAGGGGAGTCTCGCGGAAGTGCTTGTCCATGGCGTGAGCACCAGCAAGGAACTTGTGGAAGTTGTCGTAGCCAACGTAGAGGGCAACGCTCAAGCCAATGGCACTCCAGACGGAGTACCGGCCGCCAACCCAGCTCTCGAAGCCAAACATGTTGGCGCTGTCAATGCCAAACTTGGTGACCTCGGCCTCGTTGGTGGACAGTGCAACAAAGTGCTTGGCAACATCTCCCTTGCCGCCAGTCTTCTCGACGAACCATGACTTGGCAGTGTTGGCGTTTGTGATGGTCTCTGCGGTGGTGAAGGTCTTGGAGGCAATGAGGAAGAGGGTGGTCTCGGGGTCAGAGGCCTTGAGAGCCTCGGCCATGTGAGTTCCGTCAATGTTGGAGACGAAGTGGAGGGTCATGTCGGGAGCGCCGTAGTGCTTGAGAGCCTCAGTCACCATGACGGGGCCGCTGTACAAAAGAGATTGGTTAGCAAGCATGTCTTGGCGATGAACTCGAAGCTTCAATTCAGCTCAAGCTTAGGATACTCACAGATCAGAGCCACCAATGCCAACGTTGATGATGTTGGTCAGCTTCTTGCCGGTGAAGCCAACCCACTCGCCGCTTCGGACCTTTTCAGAAAACTCCTTCATGTGTGCCAGGACGCCGTTGACACCAGTAGGGCCGTTCATGACATCCTGGCCCTCAACCTGCATCTCCCAGCCGCCAACGTTTCGCAGCGCGGTGTGGTAGACGGCACGGTTCTCGGTGAAGTTGATCTTGTCACCGCGGAACATGGCATCTCGCTTCCTCTCGACGCCAGCCTGCTCGGCGAGCTTGACGAGCAGGTCCAGAGTCTCATTGGTCAGGAAGTTCTTGCTGAAGTCGAAGAGAATGTCGGCTGAGCCGTCAGCCTTGAAGGTGCGGGAGAATTTGTTGAAGCGGTCGGCGTCAGAGGCAAAGGCCTCCTTGAGGACGAAGTTCTTGGCGACGTCGTCACGGTGAGCCTGGAGCTCCGACCAGGCGGGAAGAGTGTTTGCGGGGGCCATGTTTGGCAGAGGTCTGGTGAGGATTCAAAGAGGTTAATTAGCCAATCTGTAGAGAGTTGCGGCAGCTAATTGAGTTGAGTGGAAACGGAGCAGTGCTCGGCAACTTCCGCTTGGATTGGGCTATCTTGCTCTGGAATTGGGCTTTGAGAAGACGTGAGGTCTGGATGGAATAGAATGGGAATGGGGATGATGACGAGGAGAAGATTAGAGAGAAGAATGACGGCTTGGTAGAGAGGGGAGAAGCAGCATTTAAAAGGCCATAGGCTATGTAGCGTATGATCCCCTGGTGAGGTGAGGGTAGGCTATACGATCCGGTTCGAGTACCGTGGGATCACAGCATATATTCCGGGCAACGCGGAAGCTGATCAAGGCAGATGATGGATTTGATGGGGATGGTGGGGGTGGCGTCAGGAGCAAAAAAAGAGATGAAGCCGGGAATGACGACTTACCAGGGGAGGGAAGATGCTTGATTAGAGATTGATTAGAGAGGGATTGGTGATGGATTGATGCAGCAGGCGGAAATGATTTCGCTGAATGGTTCGAAATGCCTCACGATAATGCGAGGATGGGAGAAGAAGGATGGAAAAGGAAGAAGCAGAAAATAGCACCAGACGAGACAACGAATGACTGTGGCGTCTGTCTGGCCTCTTGCTGGCTGGAGGGGAACCGAAGCTCAGCGCATTGATGGAGCTATCCAGGCGAAGCTGGCACCAGCTTTGCGCCTGTTGCCCCTCACTAATGACCTCACTGAGAACCTTTTTTGGAACTTGGCTGGCCAGTTGCCGCGCTGCTTGGCGTGCTTTGGTAAGCAGGTTGCCCCGCTTACTGTTATGAACTCTGCAAATGGATGACCTAGAGATTTTAACAATCAATCAGTCAGATTAGAGTCAGTCGGGCAGTTTATTTAGGCACGTATAGTCAAATCAGCACTTGCATGTGCTGCATTGCAGCCCGCTGATTTGATTTGATTCGATTCGATTCTCAGGGAGCTTCTAGGTACCTTGTCTATTTCTCCGGTGGCACAAGAGTCCGGAATTACAAGACATTAATACAGCTCAACCGACAATGCTCAACTCTGTACTTCAATTATAGCAATTGAATTCATTCAAATAAATAGAACAAGAGGATATAATTATAAAAACTAAGTACCAACAATATCATCAACAAACCAAACTCTGATACACGCTTCACTCGACAACATCTTTGTAATAAAGCAGCTTGAATCAACCCTTTTCCAATGATGCCTGCATCTCCTCAGTCAATCTGCCCTGAGCTGAATCTTCCAACAGTACAAGACAACGAATTTTAAAAAAAATATAAAAAAAAGTGATGAAAAAAGTAAAAAAAGAAGACAACTCCTGTCATGATTTCCTGCTAAACTCCATAACGTATGGTTCATCATGCATTGTTCAAGCCAAATATGGATCCCCTTTCCCGTGTCTGTCTGTCTGTGCGTGCGCTTCCATCGTGCAAAAGTCCAAAAGACGCTCGTCGCTCTCTACGTTATGCACGCAGCACAACCAACGCTGTCTTCGTCCAACCACCCTTGCCTTGTCTTGTTTTCGCTCCAAATCATGCTTCTAGGTCTAGTCTCAACTCAAATTGGTATTCGCCGAAAATAATACATCATGTCCAAATGCTTAGGGGTTGTTAAGGCTGCCCACAAACGACGGATCTCTAAGACTGCCGCCGGCATCCCCGAGGCCTGCAATGGGGCGGTTGTAGCTGAATCCTTGGAATTGATCTTGCATCGTCTGTGACAGCAGCGGGCCGTCCACATATGAATCCTGGGGAGCCTCGCTGGTAAACTCCTGGTCGAAATTGGCCGTGTCCATGGCATCCGTCTGGGATCACGAATTAGCATTGGAACTTATTCACACAAACTCGGAAATAATACTTACCACGCTGGGCTTGAACGTAGGCTCATATTTGCGCTGCAAGAGTTTGTGCCAGTCAATGCCATGGAAAAACGGATGAGCCTTGATCTCGGATGAGCCATTAGCGCCAAGTCGCTTCTTCGGGTCTCTGTTAAGCAGGCTGGTCAAAAGGTCTCTGGCAGCCGGAGGCACCACGTCGCCAGGAGGGAAATTCAAAGGATCTGACAGAATCTTTCTGTACATCTCGTTTGTATTCTCATCGTAGAACGGAGGAAGTCCCGTCAACATTTCGTAAAGCAAAACACCCAAAGTCCACCAGTCGACTGTCTTGTTGTATCCTTGGCCCAACAAAAGTTCAGGAGCAAGATACTCCGGCGTGCCGCAAAACGTGTTGGTCCGGTCTTCGTCCTTCATGTCAAGCTTGCACAGGCCAAAATCACACAGTGCAATGTGGCCTTGATAGTCAAGCAAGATATTCTCCGGCTTCAGGTCTCGGTAAATAACACTAAAACCATGCAAGCATTCCAAAGCACAGAGAAGCTCAGCAGTGTAAAATCTCGACCGATTAACATCGAAACGGTGCTCTTTTTGCAGGTGGTGGAAGAGTTCTCCTCCGTTGACAAAGGCGAGGACGAAATACAGCTTCTCGGGCGATTGGAAGCTAAACTTGAGGGGGACGATGAAGGGATTGTTTATCTGCGCCAGCACAGACCGTTCGGCCAACGTATGGGCAACTTCCGATCGGGAAATGATGTGCGCTTTTCGAATCGTCTTCAACGCATAGATTCGGTTGGTGTCCTTCTTGCGTACCTGCATTACCTTGCCAAAACTGCCCTTGCCTACAACCTTGAGCAGTTCAAAGTCTTCAATCTTGAGCTTTCCAGCCCGTGTCTCGACAAACTCAACGCCAACCTTGATCTTGCCCGTGCCGTACTGGATGTCAACCCAGTCAACGCCGGCATGGCCTTCTCCCTTTTGGCGCTGAGCCTCGGCTGCCTTTTCGCGATCTTTCTTGCTTGCCTTGGAGTCCTCGGCCACATGTTGCCTCTCTTCAAATCGGGGGTTTATCCGGGCCACGCCAAGGAAGATGTCCTGGCTTCGTCCAGACCCGGGAGGGGCAGCAGGGTTCCGCATGTACAGATGGATCACCAGCTCTGTCACTCTGGAAACGTCAAACTTGTATTGGGTATTTGAACCTGCCCACAGAGGGTTCTCGGGGTTTCCTTCGACCGAATTGACAAACACCTGCACCTTGTCGAAATCGATCAGCGCATAGGGCATATATTTGCCGGAAATGCGCCCATGGTTAGTGGGAATCGAGCCGAATCCGCCGCCGGAAGAGTGCGGTCTTGCTCCGTTTGAGTATGACCCAGCAACGCGCTGAGAGTCTGGACGGACAGAGCCGGACAAGGCGCTGCCCGAAGAGCGCGAGCTCTGGTGGCTGGACGAAAAAGCGCCTCGATGTTCCTCGGGAAGGGAGAAGCCCTTGCCTTCGTGGATGGTAACGACCAAGATACCGGGCTTCTTAATAACGGGCGCTTGCGTCAAGTCGTCTGAGGCGCCTACAGTGAGGTCAAGAGCAGTCAGAATCACCATCTAGAATGCATCAGTCGCCGGTAGCTTACCAGTAGCGCTCTCGCTAGTCGGCGTGGTGGCGCCTGGGCTCGTCCCCTTTTCATCTTTGTCGGTGATGGTAGAAGTCGACGGCGACCGGGAAAACGCGCTCAGCGGGCCGAGATGCGTATCTTTGAGTTCTGCGCAAGGCCAGTTAGTCTCATTGCCGGCGGCAGCGGGTTCCAAGAAGGTGTCGAACGACAACAAGACGTTGGGGACAATTGGAAAAGGAGAGACATACTCTTGGTCAGCTTCCACGACATGGTGACGGTTCCCGGTACGACCGCTCAACGGATAGGGATGCTAGAATGGAATGATGGAGCAATGTGATGCAAGTTGGAAGACGGGAGGTGAAGGTGAAGGAACGGATCTGATAGATGATAGTCGGTAGAGAGGCTAATCCGGCCGATAGATAAGCAGCTGACGAGGTATCGAAAGGACCAGACGGGAAGCAGCCGCTTCTGATGCAGCAGGCCGGAGGCGATGTGACGGGCGTGTTTTGGCCTGTGGTTGCAGGCCAATCAAACAACCCCGCAGACGTCGAACTCGAGGTGAGGATTGGATGAATCCACTTGGTTTGAGTGAGTGAGGGATGGCGGCTGGGGGATGGAGATGCCCCTATTTTTTGTGGTTCAAAGCTAATATTAAGTGAGGTGAGGACTGCGAGTAATAATAGCAGCCCGTCTGGTGGCTCTAAACTCCGAAGAGAACTGGATCAATACAGCCGTAAAGAAGAATAACAACGGCACAGAGATTCAGATGTAGATAATGAGGCTGCAAGTGAGGGGTGAGTGGGTGGGAGGAAAAGCAAAAGCCACATCAGCCATGGATATATATTAATTACGAGTAAATCCTTCCATTACAACAGACGTCGACAATCAGGAGGAGGCGAAGCACTGCCTTGTACTTTACTCCGTAGTGCCTAGCGAATTGAGGAATCTGGGGCAGCAGGTCGCTTCCCGCAACCCGGTCCCTGAACCTGCTTGTAGCGGGTAAGTATCACAAAATACAGGGACTGCACAATGAATATTTACACACAGATCAATAGCATGAACACCATTTATGCGGACAGATGATAGCTATTTTGTGCGTATAGTTACTCTCTTGTGTGTTTCAAATCTTCAAATTCCTTTTTTCTTTTTGATATCAGCTTGCATTGCCATGTCCCTTCCTTGTACCTACAGTCTGCAGCGGGCGCTAGCGCTCTCCGTTTGACGGGCACTGTGCGTGCTGCAGGACGCTCGGTACAATGTCTGGCCTAGCGCTGTGCAACGGCTCATAGCGCGTTGGACGAAGCATCGAGTTCTACATTGCACAGTGCGTGTATTTGTAACGATTTGTAACGATTCGGTTGACCATTCGGTGGGTTTTTTGCATGGAGGCTCAAACCCGGCCCTTTTTTCTTTCTTTTTGGCTTTATTGTTTCGTGTCATGAAGCGGGAGAGGCTGGACCTGGTCGACGTTGCATTTGGGCTAGAGTGTAACACGATTCATTTGTCTGCATTGGGT